CTCAATTATCCGCTAAGTTTTATATGTATGGCTCTAAAGTTCTTAAAAAAATGCATGTTGAGTGTTTAATTAAGTTTAATTTGGAGATTCATTAAAATTCTTAAATCAAAATATCATCAATAGAATATTCATTGTTTTGATTTTGGCACGTTGTCATCGTCGATTAAACAAGATGTACATTGTAATAATTTCTTTTTTTGCGATTATCTGGATAGTCTACATCACATTTGAACAGATAAGTTTGTACGAATGTTGAATTTTGGATACCGGTATATGTAACCGGAAAATTATAAATCAGCGCTTGATTCTCTTCATTTAGCCCATTAAAATGATTTCCATTCTTGCGGCATTCGTTGATGAAAAACATAGCAAAATACTGCGATGATATAATTGAGTCCATAGTATGTGTAATATTTCGATTTCGAATCCACTCATACACATTTTTCTCCGGATGAAATTGTACACCGTAGAATGGGTAACTAATTAACAATGTAAAAAAGAAACATTTTGATGCTCAATACTCCAATTGATTTATTGATGATATTCTTACTGTTTGTGTTCAATACTTGAAATGAATTCCAATCCATTTTCATCTAAATTAGTTGATAGTGACTTCCATGTTTTGTCCAAACCGTAGTCAATCATATCCTAAAAAGTTCATCAAATATATTTAAAAAAAAAAATTAAAAAAAAACAATGTATGTATGTTGATTGCACCTTGGGTGTGACGCAATACGAATGAAAATTGGATGTAACTGGTTCTTTTTTTAGTATATTAATTATGTGCTCTGGTGCTGTTCCAAATATTCGGCTATCTTTGAACTCTATTAAATTTGGAAGTTAAAAGTGAATGCGATAAAAGATAATCATGATATTTTAGTTCAATACGAGTCGTTGCTCTTGCTATCTCACCTTTCGTAAAATTTAGTGGCAATGATTGTCGCTGCGACGAACAATAGGTTCGATATTCTTCATTTTCATTTGATGCGAATAATAATAACTCAAAGCCTAGACATGTTCCAAACAATGGAAGATATGTGCCATTGTCATTCATGCGTTTCGCAATATCGTATATGTGTATACCAGCATCGGAATAGCCATGACTTTGATTGAACAATGTTCCACCACCGGGCAACAAAACGCTGTGAGTTCATAAAACGAAACAAAGAAAATGAACTTTGTGAGAGAGAAAAAAAAGAACCCTCTCATTCTCTTTTGCCCGTTGCGTTCATAACAACCATCAATAAAATATATTTTGTTCATACCCATTAAGCTTTTTCAGCATGATCTCATAGTACGATCGAGGTTTACCAATCCTGTAATAGGTCAAGTATTAACATACCGAAGAAGAAGAAAATAAAAACATAATTAAATAGCGACAAAGCCAAACAACAACAAAATCGTAAACAAATCATCATTGTTTGAAATCCGATTTCGGACGGTAGCATTTTTCAGCAATCAAATATATTTAAATATAATTACCAAATGGGCACTGCTCTGGCTCCTCCACCTTCAACAAATTTAATATAGGATGCTGCTATATAACTGTTATAGACTCCTGGCCATATCGCATCTAATTTCCATGATATCTCTTGCGCTAGCACTCCAATTATTGGTCGATCCGTTCTATCTATCAAATTGTCATGTCGAGTCGATGATTCGACAATGTCAATGTAATTTGTAATGGCAATAATCAAAAGTGCTGTGCACAAAATTGGTCTTGCCATCGTTTTTTCTTTTAATGTTTTTAATTGACCGAAATTAAATTGGACGTCGCGCTGCTTTTCCTTCTTTTTAATCTGAATTTCTCTTCTTTGTTGATTCTCTTTTTTTATCGTCATCAAGTCGTTTTCTTCGCGTCACATTCAGCTCTTCTCCTCTTCAATTCAAATCATAATATTATCAACTTGAGATTTAGTCCAAACGGTTCAATGAATAAAGCGGTCAAGCTGTTATAATTTCAGTCTCTAATAAAAATTGATTCACTACAAAGATACACTATACGTTATTTAACTATGTTATCTGGCTCAATCAAGTACACTTCAATTGAATAGCAAAAATTCTTTTTATTTGTATTCTAACCACAAAAATTAAATAATAATTAAGTCTGTCTTTGCAAATAAAATCTTTTTGTTTTTATCCAATCTAATTTCTTTTTGCAGTCATATGAATTTTGTGATGCAATCTTGCAGGTGCAAACGAGAGTTTTCATTTAAATGGTAACTGCCATGGCCTGGAAATGCCTATGTAATTTACATCTAAACGAGTGAGACTCAAACATGTGCTTCTTTTTCAAAACAATACATACACACTTACTCACAAAAATTAAAGGTTTACGCCATAACAGCAGTGCAAACACAAATACATGCGCGCGCTACTCAGCTTTGTTTCTGTGATGAATACTTATTGACTTCTGCTGTACATGTGATGCTTGTGTATGTATTGTTTTGAAGAAGAAGCACATGTTTGAGTCTCACTCATCTCCGCCCCTTGGTAACTGCTTAAATTCAGGTCAGTAAGTTAAGAACACGTTTGTTCCTGTGCTCGAATCGTTTGTGACTGACTCAAAATCATAAAGAGACCGTGTTTGATGCGATGAATTGAAATTATCAAATGTATTTTTTTTTCCCTACTTGCGGCAATTAATTCGTTTAATTATCAGTTAATTGACATGTTTATTATTTGCACTTCAAATCGAACAAATATTCAGAATTGGCTGGCTACTACATAATTATAATCATCAAATTACCAAATGTCAAAATATCCATTTAGACAACGGTTAGCTCTAACATTAGACGAATCAATGAGACACTTTATTATGAATGACATTTACTGAAAGATTTAAAAGCAACAGTCAGTACTCGTACTATGTGATGTAAATTCAAACATACACTGAACTTTAATCATTGACTGCATTTAAATTTAATAATGTATTGTGATAATACAAGTCAAACAAAAAGTATAAGTAATCGGCCAAATTAATCTAAATTGATCTGTGTATTGTTCTTATGGGATGCGACATATCAAAGAGAAAGAGAGAGATACGAACATTACAAATAAAAATGTTGTCAACGTCATACGTGTAACGAAAGATTATTTATTATTATCGCTTCCAAGACTTACAGGAAATTTGTGATTGTTTCAAAGTCCATTATTTTGAATGTGTCTACTGTAAACGGCAAAGTAATAAGTCAAACTAATCAAAGAATTTTGAATGAATTCGAATCAAATTACAGTGGCATAAATATTGATATGTTTTTCCTTCCTACCTTCCTCAAATAGGTATCAAGTGTGTTGTTCAAATAAAGTACATTATTATGTTTCATTTTATACTAGACCACCAGCACGAAAATATAAATTCGTCACGTGTTCATTTTGTTGGAGACGAAATGAATTGAAATGGCTTTATTCACAAGAATAAAACAGATCACATTGTCGACTGTTGTCGCGTGGCAAATATGACTTTGCATCCACATGATATACATTGTGGAATATGGAAACATTTGAAGTGATGCTGAAAGCATTTAAATCGGTACGTGTCGTGTCTAAAAATTAATCGAATGTTCCGTGAATGAAAATCGGTTCCCACTTAAAATCACGTTGAATGCCGTCACTTATTCAATACATATAAGTGTGACCAAATAGAATATCAATCATTTTCATTATAATTTCAACAATGTTCACGTGCTTAAGTTCTTCTACGTACAATGCGCATTGTGAACTAATTGAAATATTTATCGGTTAACATTTCCTTGGCTGCTATTTGATAATTGTTTATTGTTTTCTTCTGAAAGCAATTGATGTTGAGTGTTGACACTACGGAATTTCAGTCTAAATAATTTAATTGGCCATTAATCGGGAGAAGTCAAACACATTTTAATCGTACAGTGACCAATTTCGATTCGGTTACCAACAGTTATTTAAATCGCGTATAAGTAAAGCAACTCCAGTATAATGCCCTCTGAACCATGAATATTTATCAGAAATAATTGATTCGTTACTTTTAATACGAGAAAGCGTACTCAAAAAAGTTTGCTCACCTTTCCGGCGTCTATACGAAATGATTCTATCCAAACGAAGCTTTTTCGTAACAACCGGTAAAGTGCCAAACAAAAACTGTCTCACTCATTAAATTATAGTTGTAGTTCAATTGGTGTGATTGACGCCATAGCTTATGAGTTTGGCAATTCTCATTTTTTTCTCGAAAATTATAGAGAGGTCATTTAACGCTTCGATAAAAAAAAAACTTTTATTGTATTACCAAAAAAATCCCTCACTTTTGGAAATTTGTTAAGGGGAATTTTCTTAAATTAGTTTTTCGGGGAAATTTCTACATATACTGACTCAAAATATCGATCATTTGCACAAAACAAGTAAATTACGTATTTATCGTGGAAAATATCTAAAATTAAGAAAATGGAGTAGTCTCATTGCATTCATGTGGGCATTAAATGGATAAAAATAATTCAAGATAACATTGAAAGAATCGTACGTTGTGAATATGTTTACAAAAAAGGTGCGCATGCAGACGTACATCATGTGAATGGTTGAATCGACCAAAAACGCAATAAGATTGTGCTCTTCAAGTGTAAATTTCAGCTGTTTACAAAAAAAAGATATGTATTGGCCGAAAATATATGCACGAACGGTTCAACGGCATATTCAATATAAAGCATTAATACACTTGAGATTTCTACGGAAAACATAAAAACATTCTCTTTTCACTTATCTCATTTTGTTTCATCTTTTTTTGTCGCTCTTGCTGGAAAATCATGGAAATATTTCATATCATATTCGAGTTGAATGCTTTCAATTCTAGCCAGAAAATTAGAGGAAAAATTGAAAAGACTGAAAATTTCCTTCGATTGAAGTAGTTATCCGTGCGTGAATATGTATTCATATGTGTGTACGGTGCATGTATATACGCGTAAAAATATAAAAACGAATGAGCTCTTCAATTTTTTTCGCTATAAAATACAAAGTTTTATTGCTTTCTTCCGCAGATATTGTAGCCTATTGTCGCTTATATATTGTGCCTGTATTCTGCATTCTCAATGGCTTTGCACCGTGCGCATCAAGAATATTAACACTTTGAGTTTGTTCACCAATCCAAAATTGTCAGTTTACATGATGATGCTAACAGACAAAATGCATTCAGCATGCAATGCTTTTATTTCATATAATGTTCTCTGTCTTACTTCCATTCTCCCGGTGCCCATCTCGTGTGCGCCAATATTCGTCCCTTTTGCACATTTTCCGATAGGAAACTATTTATTCTTCAGTGAATCTATACACGGTCATCCTAGTTTTCCCATTTGATTAGTTCAATGAACTTTAACACGTACACACAAATCTATCGCATACATCAGAAGCATATGCATTCAACTAACATATACAAATGCACGCTCAACATGGATGTAGTTATGCTGTGTTGTGCTGCTGATTACCCAACGGATGCACTTTTGCACATAACACTACATCAAATATAAAAACGGTATATAATGTGCAACTTTCCTACGGGAAGAAAGGTCTCGCTATTTGAAAGCGATTACATACACATACACATGTTTACTAATTGTGGATATATAACGTACTCTTGCATATGCGGATTTTTAAAATATAATATTAAGAAGATGCATTAAAATCATTTGTTCTTTTAAATAAGTTCATGTTGCACCAAAAGCATTTTTTTTACTTTGCATTTGACGAAATTTGAAATGAATTATTTTTGCATTTTTCTTAAAAAAATTTGTTTATTTTTGTTGCTAACATAATATTGCGAACGTATATATATATATGAAATTGCAATATGTTCAACACACATTTTTTTAAGTTTATCTAGTTGATGTTGTGTACATAGGTAGAATTGTAGTAGGTGAAATGTGACACACACACACAACCATACATCACATATACACATTAAAAACGATTGAAGACTCATGCAATGTTCAATAAATAAATGTTTAACGTCACCAAAAAAGTTGTTCATCATTCTAGCCATGGCCATAATGGAACTCGTAACTTTCATCAATATTGTTGATTCAATAACATTGCAACGGAGATAAATTGCACGTAGGCATTGCGGTTCAAATACAGACATACACATATACATGCAAACACATCGATGCGAACAGGACAAGCATAAAGATGAAAACAATTTTAAAGTCCGTACGAGAGGAAAACTATACACACATTTGACCCAGTAACAAACAAAATGTGAACTATATGTATGAGAGAGAAAGAGAGGAGTGTGTATGTGTGTGTGTGTGTGTGTTTCGCACTTGGTGCCGCGTACATTTTATGCAATAGTTTGGAATGATGTTGAAATGATGACGAAGTGTTTGGCCTCCATGCACTGTACTTGTTGAGTATTTTTTTCGCTCTTGCTGTTATATATTTATACAAAATGGTTTAAATTTATGACGTTCGATGCTTATTTAGCTTCACAATTATGTATAAAATTGAAATGTCCATTAGTTTATATCTTATTTGCTTATACGAATTCATTAAACTTTTATAGAGTTATATATCCTGATTTTCTGAGAATAGTCGAAAGATCTTATCAAAACCTCAATCGTTACCGAACAAAAGTTTCAGTTTATCTTATATCAGAAGAATTACTAAGGACCTTTGAAATTGCGGTTGTGACTAAGCACTCATTTATAAAAACGGCTATCTATGCCAATCAAGATCACGGGAACATTTTCATTTCATTCTTTGAATACCAAACAATAACAAACGCTTTGTTGATGATTTTTTATTTTAATATAAAACATGCCCGATTTGGTCAGAGCTTTAAATGCTCAAACAAAAATTTGCTTGGAATCGATTAAGCGTTCACTCAAAAATATCTGCATTCACACATGAATTAAAGGTGAACCTTCGTTCCTTTTTCGGTTTGTTTGACTGATTCGTTGGGTTCGTTTCTAATTGTTCAGTACTTTTTCGGTTCGTTCACACAGAAAGAAAAAATGTGGTATTTTTAATTCAATTTTGGTAGATATAATATAAAATCAACCAACAACGAATTAAATTTACCATTTTTGACATCTCTGAGGCATATTTCTCAAAAGAGACTATCAGTTTAATAAGTTTTACCAATTGCTTCATTTCATTCACCAAATTCATGGGCTAGCGTCATCTGTGGTTTCGAAAAGTTGGTAAATGTAATGAAGCAGTTGGTAAAACTTATTCAACAAATAGTCACTTTTGAAAAATATGCCTCAGAAATGTCAAAAATGGTAAATTTAATTCGTTGTTGGTTAATTTTATATTAAATCTACCAAAATTGAATTAAAAATACCACATTTTTTCTTTTTGTGCAGTAAAAATTAAAACGAATACTTTTCGTTCGTTCGATATTTCAAGTTTCCCAGACAAAATTATCAAAATATTTGAAGACTTTTTTTGGTAATTTTTAGTTTCAAATGAAACTGGCCGTGATTTCATTTTCGTTCGTTATATTCATAGCTTTTAAGTAGGAGTCCGTGGTGTCAAATTATCCCCCTCCTTTAAAATCGTCCCTATTTACTACAGGTTTTGTCAAGAAAAATCGTTCGATTTTCTAGGGTTACATTCAAAAATAGGTGCATTCGGATTCGATTTCGTTTTGGACTTTTGAGTTCTTTTTTGTTTATTTGTTTATTCACCTCAACGATCGAACCCAAACCGAAACCGAACGCCTTCAACCAAGGATACTTCCGATGTATCATTTGTTGACATCATTGCCCTTGTTTTATGCAATAACCATATAAACTTTAATTGCTGTTATGTTCCAAATGCTGTCCCATGCAATCAAAATGTGATCTGATTGAATTTAATTTATATAACAAATCCTATACAATAAATCCATTCAATCCATTCAATCCATTCAAAAGTCAAATCACAATTTGCTTCAATTAAAACCCCCTTTACAATATTTAAAATCAATGTGATGGTTATAGTCCGGCCACCAACCCAAATGACTTTAAAAAAATGCAATTCATTTGCGTCATTTTCAATGCAAACATAATCGCATAAAGTAATTCACACTTTTCGCATTTCAAAGCAACTACAGTAGGACTTAAATGTTCGTATGTACAGGCACTAAAGTTCCTCCAAAAACTGAGAACAACATAAATTTTATTAAATTTATTTATTTGTTTATTTTTGTATTTGAATTTTTAAATTTATTTATAGAGCCGACTATACAGTTCGTTGTATGTTTCAGTTTTTTCAGGTTTTCAGTTTTAACATTGCTTGAAAAAGAGTAACGCTAGCCGTTTCCATTTCATGCGTTAACTGTTTTGTTGTTGGTCTTATTTTACTACGTACAATATTTCATTGAGAGACCTAATTTTGTATGTGCGCAGCATATTAAATGCATTGTCTCTGTCTGTGACCCACTTTCCTAATATATTTTCCTGTGACGTCAACATGACGTCATTCAAGGCCTACTTTTATTTTATGAATAACACACAGAGAGAGATAGGGAGAGAGAAAGAGAGAGAGAGAGATTGAACTGGAGGAAAAACCATTCTTCTGTTCCATTCCACTTGATTCAATGTTTATATAAATAAATGTGCACCGGGATTTTCCGGGAATCCAGCATAGTGCGGATGGTTGTGTGTGAATGTGTACATCTTGCACATTGTGTGTATTGGTGTTTGCTTGAGATTTTTGTACGTTATAACATCTCTTAGCTTTATATAGACTGATATATTCACAAATATATGTTAATAACACGAACACAGTGCTCTTGATATCGTTGCATCAATGAAACTGCAAAGTCGAAGAAATAACCAACGGCTGACATCATGAATATATTCGAGTATGAATAAGTTGATCAAAAAGTATGCATGGTTTACAGTTCCAATTTGTCCTAAATGCGTATACTTCTTTTGATTTTTAAATTGATTTCAGATACTTCAATGGTATACCATGGTATTTTGTTTACATGTAAATTATGAAAGAAAAAAGTTTTCATCATGCAGTGACCGAAAATTTGATGAAATTCTCACCGTGTCCACTTAATCATACTATTTGTAAGCAATGCATGCGTAAACCCTAAAATATCACCTGGAAGTCTTTTTCATAGAAGTATTTCAATCCCCGTTCCTAACAACGGTTGCTTACCTTTTTGAAAAGACAAAATCCCGCCATTAAAATCATATTTTAAACCCCCTCCTCCCGTCTGGCAATCATGCCCTAGCGCACGTATTATTTGTAAACAGTTATGTCGAATTTTAATGGCTCTTCACCATTCCATGACCTCTCTGCACTGCTGTTGTTGTTGTTTTTTTTTAGATGTCGTTTCGGTGCATTATTCTGCATTATCCTTATTCCGATGCTTTGATGTACAACGGTTGGAAATAAATTTTGCCAAAAAATTGTCGTCATCATTTGCAATGAACATTTTATATACGATTGAGAGTGAATTTCAGGCACACTTCACGTAATCCAAGGCTTTTTCTATATATATTTATTCCCGATGAGGAAACTCGCACATTGATGACATTGTGTGACGTCTTGCATGCTACATATGCAATTGCGAAAACTCAGACAATCATTCAAGGGAACGACAAAAAAAATACAGAGAAAATATATGGAATGAGGCAGAGAGGGAAATTATTGTCCATTTAGTGCTGCATCCCTGATTAATCGATTTCTGCATAGAACACCATCAATTCCTACATTTGCTAATCAATTGTATTAATCGAAAGTATAAAAAAGGAAGAAAAAAACTGAGAGTTCACTTTTGTTTTTCATTTAGATGTTTATTTAACAATTGGGATTACAGTTACGATCGTTTATGACTAGATTATTTTCAAGGGTAATGATATATGATAAGATTTGATGAGCTTTGGTTTGCTTGGAATATTTCTCTCTCTTTATTTTTCATTTTCATTTGAAATTGTATTTCGATGCACCACATTTGTTGATTTTCTCATGTTCCCATTCTATTATAATTTATTTTTGTAGATCGAATTTGAATTTCTCAACTAAAAGCTCAAAAATGTTTAGCATCTTTCATAAAATAAATTCTTTTTGATTGTTTAATTTTTTGTTGGGATTTAACTGCACAGCAATTTGTTTCGATTGAATTTATTTAAAAGAAAATTCTGATTTTATTTATTTTGTATAAAGATTTGAAAGTGTATTTTTGATGTTGTCGGTTATGTATTGTTTAAAATTATAATGCTTTTTTATTTTTGAGTTTCCAAATTGATAAGTGTTTCAGTGCTTGAGAAAATCGCATTGTGGTTAGCTATAAGTATTTCAACTCAAATTCCAAGATTTTTGTCTTTTTTTTCATTGAATGTCATTACAAAATTAATACAAAACAGATAATGTTAATGTCATTTTCATTGAATTTGTATTGATTTTCATGTGTTGTTTTAAATTAATTAGCAGACAGAATCCTACTAATTATGATAGTTTTTCTAAATAATTCAATAGATTTTATTTTTTTGGTTTAAATATTGAATGTTTACTAAAAGGACTAGTGGTGTTTTCACATATTTATAACATGTATATGGTGCACAATTAATTGAAATAGCATGTGTATTGAATGCAAATCATAGAATTTTCATTGATAAATAAACCGAATCATTTGATAAACGTTGTTTTTGTATGTTTGTTTTTCTCATTCTCATCTTTCATTTGAATGGATAGGAATTAAACAGTTAGGACATTTCGTTGCAATTTTAATGCATTTTACTTTTTTTTAAACAAAATTTCAGTGTCTTTTAATTACTATCCATTCATTTATCATACGTTGCCATGAATTCAATAAATGTTTTTTTCAGTTGCTTTTCAGATTTGACTAAAAGTGTTTTGAAGGTAAAATAATTTATACAGATTTCATATTGACATTTATAGACAAAGTGTACATGCATTATTGGATATTACGTAACATTATTCATTCCGAAATATTTATGTGGTTTATATTTAGTGGCTAATAATTTGTGTTTATAGTGTGTATGTGTATGCATGTGTGTGTCTAAATGTATATGTCTGTCGAAAATTGATCGATTTCATGTTCTATGTTGTGATCTCGCTAACCTCCGTCTTCTCCCAATTGTTTCTCTATCGCACAATGCATTTAATGCATGTTCTAACTATCAACGTAACAATTGATCAAAATAATAGAACTTTCATCAAATGCAAATTATATCCAAAACGTATAACGGTGTCAATGCGCCAGTTTAAGTTCAAGTATTGACGTGAAACTAAATATTAGTTAAAATATACAGACATCGAAAGGGATTTTTTTAAATCATTTTTGGTTTTCCATCAATTTTCAATTTTTTTGTTCTTTTTTTCTCATTTTTTTTTATTTGTTTAAATTCATTACCAAGTTTTAACATTTTCTATAATCAGGCTGATTTTCTAGTTAATTCTCATAATTGATAAAATCTAATCCAAGTCGATTTTTTTTACCGAAAAATCAAGAAAGGCACAGTACCCAATTCACTTATCTACTTATAAGAAAGAAACATTTTTTTCTTGTTTGTTTCTGATACAATCGTCCAATTTTTGTTTTTTTTTTTTTTTGTAAAAACAAGCCAATTATCTATCATATTCTCCGAATCCGTCATGGATTGTATCAAATTTTGTTCATCAATTAGTCTCGAACAGTCTTTATAAAAAATCACGGCATAAGTTTTGTTTTATATCATTTTGCTCAATGGTTCTATGAAATATTTACAAAGCGAATAAAAGTTTTTTTTTTAAATCAAGATTAGAACCGTTAATTCAGGTTTGGAGTGGCATTATTTTTAAATGTACATTCTTATTTTTTGATATTCGGTGGATTCAAAAAAAAAAAAAAACAACAATGTTTTGTCTTTAGAAATAAGAAGTTTTGATTTGGAAAATTTCAAGTGTGTTCAAAATAGAAACGCTTTTTTTCATTGGATTTCAACGAAATGTAGTTCATTTAGATAATAATAAAATTAAATGAAAATCCAATGAACCGAAAATATAACTAAGCATTTATAAAAAATGTGTGACTTTTTAATATCCGTAAATAAATATTATGTTGTAATTGCAATCAGTTTTGGTAATAAATAAATAAATGAATATCTAAAATAATATTATGACTCTTATAATTTAAAAGATGATGACATTCGCATTGCATCATCGTGCATTCCGTTGCAGTATTTTCGAACTGCATGCACAGCGAAGGGACAAACGCAATGAAACTACATCATCATAGTGTGAGTGTGTGTTTGTATATATAGGTATACATGTATGTGTTTCGTATTCGTGTATTTTATGCAATAAAATATGTTAGCTGGATCATCAAAAATGCCCCATACTAAGTAACAATCGTATTTGTATACGATGATGGCAGATGATTTCTGGCAGCACTTATGAATGTATTTATGTTGTGGCTTGAATGCCATTTTATTACTTTCATTTTGGGGTAAATCGAAATGATACAAGTGACAATAATACCTATATAGTCTTTTCGTTATTATTTGGAGAAAAAACCCCACTGTGTTGGAGTTCGATAGAAGCAGCAAATTCCGAAAATGCTCAATTGAAAATTGTGATCGATTCGTGTGAGATAGCTTCGATTACTATTAATGTTATTAGTATCATTATGATTATTATTCATTTGTTTAAATTTTGTTTCTGTTTAAAATAAGACTTTTCTCGAGCATTCGATTTTTGATAGAAATTCCCAATAGAAGTCTTTCAGTTGAGTTATGGCAATGCTTGTTATACATTTATCGATGTGTAGGATAGTAGCAGCATATTGATGATGTTGGTACTCGTTTTGTTGGCAGTCCCGATATCCCTTTCAAATATGTGTAGGAAATTGGCTGACGTAGTATGCATTTTGGTTGTGGCGGTGGTTTTTTCGTTTTCTTAGCTTTTTGATCTTTTTGATCTCTTCCAGTGCTACTGCATGACAATGAACGTGTTGATATTGATAAATTTTGCATAGCACGTCGAATTGATGATGTTGATCGACGATGAACATTTAAACCATTTGGTGTTGTATTTTCAACGGAATCACTGCTCGATGCACTTGAACTGTGCGATTCACATGAACAATTTCGAATATAGTGGCGTTGTTTATTTGATGATGGTAATGGTTCGACGCACGTTTTATTTAAACCATCATTTCGTCCAGCCAATTGAACTGATGTCGATGAACATGATTCGGTGGATGAACTTCGTGTATCTTCTTCACGTTCATTTTGTGAAAAATATAGCTCATCGTGTGATCGACGGCCAAAACGTCGGCTAAGCATGTCGAAAAATCCTGTATTTTTGTCACGATACATAGATGGTGATACTGGTGACACACTTCGCGATTTATTCATTGTTGGAATTTCGATAAAAATTACTCGCGGCTCATCCATTTTTTTGTATATTAATTTTATCTCTGAATTAAATCGATTTTTTTATTTTTATCGATTTTTATTGTTGATTTTCAATTCCTTTTTCACCGTTAATTATGAACGTTGTTTATTGTTAACTTTGTCTCATTAAAATACACCATACAACGAGACTCGCACACTATTTATTCCTTTCCTTATTTCATTCGTTTTCTATGTGGGGGGTTTGCTTACGGTATTCACTAACGATCAATTCAAAATTTGTTTAATCTGACTGTTTACAACTTTCGGCTCTTTCTCTGTTCTCTCAGATTGAAACTTGTATATCGACTGAGCGACGAGAATGGAATGTTGAGTTATCCACGTTCAACGTTTGCTTTATATACGAGGAGGCCTAGTTCATTGAATAGGGGAAGTGGATTTATCACACTGCGTACAACTGTGTATGTGTAAATATTGTTCGCTGCCGATGATGATTTTCGCAACAAAATGCACGTAATACTGAATCAAACAAGGACAATGTATTCGATGTGTTTGTGGAAATATGTGTATGTGAAAGAGAGAAGCTATGAAGTGAAATTGAGTAGGGATGCAGATGTATCCATTAGAGTTGGATGCGAATAAAATATAGAACAATGCACTTTGAACTGACGATTTGTCATACGTCATAGTTTGTTATTTCCACTCGTCGAACTTTTATGTACAATGAACGTAAGCGTATCAAATCGTGTGTTACGTATTCATACTGACTTGAATGAAAATTGAACAATACACTTGCTTCACGGACGTTATCGTCCTTCACCAACATTCGAAACCTATGAACAACCATAAACGTTCAATTATTTGTCTTTGACCATAGAATCAAGTTGTGTCATAACATTTTTGATGAAAAGACAGAGTTCTTGACAGAGAAGAATATGAATATTTATCTATCTTTTAAATTCAATATACATCGAACAATCAAGAAAATTCTTCAATATGAATTGTAATTTAACATTTACTCAATGCTCATTCTGTACCAAACAACGTCACACAGAACCTACCAATTATTTACTTTTCGAATGTCAAATGCATTCAATGACATTGAGTTGAGTCATGAATAAATTTATAGCGGGCATTTTATAATTAAATACAAGCTAAAATTATCACCAATGTTAATTCAAACATTATCACACCAATGACTGATTTGACTCTTCAACCTTTCTATAGGATTTGTTCAATTGAAACTTTTCACCAATGTCGTCATTACTCAGTGTGTAATTATAAAGATCCTAAGTCAAGATAGGGCTAAATTAAATAAATTTCATGCTAATTCGTCTTAAAAATAAGCAGAATAATTTCCAGAAAATATTGACAGGTGATTTCGTTTTGAGGAAAAACGTCCTCTGTCTCTCCCATGCAGTACAAAGTTTCTTTCCAGAAAATTGAAGTGCAAAAAAGGCTAGGGGGTAGACACAAACTAGTACTTATTAGGTACTGCGATTTACTAAAAAAACTAGCAATACTAAAGCCCGTGTCTCCCCCTAGAAAAAAGGTCTTTCTTGTATCATCTTTATTTTAAAAAAGAATACAAAAATAACCATTTTGAAGGATTATTTGAAATAGAGACAGAGAAAAGTTTGACACCTCACAACCCTTCGTGAGCATCCATGACTTAAAAAATATGAGATAACAGAATTATCAAAATTTAATGAATAGCACAGCTGAATAAAAAAAATCAGTACCAACAATTTAATTTGTAATTGCAATGTTCAGGATTCTTTGAAGCGAGCAAATTTGAATTGGAAAAACTACTTACCAAATAACTACAATGGTGTCTGTTAAAGTCATAGAATTTCTTCTCTTTCTCGCATGCTCTCAGTGGTAAGAACCATACTCATTGATAGTATGATATAGATAGTGGACTATTGATACATTTAAATATTTTGTGACAACAATTTGTTTGAAAAACGCGGAGGTAAGAAATATGGAGAAAACTCATACTGACGAGTTAGATTGTCATGGTGGTTGTTTGAAAGTAAGTCGGGTACATTATGATGGACATTGAGAAAATATTCTAATGTATATTGATGGTTTTACGCATTCTTTTTGTACGTACTTTCGATTCTATATATCTTACCATGCAAATGTCGGCCTACTAGATGATGTTGGAGTGGAAATTTTGTCAACAAAAAATGCGTGTTATTGTTGTTGTCGTTTCATTACTCTGGGCATTCTCTTCAAATGGGTAGAACAAATTTCAATGAAAAACAAAAACATTTTATATTTCCAATATCGAAATCAATTTTTTTAGTGTTATAAATAAATACAGTGATTTTTTTTCTATCTTGAGACAAAATTGTGAACGACTTAGACTTTAGAATTTTACTAAGTAAAATAATTTTCCACAACGGTGCTTTTTCCGCTCAATTTTAATAAGAAATTGAAATAATACAAAAAAAAAACATTTAATATATCTGCAAGTGTTTTGAAATGTTCCATTAGATGCATCAATTTGCTTAACAATTTATTTTAATTGAACAATGACCATACAAATTGAACGTTTCGCCTAGATAGTTCAATATTTCGTTGATTATCGCTCTTCTTACAGTTAAATGTGTTTTATTAATTGCAGATTCAAATGACTGACTAAAGCAATCATTTGTATGTAATGTATTGCACAAATTCCAGAAAGATAGCCAACAATATATTTAGGAGTGTGAAGTTATAATAACAGCATTATTTATTTTTCGGCTAGAACGAGGTAATTTAATGCGGAATAAAATCATTTCTGACTGATTCAAATTGGCCCTCGATGACTTATTCTATGTGTATAATTTAAAAAGAAAAAATTGACAAAATGATCATTGTTTGCACATTGCACGTATTGCTCTCTCGGTGTGTGGGTGAATGTGTAAGGTAGTTTCAGCTATAACAAATCATCTCTAAATCGAATTAATAATCCGCAAATCTTATGTTCGGGATTTTTAAGACACCATAACACAAAATTTCCCATAATAAATACTTGTTTTTTTCATCTATCATCTATGTGAAATACATTTATTTTACCTGAAAACAATTTCGTTTCGAACATTCATCGAAAAGTTAAATTTCCAACTTTAAAATTTTCGCTAGTAAAAATTTTGATTGAATAAATTATGATTTTCTCACGTGTCAACATGTAAAAGCATTAACAAAACCAAAAATTGACGGCCACAGATTAGAATATATATATATTTATCTCATCTCACCGATGCCAATTAGAATTGTGGATTATAATTACGTAATATTATTTTCATTTTCAACATTATTGTTGTGTGTTCTACTTTGTATAGACTTGATTTACAATTTTTTTTTTTTCATCAATTTTTATTTATATCACAATATCAGCAATATATGCACGTCCATAAGTAACAAACTGAGTGCTTTAAAGCGAATATTCTTTAGTTTTTGTTTGCACGCATTAGCAAATTGTTTTAAAACATTGTTCATTTGTAGTATTTGGGTGGTGCACTTTATCTATCATTTTACCAGTTGTAATTGGCAATCAAAACTAGAGTGTGTCTATGTATATGTATGTGTGTGTCTGTTGAATTCGCTTGTGCTTGCTGCGCTATATATATTTATATGACTTTGTATAGTTGAATTTTCAACTTGCACAAATTCAAATCAAAACACGTATCGAAGCTAGACTAAGTGTGCTATTTATCAAGAATGGTCACAATGGGGGGTGGTTGGATACATGATTTATTTGTTCATTTTTCATCTTTGATTTGAATTTGTAGTTTTGTTTTTCACCTTTGCATGAATCCGAACCTTTGCTTCCGTTTAATTTGAGTATGTTGCATGTGTGTTGTTGAAAACAAACATCTAATTGTATTTGGTTTCATTTTAAATGGAACATTATTTAAAAGTGTGGCCGTGCCACTATCAACACAATTGAACCTCGAATAATTCGCAATAAATCGATAATTTCCGCCGTTGTCATTCTCTCTACGGATTCATCGTTTACCTAATTGATGGTCAAAATAAATGTGAAAGTTAGTTTATTGAAAAAAATGTGTCATGCAAAAATTACTCAGTCATACCATTAGAATTTTGTCGCCAACTTTCAGTCGACCATCTTTAGCTGCTACCTGCGGTTGAATCACATAGAAACGTATGGAAATTAATCAATAAGTAATGCAAATAATGGAAACATAATCGAAAGAATCGTATAGCAATTCTTAAGTAATGAAAAAAGTATTTTTGCTACATACACTATCATTGTAAATTGCACTAATTTGCGTTTGCATTGAATTTGGATTACTTTGAAGGCTGAAGCCAAGGCGGCTATTCCATCCGCGACTTAATTCAACCGTGATTATCTATGTAATTAATTATAATTCAATTAGAAACGTTTGATTTTTATTTCCTTATTTCAATTTCTCACTAAATGGTCATTTGATAGTAAACGTATTAGAGAAAATGTAAAATCACCTCATGGGTTTTGTCATCGAACACAATTCTATCCAATGAGTTTATGTCTTTGGCATTATCAGCAGCAATTGGATTAATTTCAATCATAGTTGCGCAACTAGAATCCATTTCTGACGATGTTGTCGTCGTCGTTTCGGGCGTTTGTACATTGGCTGTTATTGTTCGATCGGCTTCATCTATTCCAAACATAACACCTTTCCATTTTAATAAATTTTTCGATCCTAATGTTTTATGCATGCATCGAATTAACATAATGACGATAAACCATAAAACAAAACAAAACAAATCAAAGTAAACAAATATGAATTAGATGAAAATGATTAAATTATTGAACAAAATTAAAAAGCACATGTAGTAAAACAAAACAAAAAGCAGCTGAACATTGCAAGAAAAGTATGCAAACAGGCAGAAAAAAATTGTGTACCTTCTTCGGAGTTTTCAGCATGATAATTTTCATCATCATTAATGATTGGTTTTGATTTAACTTGAACGTGAGCTGATTGATACATTGGATTTTTGTATGAAAATTCATCTTCATCGTTTGTTGGATTGCTGTTTATGCGTGACGACATCAAAAACGTTTCGCACGGTAAACTGGTAAAGTCATTATTGATCCCATCTTGATGGTACGGTTGATTGTTTAAATTTGGATTGTTACACATCGTATTGTATACAGGAGCATCTAAGGCTTCATTGTCTAAATTGTTTAATTCATAGCCATTGGCAGCTGTAGAAAACAGATACCAATTGTTATAGTAGGTGATTTATGCATCAAATTTGTCGTATAAATTATTCGTTTTAACGATCAATCAAATAATTACCAGATAGTTGAAACATTGGTTTTCGGGATACGACTGGTGTGTAGCCACTGCTTCCACTAATATCTAAATGACTAGGTCTGTCCGTCGTGCCAATAGATTCATCCACATCCATTAGACGCCACAATTCTTCCTCATTGTAATACTCTGAATCCTCTCCACGTGGTCTCTGGTGCTGCTGCTGTTGCTGCTGTTGCTGCTGTTGCTGGTGGTGGTGATTTGGTTCTTGTTGTTTATATTGATTTTCCACTGTAAATGTATCGTTCATAACTCTTTCTTTACACTGTGTTGCCGGGTGCTTCGTTTTTTTACCAATAAACGAACCCTGAGATATTGTTGAGGTTTCTGAATCCGAACAAACTGAAGATGATTGCATTGTCACCGCGTACGCAGTTGGATTTTTATAATTGAAGCCTTTCAAATAAAATCGAAGAATATCAAATGAAAAAGAATATAATTTCTTAGCTTGCATATTAAGTTACTATTAAAATGTCCAAAAATCACTTACTCTTTGCTGCAGACTTTTCGTATTCACTTTGCAATTCGGTAGTATTATCGCTTGAATTGACTTTGTTGTTATTGTTGTTGTTGTTGCGCCGTAGACGCCGTGGTGATGCCGAACTCGACGAACCATTGACGGACGAACCAGTTGAATACGAGTCACAGCTTTGCTTTCGGTTTTTATGTGCCAAATCAATTAACAGATTCATTGCCTCTGGCCTGTTTTTTTTTTAAATCAAAAATGGAATAATAAATTTCATGGAGTTGGTGTGTGCACACTGCACAGGGCACTTTATGTCTATATTACATGTTCATTGGCGAGATTCAAAGTGGTCAATATTTGATGTTTTTGCAATAAATAAAAATGATTGCCAACAATGGTGGCAGCGACATAAAAAAAAAACAAAACTCCAAACAAACAAATATGGGTTTTCATCCCAAATTACGAAAAATAAGAGAATAGAAAAACGACTTTGACTCAATTGCAGCAATATTCAATTACCGTAAGCTCGCCTTCTTTCCAGCATTCGAGATGTACTGTTCTGACGTTGATGGTGATATTGATGCAATTGGTGTCTGTGAACTGTCACGATATAATCGTAATTTGACTCGATCCTTTGCTCGTCTTAAAAATATCACAGCCTCTTCATGAGTCATTGGACATAATGGAACGTCGTTAACCTAATTTTCATTTTAAATTTTCATTTTCATTAGTTGTCATTGACCATTGTCATGAAAGCACTTCACTTCAGATTGATTTTTTTATTGTAGTTACGGTTTTAAAGTATATTTTAAAAAAAGAACACTCACAGCCACAATTTTATCACCAGGTTTAATTCGACCATCGCTTGCAGCCGGATCTCTTATCAATGCTCGTACATAATGACCAAGAACAGATTCATCCTCTTTCCGTAATGTAAAACCAAGTGAGCCCTGTTGTTTAACCATTGTTATTTCGAATTCCTATTTGAGATGCAATTCAGTTTTTATGATTATTAAAAACACATACACACACCGAATATGAGTGCATGGCATGCACACATTCCATATTCGGTCAAAAAAAAAGAAGTTTAAATTAAATATTGAGAGTGTTAAAACTAAAACAAACACATACACCATCAGTAAAAGTTTGAATTGGGGATTGAGGTTCGAATGTGGTTGTTGTATGTAGCGATCTTTGTGGCGGTCGTGGTGGATCTGCCGGTGGTGATAGTTTTCGAAATTGTTCATCATGCGGTCGACACACTTTTAGCATAACCAAATTTGGTGCAGTTCGAAGTACCTCCAGTGCTTCCTAATAAATGTATATGAAGTGTTCAAAAGTGCTCAAGTGCAATATACAAATTGTTACCATTGTGGCTCATTCGGTATATATTAAATGAATTTGACTTAGTTTAAACGCAAAATAGATGTTTTTTTTTTTGTTTTTGTTTTTTAGAAGTTTTAATAACTAACATGATTTGTTAATCCGGTTAATGGGGTGTCATTCGCTTCAAGTAAAATATCTCCTGGCTGTAACATTCCAGTACCTTTAAAAATAAAAATAATTAAATAAAAAAAATAATCTATTTATTAATAATTTAAATATAATTCAATTAATTACTCCATGCGGCCTGGTTAGGGAATAAACGCTTAATACGGATCAATCCACGAAATGATACATTTGTGTCCGTTCCACCGTATACTGAAAGCACGTTGAAAAGTTAAACATGGTACAGAATGAACGAATTAAAAGAAATGAAAATGATTTACACCAACCTGAAATGCCCAAGCCACGTTCATTCTTCATCACTTGCACCGTAAAACAACAATCTGTAATTAATAAAAGAAACATTTCAACGATTATCAACGATAATCAACGATAATTGAAACATTGATTTCAATCACGGAAATTGTGCCAAATTGATTGTAATCGAGGAAATAACTTTTCTTCTTTTTTTTAATTTGTGCAAATGTGTATGCGCAAAATTTAAAATATATATATATACATATATTACTTGAGTGAACAAACCTTGTGTAATGAAATTGAAATCGCCTTCACTCACTCTACCATTGTTCCATTGTGATTTTTGTTGACAGTGCGGATCGATTGTTTGATATGGAATCGATAAAATCGGTGGAAGCTCATCTTCGGGTGAACGCTCCGAACCGTATCCCTGATCGCAGCCCATATCGAGATTTGAACGATTTATGGCCAGTTTCAAATGCATTGTGGTTTCGACTCCTGCCATTGCGTGTCATAGTGTACATATAGAAGAAAAAGTACATACTTTAGAAAATGTTTGGCTATTCGAATATATTATATGAATGCATTTCATACCATTGCTTGTGGAAGATTTTACGTTTGGTCGGTGGTTCGTTTGATTGTACGTTAACACTTTGGGCGATGACGATGGATATTGTATGCTGTCAATGTGCAATTTGTTTTTTTCAAATGGACGTTTCTGTGAATCCGTATTGCTTTTGTTGTAAACTATTTCACATCGAAATGGAAATGGAAAATTTGTATTATAGTTATATGACAGTTGGTAAATCGTTTATAAAACGCGTTTAATATCATATTGTTATACAAACTTTTTTCTCGATATGTTTCATCGGAATCGATGTCTAAGTGATTCGGAAGGCTACCAAAGAATTTATTACGTTCAGTTTTTTTAATATTCATCAATTGTGAAATATCTGGCGTTGGACATATAGTTGTATCGACTTGGTCTTCATCATTCATTAAATGTGGATCGTTTGCTTGTGCCTCGATTGCAATTTGATGTTCACGCTCATTTAATTTATTTACATTTCCATTGGTTAAGTCGCCTACGGTCATGAAATAAACCACCACAAATATGAGATAACTGAATTAATTTTAAATCTTCAACTGATTTTCAAAACTTTCAAATCACAAATTTGGCACGCATATGCCATGGAATGTATATTTAAATATTTTGATTCAACCGAATTTAAATTGGATTTGTTTTGTATCGTTGACACGATGGAGGGTAGAAAATACAATAGACACACACAAATATAGACAAAAACACTAACCTGACGACTGTGCTCGGCGACCCGATAATCCTTTTGCTGTGTTCCGTGACACATTTGATCCCATATTATTAACGTGCCGTTGTTGGTTTTGCTTATATTTTAATTTCTCTTTTAATTCATTGGTGTTTGTGTGGTTGTTATTTTTGTTACTGCACTGCTCATTTTCTTTAATGGTATTAATGAAAAATGTGTTTGTAAAATAGCCAGTTTTATCGGTTCCATCTTGGTAGACTTTTTGATAGCGGTAATTTAGGTGATTGTTTTTGTTGGTATTTTTCGTCGTTGTTACATTGTCATAAAAATTGTTATCGCTATTTATGATGGGTGTTACAGTTAATGATGTTGTTGATGCGTTTTTATTGTTACACAAACTTGATTCGTTGATTTTTTGATTACAATCACCATCATCGCCGTTCTCAAATAAATTGTCAATGATTTTAACACGATTTCGTTCACATTTATCAAATGTCCATTGATTTTGAAATGATGCTAAATTTTCTTCAAATTTCACCAGACTCTCCTTTTTATTTAAATAAAAAAAATTAAAGTAAAATAAAAACATGTGATTACGAAACAATATTAAAACTTTAGAATAATTGTGTGCGTTGCGAGACAAAAGTCTGATAAAAGAAAATAATAGTTTATGATGACCATTCATCTGAAACTGTGCGCGGATTCGGTTGACAATGTGCAATGCACGTTTTAAATTCGGCTGTGTTAAGCAACAAACCTGTAATACCAATACGCATACACGCACAGACAGAGAGACAGGGAGACAGAATGTCATTTTCTGTATGTCAATACCGATTCGGCGTGAGTCGGTGTATGGTGCTTGTGAATACGAAAACGTTAGTTAAAATATCGGCACTTGTTTCACACACTGTGCGGTGTTGCGTGTTTGATATATCAATTCAGGTGATTAGGTTTATACCACCATAAATTAAAACAAACACCGAAAATGGCCATTGAACATAAAATTATAGCACAAATTAAATGGATACGTTTCGCGCGAAACATTATTAAATATAATTGACGGACTGTCAATTTGAGTTTGATTGAAATTTTCCCATTTCGTACATACACGGACACACACACATAGTGTTGTTGTTGTTGTTTTTTTACCTTATCTGTTGAATTATTGATGACATTGTCCGAACTTCTCTGTAAATGCGATATAGCTGGATCATCTGTAATGGAAATGAAAATAGCAAGCAAACAAAAATGTAAAAATGTTTCGCTATTGAAGTGTCAAATGAGGAAAGATTGAAAATAAAAAAGTGTATATAATTATTGTAATTGTTTTGCGTGCCAGTCATTTTGCCCATAGTCCCCAAAGAGTTCCCGAGAAAATTTGTGTTGAACACTCGAAAATAGTTGTGAAAAGCGATCTAATGTTTTAATTTGTTTGAAACGGTTTGAAACGAACATCAAAATTCATTCCACTTAGTTGTAATTCAAATAATTGTCTGTTCAACTTTTTGATGGGAGAGAGTGAATAAGAGTGCCTGATTTTGATTTTAAAGTATTTAATTATACTTGTTGCTATATAATAATCATTCGTTATCTCAGCCTATTTTAAAAGATATGATGGTGGAACCATCGACGAATTCACAATAGCACACACATGTCTGTGTAATCGTAGTTTTGGATCGTTTGTGTATTAGATTCTCATACATCACGTATAAGAATTTCACGAACCATTTATTTTGGTGTTACATCTAATGAGACTAGAGTTGCGGGTATTAGTTTACAACTTTTCTAAAACTTTGTATATCTCTAAAACATTTCATAATTAAAGCGATTAATTGATGTTTAATTTAAACAACTTTGTCCTTTAGCTCACATAGCGCACTATTTGCACACATACACCCAGATCCTCAACCACACACTCTATCTCATAACTATCTTCCTGCTATAGATTTTGCACATCCGATGGATGTACGCACAAACGTATGGTGGGAATCTTCGATGTGTACAAAATATAGTGTAAAATGTGTGTGTGTGCATTGATTATAAGATTTTTGTTTTATTTTGTTTTTAAAGGGTGCTTAAAGTTTTTTACGAATTTTCATACAAAATTCAGTTAAATCGCAAATGATCTAATGAACAAAAAGTTGTTCTCAGCGAAATTTGTATGCTTCAACTACTAAAGTTAAACTAAGTTTCTTCAATCTTCAGTGTTTTTCGCGTGCATTTTTTTTTGTTCTTAAACATCTGAGATAGATGCATTTTTTGCAAAGACAGCGGTTTTTTTATCATTCGCTCACGAAAATCATGCAATCAAAACTGCGAACGGGAGATTGAAAGTTTTTAAACTCATGCAAACTTTATTAAAACTTGGCATTGATGTTTCAGGGCATTTCAATGTTATATAGCTAACTAACTAAATACTTCTTTATTGTTTATTTCGTACTAAAATTGTTCGGATAGAATAATTTGACGCATAAATGTTTACAACCTATTAATCTATTTTGAATGCCAACTCATTTGGATTGTGTGCACATGATGATGCGCCTTCACATATGAAACACAAACGATCAATTCAAATGACAATTTCACCATTGTTATATCCATTTAGCATTTAGTTTCAATGGAAATTATTTATCCGTAATAAAATGATTTTGCCCATGCAATAACTCATTAATGGCAGACGACTTTTCCACCATCCCCACATATATTCGAAAAAATGTTGATTTATCGATTTAACAAAGAGAATAACAAAATAATAGCAATAAGCATAATAACACACATATTTGCTTTTATATTTGTGAGAAGAGATGTTATGCGTGAATTTGTATGTGCAATATAACTATACATTTCCTCGTGTGTTGCAGTATATTTTTTAATTATAGATTTCGAGTGAAACGCTACTGCACCCAATCAATGCATACCACTGAATTTTATCTTTCTTTTCTCCACTTTTCCGGCTAGCAAACAAACATTTCATACGATACCAACTTAGAAAGACTTAATGTGTTGATGTGCTCGATTTTTTGTTGTTGTTGTTTAAATTTACAGATTTTTCTGTATGTTTTCAAAAAAAATTTGCACGCAATTATTGCAATTAGATCTTGAAAGATTGTGCGCGTGACAACAAACGGTATAGAAGCGTTATAAAAATAAATAAATGCTCAAACGCACACACACACATGTACACAGAATTCAAGGTTTAGTCGATTGAACAATGTATCAAGAGCAACCGTATAAATCAAGCGAAAATGAGAATCAACGAAGAGGAACAACACGATATAGATGGAAAAATATGTTTTATGCTTTTTAATTATGAATGATTGTTTTCGGTAGATAACGGAAATGAACGAAAAAAAAATCAACTGAAAAATCTAAGCCAAACGAGATTTCGAAAAGAAAGAATAAGAAGAAGGAGAATCTTACTGGTGTTTCGTTGCTGAGTAAATTCTTTTTTTTTTTATTTTAAATGAAATTATATACAATGTTTGCTTTTTACTATTTACACAGAGAATATCAGCGATTTATTTTAAATTGTTTCTCGCACTTTAGTTTGAGTGTTTGTTTACGTATTTGGATTGTCTACGACTGAAAACTGACCATTTTCATGAGAACTGAAACAATAGACGAAAACGAGAACAAGCATGGATTGCGATATATTATTATTTGTTCAGCCTGAAACTTCATTGTCATCATTTTCGTATGAATTTTACCCTCCAAAAAAAAAAAAAAATCACGGTGTGTTTGATGTCATATTCACTTTGTATATCGTCATTCCGAACAGAATACATATGTTTACACTGCCACATATATACACACAGAGAGGTTGAAAGGTGTAAATTCCTTATGCTGTCAACCAATTACAGACAATTCAGATTCTCTTATTACCGGCACTCAAAATGAAAATGTCAAAATAAAAAGGAATATAACATAGAGTTCTCAAAACAAACAAAAATTGTAATTCGTCACCGAAAAGTCGTCTATTGATGCAGTTTCCGAAAACATAATCAGTTTGTATACACTTGAGAGATAATTTACATAACAAAAAACTTTTGTGAAAATGATTGCAATAATTGTTCAAACTTTGAACAATAACAATAACAGTAACCATAATAAGCATGATGATATGATGATAATAATAATAATAGCAATGATAATATTTATAGGTGCAGTATGATTTGCTCTCAACTGTGACAGTGCGTGATGAGTTAGAGTTTTTGTATATAAACAAATGTGTCTCATATTTACCTAAATGTACCATATTTGATTTTGGCAAATAAATACACCTAATGAAATTGGATTTAAATTATATTTCGGTTTTTTTCACTCAAAATAAAGGCCAAATTAAATAATTGCCAAATAAAATCGTTGAAACACAAATCAACTTGTTTTAACAATCGGTTTCATTAGCACATTGAAGGTACACAAACTGAAAAAAATGGAAGATAAATAAAATAAACAAACGAAAAACTAGATAAACTAATAAATGCTCAGTTATCGTCTTTCTAATATATCATTGGGTCAATTATCATAAAACTGATATCTTTTTATTACATATCACACAATTTTTGAACTCATTGTAATAAGTAATTTCACTGAACATTTTCGATCGCGGCGGGCAAACACACTCTCTCGCTCTCTTTTATAAACACACACGCACACACTCGGATACAACAAATCAAAACAATATTGTAGCAGAAGAACAATTTCGAGCATAGAAATGGCATGAAAAAAGTACCATTAACCAAAGAAAAGAACAAGATTTGTCAATAAAATAATGTTGTTTGCGGCTTTTGCGCTCTTTTTCCATTCTGTTGTTGTTTTTTTTTTTTGATGGAATTTCTTTTTTATTCCTCCGTTTGTGATTTCGTTATTTCTCTCTTTTACTCTCGTTTATTCAATTATTTTTCTTTTTTTCTGTTGGTTCATATTTTTTTTTCGTGTTTGAATACTTTGAATCTCAAACAAATGTACACGCACATAAATTCAAAACAAACTTGTGTGTTGAGGACACCAACGAATATTTTACCCGAATTCGAAATGAATCAATGTAATTTAGACTATTCGGCGGAACTATTAAACTGTCACACAAAACGCGATCATACTCTCTCTTAAGACTATTTCTCTCTATTTTAATGTTCGATTGTATATTCTAGGAAACAAAAAATGTTTTATTTGGTTTTGCTTGCTGTTGAAAATTTGAAATAAAAATAATAATAAAAGAAAATGAAACCCGAACAACTCACATCGAGCCAATTTTTTGTGAGTGAAAGAAAAAGACTTCGATCCAACTTCCATCCACTCTCAGTTGAATGTTCGCTTGCTTTTCATGCCACGCTTAAACTGTTTCGGTGCCTCTATTTTTTTTACGTTTATTGACTCGTTCTCGTTATTCTTTGATTTGTTTTCTTCCTCTTCGGAATCCATGTGTAATCGTATGTGTGTGTGTCTATGTCTGCTTATGCATGTGTATTATTTTGTATGCCTTTGTTGTGACTGTGTTCTATAGCACTGTTCACTATGTTTCAATGTTGTAGTTGTTGTTGCATTTTTATTTTCACTTGACTTATGTATGAATACAACGAACTATTCGTTAGAGTGGATCGAAATGCTGGTAAATTTTGGTTCATATGTTCATTGCCACCTGACATATTCAAGCGATGACTAATCGTAACGCAACGATATAGTGGGTGATATAATTACAATGAAATGCGCATTACATTCAACAACAACAACAACAACAACAAAATCTATTATATGCTTGTGATATGTTTCATATACAAAACATTTTAAAATGTTGCTCTTCACATTACCCTAATGCTACGCGCATAGCATTATTATTACATATATATATATATATATATATGTGTGTGTGTTTATATCGACATTGTGTTTACTTTTTTATTGTGTTTTTTTTTTTCGATTGAGAAGTGAGAACATCACCGGCAATCCCAATAGCTGAAAATCACAGTGAGAGGCCATACGACATGAACAGCATATGTGCAAATATTTGATACGAGAATAAAAATAAAAGAAATATTTGAAATTCCATTACGCGAAAATACTTAGCCTATTTAGCAGCCATCGATTGTTTGTGATTTGTGTTTCATCAGCACAAAGTAAATTTTGAAAATCATCCAGTAGTGGAAAACTCATCAGTGTCAAATGGAATACGTTTTTTTTTTGTTGTCAAATGCTCAAACTCATGTTGGCCTTGAACATATTAAGTGACTTTAGTGATTTGTTTGCCAAAAACAATTCTCTTGCAAGTTCAAGTTCAAGTCGCAAATTATTTATTGATTACAAAATTCAACTGTCCATATCTTTGTTTGCATGATATAATTCATACTTAACATTTTACATGAAAAAGTTCCAAATGTTATCGTTCAATTTAAAGACAATTTAAATGCGAACACATTTTTAATTGAGAATAATGATCGTTAAATTTTATTTGATTTTAATCGAAACGAATCTCTGTATGTAATGCAATAAATGAAAATTGAATGTTTTGGTGTGCAATGTTTGCAACGCTAAGTGATCACTTTTTGTTCCGGGAATGATTTTGCGTCGTTTCTCTTGAGCACACATCATATGCGTGAAAACTAAAAATACCAACAACAAAAACCACAACAATCGATTTCAAAAACAAAATTCATTTGGGCAGAAGACCATACAGCCAGCAGTCAATATGTTCATTTCCGCTGTTTGTGCTATAGTTAATTGTCCAGAATTTTTCAAATATTTGCTTGCCTACAGCGTACAAATATTGTTTCAATCATTGCTATTGTTCAAACCATTCTGTTTGCATAAAATAAAGAGTCAGACGAATATTTTTTTATCGAAGAAATGTTCAAAACTGTAATTCACCAAATTCTATATATTCATATAGCAAAATGCCAGAATAAAAACAATAACATCAAAACTAAAATAAAAAAAACGAAGTAAACAGAAGAGGCGAAAGAAATAAAAGCAATAACAACAACAACAACACTAATAATATTAAAACAAAACAGAAATCGAATGAAAGAACATAGAGATCATCAAACGAGTTTCAGAGAAGAGAGAAACGACCCAATTTTTAATTCAACGATTTCGCATATTTCTTCTCTATTTTATTGGATACGCAATTTTTAATTTAATAATTTTACGGTTTTCTTCATCGTTTGCTTCTTCATTGTTGCCAATGATTGAGAGTACCTTTTATTTTTCATCCATATTTCTATTAATTTCTCATGGCATTTTCTTGGCAGCCGCATCATCATTCTATATCTACTTAAATGTGTGTGTGCATTTTTTCTCGTCGTTTTTTTTTATTGTTGAAATATTTAACATGTGCAATTCGGTTGTCACACAACAAATTGCGCTAATTTTCACATTTTCACCGTACAATATCGAGTTAATTTGTATGCTTTTTATGTTGTACATTAGGTTGCTACGCAATGTTATTATCGTCGCTATTATCTTTATGCTTTCGTGCACTACTGCACACATACTGTATTCACTTGGTTTGGTCCGTGTTTTTGGATATTTAGATTTTGACACCTGGTTTTTGTGTGGCCAGTGCTATCTCTCCATCTCTTTCGCTGCATCTCTTTCTATCATTCGATCCATGCACTCTCCGTGTTTTTCTATTCTTTGCTTCTTTCCGGCATTTACCTTCAATGCGTTCCACAGTTGCCAATGACATAAGAGACAACTTTTATAATGTATTTACGGTAATGTACTTTGGCTTGGCTATTGCATTCAAAATGTCTGATTAAAATGTTGCAGAATGCGATTTTGTGGCTGTTTATCTATCATTTCACTCTTTCTCTTTATTCGTTTGGTACCGTTGTTTTTACTTCATAAATTTCACTTCAAATGGGTTTCGTTTTAATTATACAAATGTCATGGCAACGAAATGTTCACATTTTCTGTTACATTTGGCAAGGATTAAACAATTTGCAATGGAACATGATCTATGCTCATTTATGAATTAATTCAATTCCAAATGAAAATTAACCACACAATAACACCAATCATTTATTTAGCACGCACACACACACAGGCTATGAACATACAGTTTGAATGAAATTGGTAAACAATAAGTTGAAAAAAGCACAACCGAACATTAATTTCATTTAAAAGTGAATAAACAATGGTTCGAACCAACCAAAATGAACGAAAAAAAAATATTCGCCAGAAAAAAACAACAACATCAATACTTTATTGTCGCATTAAAAATAGCTAAATTCAATTTCAGAGAGAGAGAGAGAGAGAAAATAAAATAAATGTACCGTACCTCAAGAATGGGATATCGCTGGTTGTAATTCTTACATTTGAATTGGATTGAATTTGCTTCCTAAAAACTATGGCCAATTGTCAATCACAATAATGGGAAAAGCCGTTGTTTATATGTATTTTACACAGAACATGCACGCGATATGCTCCGTTTTTATGCCTCCCCCATATTTTTGTACTTGTACGCAACGAAAATTCACATTTATCTTAAAAGCACCACACCATACACTATTTTAGCTCACCAGTATATACACACGAATCTTTTTTATCGGAGTGTTGCGTAAAAATTTCCAGCCGCCAGAGCCAGAAAATCTTCTTTTTTTTCGTGAACTGAACGCTTCAACCGCTTACGACGAATTAAAGTAATGTGGAAAAGTTGACAAATACTTGCATGGTTATGAGAATCACTTTGTGTATTTGTTTGCATACAGGATAAAATATCATACTCTGTCCAACCAACATTTATTCAAATACACCAAATTCCCCTCTTCCAATCATTTTATTTCGTGCTTTTTCACAGTGTAGTCTCAGTTAGCTTGTATACAATTTTCCTTTTTCTTCTTGTCGCTGTATTGGTTAATTCTTAAGCTTATTCATACATTCATACATGGCATTGGCTACATTTGATATTGTACACATATATGGATGTAGCTACTAGCTATATGTTACAAAATACATGAAACAGCTGACATTTGTCGTTTCGGTTTCGGCTTCAGGAAACAATTCAATAAAACGATGATTGTTCATCTGCACAATTCGAAATGTTCTCCATAATTTTTCATTTCGAAATGATAACTTGTGCATTTGATAGTGGCACCAACAAAAAAGAAAAACGATTTTCGAATAACATTTTTTGATGGACTTGGGGTATGATTGTTGTCCACACAAAATGTGCGTTCGTACTGTGTTTATGCTTGTATTTGTGACTTCAAGTGATATTGTACAAAAGTGACATGCGCCCTTTTGTAAGGTTCTATCGTCGACTATATCGTCGGTGACTGTTTTGGCACTCTTTTTGACTCTTTTGGCATAAAACCAGACATTTTCAACGCACATTACGTGAAATTATATAGAATTTCAACTCGACAATTTTCAATTTGAATGAAATGCCTGTTGTTGTTTTTTTATTCCGATCTTTCTTTCTTTCTTTCTCTCTCTCTCTCGTTTTTCTTTTGCCTTTCAACAAAGCAACCTTTGCACAAAATTATGACCACACTCAATGGTAAGATAGCTTGGTTTTTGTACAATGTCATCGTTGCTCTCATGATAAATTAATTCTAATTGCATACGGTTAAATGGAATGGATTCCTTTTCATTTCTCAATGAATAAGTAACAATAATGGCCGCACATTATGTCAAGTGTGTGGTATTAAATAGAGAACATGTACTTCTTCGATGGCAAGATGAAAAGAAAAGAAAGAAACCAACTCAGGAAGTTCTGGTATCATATATAATTGATACGTATATGCGGTAATAGCAAAACCACCGTCAATATTGTACATTGGTGACAGTTATCTTCTGTCCCATATTGTCTCATTTTCTCATTCTCTACCTCCCCCCACAGCACTCAACTGATTCAATTCAAACCGAATGGTAAAATACCGAATAGCTTAAAGCTGCCGTCGCATTCAATGAAGGATATAGCAATATCCATAAATGGAATTGAAAAGGGATTAAGTTTGAATGAATTTGTTGCAAGGAAATTCGTGCAACTTTCATTACATGCAAAATTGGTAGACCGAAAGAGAGTAAACGCTTCAGGCGAGATGTCGGTTATAAGTTTCACGGTAGGGGAAATGTATGAGCTTGTTTTAAACGATTTAAACTCATGTAAAAAATAATAATAATAATAACTATTCTCCTTCGCATTGATTCTTCGACGGCATCCTTTACGTACAATCGTTTCTAGCTCATCGACAAAATGCCGTCTGAGTCATTTCGAATATGAATGGCCGTTTATGTAAAGTGCTCTAAAAACTGAAATGTCGATAGAGTCAATTTAAAATCCCTTTTCCATTTGAACACACATAAAAACGGGAACACATAGAAATAATTCAAATTGAGATGGATGTCGGCTATTCGTTTGACTCTATCAATTTCAGCTTTCAATAAGGCGATTGTATTTGTGTGTGTTTTTTTTCATGTTCTTCAATTCATATGGTGAAGTGGCGATTGAGTGTTTTTATATTTAGAAAATTACACATCATTTAAATACTTACCATGGTATTGATATGAACTGGAACTCGATTTGGGACGTTGAGTTTTTCTACGTTTTTTATTTCGAATTTGTGTCGATATTGCGAAAGTATCGTTGCCGTCATCACTATCGCTGCTTCTATAGTTATTATTATAAAAATTCGCAATACTGGCACTTTTTTTAATTTTGCTATGAAACACTTTTTTGCGACCGTTCGCTGCTCTTGTGTTATTATTAATGCACTTTTCATTTTGATTCAAGTTGTATCGCTGCACATCGATCCAGTCATTGGGACTGTGAATGGTGGTGCAGTCGTTGCCGATATCGTTGCTCTTTTCACAATTAAATTGAACAAAGGACACTTTTCTATTGAGTTGAGTTTTCTTTTGTTTTGCATCGTTGCTGCCATTATTGACATTATTGTATGAATTTGCTGAAGATGCACGACCATTTTTCACATTTGGTTGATTATTTTCAATTTTAATTGAAACTAGATGTTCATTGTCGTCGCCGTTGTTGTCGTCGTCGTTGTTGTTGTTGCCATCGTAATTTTTATACGTTTCACCATTTTCGTTGTCATCGGATGCCCGTGTCGTAATTTCATTTATATCGTTGATGCATTCGTCATTGGTTTTGTCCATTGAATTGGAATCCAGTTCATGTGATAACAGCACATTTGAGATTAATGTGTCTGTTTTGGTTATGGCTTTATTTTGGTTGGAATGGTGATGATGGTGGTGACGACGACTTGAAAACTCTTCAACAATATCACATGTTGAAAATGACTTTAACATTCGAACACTTTCGGATTTTTCTCCCCGCAATTTACTATTTGGTAATGCGATTTTATCTAATTTGTCGGAGCTTTTCGATCTCTGAGGCCGTCTGCGAATCCTTCGGTGTACAGTCTTCTTCTCTTCCGGCACGACAATTGCTCCAGCCGCACTTTTTTCAATATGATAAACTGGTTTTCGGCACATTTGTTTCGTGTCATTTTCATCGCTTGACGATGTCGATAGATTTCGTTGATTACATTTAATCTGACACTTTGACGACGATGACGATGATGGTAAACCGGATGGTAATGATAATGATGAATTCATACTTTTTGTTCGTCGAATTTTTCGACGTGACTTTTTCCGTGATACTTTACCATTTACCAGTATTTCAGCCATGCTTGTGCATTTTGATATGGAATTCCTTTCTAAATCAATTGTTGACGATTGCATGGATTGTGATTGGGATTTAGTATTCGTTTTCTTTCGTTTTGTGATCGTTCCCAAATTATTTTGCGATGTAATGTCGTCCATAGGATTTGAACTTTTACCACTGTCCTGTGAATTTTGACGATTTCGAATCGCATCGAATTCTTTCGCATTAAAGTCTCTCTTTACTAATCCTTTGGCACTATATATATAAATTGGCACTTCTGGTAAATTTTCTTCCACTTCATCTTGTTCCTTTGATGATGATAATAGTTCAATGTCATCTTTTTCAATGTTATTTATCGATTCGTCATCGTCGGCATTGTGATGAAGAGTGTATTGTGATGTTATGCTATGCGACCGTGTGCATTTCCTGTTCGTTTTTAATGAACTATCAGTTTTCAGTGAACTGCATTTGTCATCAGAACGAATGATGATGCTAGAATTTTGCGGTGAATTCAACGTTGAATTGGAAACGCTAAACGAACAGGATTTTCGTAAGCGAACTTTTTTACTGATATCATATAGCGAAAGATGAATTGGCGATGATGATGTATGCGGTTCATTCTCCTTGCCATTGATTACAAAATCAGCTTTATTGACATCAGCCAATAACTTATTATTGCTATCATAGAGTAGAATGCGCGGAAAGTCAATATTTGCCGACGATTTTGATGTACTCAATTCCCAATTCCATAGTTTTGGTTTTTTTAATTTTAATTTTAAAATGTTGTTGTCATCTTGATGACGTAAAACATGGCCGAACGGCACATTTGACGATGATATCGATGCAACCGATGACGCCATATCACATTTCAAACTTTATTTCATTCAAACACTTGCTATTCCATTACAATATTCTTCTTTCATATCACGTGATTTTTCTCATATTCCAAATTTCCGTTCAAAATTAACTATTTTTAAAATAAAATACAAAAATCAAAATAAATATTTAATAAATTACAAACAAATGGATAGACATCTCATTGTATGAATTTGGCAAAAGCAACTCCTTTTTTTTCCACTAAGAAAGCAACCAAACAAAAAAAAACATTGTGTGAAGTCATCGAGAAAGGAATTTAATAAAACAACACCAACTGATATCTGGCAGTCATATTTCGACCACTGCCAGGGACTATTTTTATTTAAAATAAAAAGAAAACAACGGCAACAGAACATCAACAAAATGTTTTCGTTTTTCTGTTATTCATAAAATGTCTCTTAATAGGTTTATTTGTATATTATGAAGGCGCTCATAAATGTGGGTGTAGCGTAATGAATGTCTTTTTGTTTGTTCATGTATAGAATGTGATCATTAATGAAAAGTATCAACCGAGAATCATCAAGTTCATGCCATTAGAATATGTATTATGGATGTGAAAAACAAATGGACGATTTTTTTCTCGGGCGTACTGTAACCTATTTTTAGCATCGTAAAATATTTTCACGGCTACATTGTCGACGATGACGAAAAACAAGCCAATAAGAAAGTGTTCGCATTGAATGCCAAAATATGATTCCATTGTTAATGTGAATCTGCAGATATATTTTTCGTTTTTTCTTCATCATTTTCATTTTAATTGACGATCAGTGCCACAAATTTGTCTGTCACTCTAATAAATATAATTTAGATGCTAATTTTAAAATATTTATGAATGTTTGCCAAAATGTTTGACATGAAAATGCAAAACACACACAGGTGCCTGTCTACGCTTGTATTGCCATTTGTTAACATCTATCTTTTTGTTGTGTGTTTCGTGTGTTTCGCTTCATTTTAAAACTTGTGCATTGGAATCTCACATTTTTTTGTTTGATGTCATCGCAGTGAATATCAACAAAACAACCGATCGACTTGAAAAGTTTAAATAAACGGCGAATATTTTGAATTGCAATTGATTTATTTTCGGTTTGTTTTTTACGTCTTCACATTGGCATTTACTCCTACTGTAAGCTACATTCGCTTTTTAAGAGTTTTTTCCTCTTTATGGAATTCAGATGAAAGAGCGTCATCATGAATTGCGACGGTTTATGAAATAGATGATATTTGTCCAAATGCGGAATGAATAAATGACTCTTTTAGTATCGATTTCTAGACATATTTGTAGTGGCACATATTATTCGAAAATAAATTAAAAAAAAATTTCAGTCGAAATACATTTGTAGTTTCATGAAACATTAACACTTTCATAATATTTTGCATCTGTTTATTGAATTGAACAAGTAATTTGCTTGATCTCTTAATCGGTACATTTCGAGAAATAGATGCGTTGCAAAATACAAATTTCGTTAGAAAATAATAACGCATGTATTTGTGCGTGCGTGAGTGTAGAAGAAAAGCGTATTGTAAGGAAACTAAATGCCATTTCTCAATCAAATATAGGTTTGAGCACCAAATTTTCCTTTGATTTCAAATGAATTGAAGCAAATCACTTATTCAATTTTCGTTTGGATTGCAACATTCCCAATGGCAAACAAACAAAACTGTTAGAGTCGAACATTGCTTTATGGAGATAAAAAAAAAAACAAAAACAAAATATAAACAACCACTTCGTATTTTTCACTTATTCACAATATTACCGAAAGATTGTAAAAGCACAGATGCCACCGCTTTATAACATAATGTTTAAAGGTCGTGTCGAGAACTAAAACAACAGATCACATTTTCATTTTCACTTAAAATTCGGTATACATTCTGAATTCTCTCTGTCTGTCTCTCTCATTCGAATGAAAAACACGAAAAAAACCGTATAGTTGTGCCAATTTTTTCGCTTTCTCGGCTATCATCTTGTATGTTTGTTTCGAATCGAGCGCATCCGACTTCGGACGCTTTGCGTACATTCACATATTCTCGATTTATTTTTAAATCATTTCAGGATTTGTGTACGTGTATTGATTTATATCATAGGCTATATGAAAACACAATATTCATACTACTACAAATTCTTGTCTGGTTTGGACGTAGGTTTGCATTTCGTGATCGCCGCCAATTCAAAAATCAATTATCCACAGAAATGCACATTGCTAACGACATATGCAATCACAAGTAAAACAAAAATAGTTTTATTGAAGAGAAAATCATTGAAAACTGATTGATGATTTTATTCAACTGAAATTCAAGAGTTAATTAGAAAAAAAGAAACATTTAATTATCACCATTCGTTTAGAGTTGATTTTGTAAAAATCGAATACAATTTAAATTTTGTTAAAATGCAATAGTGATCGTATTCAAATCAACGATAACATAGATAAACACAATATGATAAGAAACCTTTCAGAGTTGATGGGCAGGTTGAACTAAAAAATCTTTTCAATGGCTATAGATAGGTTGTAGTAAAATTCCTTAACATAATATTATATTAAGATGAAATTTTGGATAATTTCCATTAGTTCTGGACTATTTAAATGATATTTTTTTGTTTTAAATAAAAAAAAAACTAATTTGTTGATTTATATATTTTCTATGTTTACTTGTTTACACTTTTGAACTCTTAATCCATTAACCAAATATGCAATTTAAAGATGGTGAAACATTTATTAAATTTTTAAATTGCATTATATTGAGCTATTTTCAGTCGATGATTTGCCAGCCTTTTAAATTTTCATCTTTTTCGCGGTATAAATGGAATGCAGCACTAACACTTCTGAAAACTGATTTCAATTCAGTTCATTATTTCAAAAAATGTTTGAATGGCGCGACATTGACATTATTGCAGAATTTTTGAATGTGCATTTATTACTTTTTTGAGTTATTTCATAATTTTCTATTTCTTTTATTGTTTGACTAATCTTTAAATTTCATAATCGCTGCTAAATTTAATTTAAATTTTAAATTATATTAGCTAACGGATTTTTATAACAAAACAGAATTTAATAGAATAAAACTAAAATCGCTTAAAACTGATATAAAAAATGATATTCAGTTAAAAACAGAAAAATGAATTCCAGTTTTTCGCTGAACATCACATGATTTTCGCATTAAAAGGTGTTTGTGAATTATATCGTTGTTATTTCGATATTCAAATATTGATCAATGAAATCTGCTTTTTTATGAAGTTCATGCGTGTGCCATAAGAATCATATCCTTCTGTCAAAATGAGTGCGGCGATTTCGGTTTGAATATCGGTTGTACCAACTGTAAGGCGACGAAACTAACTAACACCTGTCAAAACTATAGTAGACGCTCTATATGAACTGTCAAAGTACATAAACTCCATTATGCAGTTTCATTTTTAGTGAATAAGACGCTAATGCAGACAAATCTATCGTCGATTTCAATTTTCAAAAAAAAAATTGCAGACAATTCTTTGGAATTGAAAAGCATTTTAAGTGGTCAAACGTTATCACAACAGTGTTTTTGATGTTTGTAAATTTGTCGAACGTAAATAAATGCAATAAAATGATGAAAACCGAAAACCAAAGTTCAAGCACTACAATATCGGATGGAATGTGTAGATTGTGTACAGTGCAGTGTGATGACGAAAATTCAGTTGAAATATTCGATATTAACGAACAATCATTAACTATACGAATTATGGCATGTGCTGGTCTCGAGGTATGTTTTCATTCACTTTCATGTATATTTTTCCATTTCAAAGAAGAACTATACATTCAATGTGGTAATATTTCAAAAAAAAAAAAAAAAAAAAATACCAGGTGACACAACAAGATGCTCTACCCAAACGAGTATGTCTCGAATGTCGTTTAGTTTTGGAGAAATCATTTTTGTTTCGAACGAAGTGCAAAAATTCAGATTTAAAGCTAAGGCGCCATTTCCGTCTGATAAACGCTGGAAAGGGTAAGAACATCATATTGTCTAAACAGTATTCCATATTATTAATCACGCTACATTGTTTGTATTTTGTATTTATAGTGAGCCATGTTTTTGATGATTCAGAAGATGAATTTGAAGATGAATACACTGAATCGATGAAAGTGATTGATGCTTTAGAAAAGAGATTAGAAGAAAAGCAAAAAACCCATGAGATCATTGAAAAAGAAATCGAAGAAGAAAAAAAGGAGGAAATTCAAACAAGTATTCTCAAACCATTGCCAAACAAAGGACATACCAATGAACAAGATACGCTTGGTGGCAGTTCGATGCAAACACGATCCTCAAATCGGCTGAAGAATACAACCGAAACAAAGAGTATTTTGATGGAAAATGGAACGATTGAAGTCTTAATGGAAGAAGTGGGCGATGATGGAGAAATCGAGTATGTGTTTGCCGATGAAGTTGATGAACCATTCCAATCAACTGATTCCGATGATATTGAAGATCCAACGTACGAAATCGATCCATTTACCGCGAAAAATGATGATATTGATATGTCCGAAGATTCAATGGACGATAAGAGCATGGATACAGGTAATTTAAAAAAAAAAAAATGATTAAACATGGCAAACTTTGTTTTTTAATGTTCTTTATCACGTAATTATAATAGATTACAATGATGCATCACTTTTGGAATCAATATTACCAACGATAAAAGAATCGGTTGCAGCGAAAAATGGTACAATATTGGACGATAAAACACAGTACAAAATCATCAGAACCACTGACAATGAGATTAAAGTGCAATGCATTTCATCCGATGGAAAAGAGTTCGAAATTGAAATGATGTCACAGCCACATGGTATTGAACGTGATGAGTCTGGCGATTTAAAGATATTTTCATGTTCGAAATGTCCAAAGACATTTTCCAGACGTGGCAAATTAATTAATCATGAACGGGATCACAATGCAAAGACAAGTGGACAAGAGTGTCCATACTGTCAGAAATGGTTCCCAAGCAACAGTACACTTACTCGTCATATTCGTGTGCATACCGGTGAAAAACCATTTAAATGTAATATTTGCGATCGAAATTTCATACAAAAGGAGATCTTAAAGCGACATCTCATGACACACAGCGGTGAACGACCATTTAAATGTTCGCATTGCCCAAAGTCATTTATTTTAAAAGAGGCACTACGACAACATATCAACCGGAATCACACCGAAAATCCGGTTTCAGAATTGCATAATTGCCCATTCTGTCCAAAGGTATAAATGCACATGTTTGTTTGATTTTTTTTTAAATTGAAAGAAGAGCATATGATAATAACTACTATCTATTTTGAATGCACATTTTACGTGTAACTGGCAGATAGCTAATATCTAATGATATCTTCTTTTCGATAAATCAGAGAATGAAATCGTCACTCTCTAAGAGCAAAGTTTGGAAACTCTATATGCTTGCAATGTTATAATATTCAACCAATACAGAAGACGACACCAGTGACAAAACTGTTATTGAACTGTCGATTTAGTTTGGGTATTTATTGGCCTAGGTGACATCTATCATATTGGTTGGAAATAAATCAGATCATTTACTTACATTGCTCCCAACTATATGAATACTAGTGTGATTACAGTCGTACTAATACCTCAGGAGTAGCTGCTGAGTATACGATTTGCTCCATAAGTTCGATTTCATGCTCTGTGTAAAATTTATCAAACAAATGTTGTTTAATACAGTTGGAATCCGTTAATTTGAATTCCATCAATCGAAAAACTTCAGTTATTCGAATTGATATTATTGAAAAAAAAATTTTATAAAATATTCGAATATCACAAATCGATAATAATTCGAAGGAAATTGGTTAAAACCAAATGATACGAATTAACGGAATCCCCACACTTCAGACTAAATTTGCGAATATGTTTAAACTAAAATTTATGTTTCCATCCTTTTTCCAGTCATTCTGTCATTCATCGGGTTTGAGCCGTCATTTGCTGATCCATGCCGGTCGAACATTTTCGTGCGAGTATTGCCATAAAAAATTCAACGATAAAAGCGCTTTGAAACGACACACCACCTCAATTCACGAATCGAAATCCAAAAAATAAGATAATTTTATAAACAGTTGTAATATTACTTCAGCATTTCTCTCTTTTAACATTACCATTCTAAACAACGTGAAAATATTTTATTCCTTCTTTTTAAGTTGAATATTTTTTCCCATTGAAATTTTAAGCCAAATGAAAGAAACTTTTTGAATATGAAAAAAAAATGTTGAATAAAGTTGATAAATTTTTGCTGTTGACAAAAATGGTTTAGTAAGTTTATAATTAGTTTATATTTTTTTTCCATATTCAATCTACCATGAAATTGATTGACAAACAATCAAATTCCTCTACTTTATGTACAGACATTGTGAGCTCAATCAAACGTATAACCGAAAAAAACACACAACTGAATAAAACATGGAAATCAAATGGAAACACGCCAACATGTTCGATACAAGAGACAGAAAGATAATACAACAAATGAAGAACACAGGCCGACTTGTATGTACGAACGCGTATATAAGCGGCGTTTCGAATGGAAAACGGTTAGTCTATCTTCAGATTTGTAACATTACGGACAAATTGGTTGATTGTTTTGTTCTCCGCGTATTGCCTTCGTGTTATTTTATTTTTGTGTGTGAAAAAAGAAAGTAGTTTATTGTTTTTCATTCGTTGTAGCATATTTGAAATTTGAATCCAGTTAAAATGGTGAGTGAATAGCGTTTTACTGTGGCCTTTTAAAAGCAAAACAAAAATCGTTAATTGAATAGACACTGATGTGATTAATTTAACGGTTTTCAAAGAATATCTCCGTACTTTAACTATTTAAACGAATGAAAATACTTGAAAATTGAATTATACGTTGATGGCGGGTTAGGGGTTCATATACATTTAAAGGTTTGCAATCACGCAATGGATTCACAATTTTTTTTATCGACACGAGATTTGTAGCCATATGTCAATAACAAAAAAGTATAACACAAATGAGAAACATAACACGTTTTAATGTACACACACCCAGACCAAAAGTCGTTAATCGTTTACATGAGAAATGAGATATTTGAATCTCAGACATGAGTCACCGAAATTCGTCGGGAGCATTTTTCTTTTGCATGTGCAAAAATGACTCATATTTAAGAGCAAAAGAGATAAAAGTACAGTGACCATAATTTTTTTATTGAACCAGTTCACATTTGTTAAATAGTTATCCTTCTACATAGTAATTTGAAATTTCATTACTCACTTACTTTCTCTCGCTGTCTTGCTCTGAATATTTCTTTCTCAACATTTTGTTCTCAACGCATTGTTTTGGGCACAAACAATCATTTTCTCAATTGTCTGGAGTTTATTCTCGCCCGGTAATATCCGGCAGACCTCGATACCATCTGATAAGTCACACTTAAAAGTGATTTGATCTGCAGATGGTAACGTCCTACAAAGCTGCACTGATGAGCTGTGAACAGCGAAATCAATCACTTTGTGGGTCGTCTAAATCAATTGCGTTTTTGAAATGTTTGTGATGGGGCATTGTAACAATGCTCATTTAGTCAGTAAAAGATGGGTTACATTTCTCCGAAAAATGATTCCTACTTATTTATAAATTTTGTTCTCTCTAGCTATTTCTCTACATATTTAAACCGGAACAAATTTTCATCGTGAAATACCGCCTCTTAATTGACTACATTCAATTGAAATGAACCATTGGCCGTTTCGAAAAATAATACCGTACATTTAAAATGTGTGTGTGAGTGTGTGTGTGCATGTACTACACGGATGTATAGTTTTCAAATTGTTCTGAGCCATATAATTTAATCATTAGACCGTAGTGGCCAGAAGAAAGCGAGAAACAAAACACAACGTCTACGTTCGTAACAATTTTGTTGTTTGGTTTTTAGTTCAAACAAAACATCATTCATTCGCTTTTCTGATTCTATCAATTGTTCTACAATTAAAACAAACAATTCTTGTCATTACCGATTGAATGGTCGATTATTGATTTTTTTTTGTAAATAAAACCGATGTCAGATAATCATAATGAAAGAATTACGTGTAATGCCAGTAATAAGAAATCGAAAATGCACAGATACTATTTATGTATCACACGCATAATCAAATCCATCCATATATCACGCATGTACACATAATCGGATCGAATCGACAAATTCCAAAACACAATGAACATACATGAAATAAAATCAATACGAAACATACAAAATGCATATATCGTAAATATTGTGAATAAAAAATATTTGACATGCTGCATGCATATATCGTCAGGCATTTAATTTCTGTTGCTTCCAATTTGCTAACATTTTTCACAACTCTTTTAATTCGATTTAATGTCGTAACCATTTGCGATAGTCAAACTTAAAATAAAGAATTAGATCACATTCAATTCTTTGAAAGACAATGCAATGATGTCAACATGTCCTCAAATAAACCATATGCGTGGCGAACAAACGAGCGTTCGCTAATTAATGAAATTTTGCTAATGGCATTTTTATTTCTTATTACTTTATATGGTCTATGTGAGACGAATTATGCACATAAACTGAAGTAACTTCAGTTACTGAACAAAGCTTCTCCCTCTTTATTATGCCAAAAATAATACATTAAAATTATATGCATCAATTTTTGGTTGAAAATATTGCCATTGTTCTACGACAGACAGGAAATGGGTGCTTTCGAATCTATAAGCGCCACTCCTTTGACTTTGTCGCGGTCGGTGATGGCATATATTGTTGCAATTTTCTAGATGATTTGATGTTCTCTCTAAGTGGATGTCGAACGTTGATTTGTATGCACAATTTACAGAATAAATAAAACTTGAATCCCATTATCGGAAATATGAAGAACACGACTTGTCGTTGATTCTGTGGACAATGCGCCTGTGGGAGAATTAATTGGTTTGAATTGATGAACCTTTTTTTCATTTCTATTTACTATCAAATCTTAATTAAATACTAAATGCTAACATTTCCGATTGATCGATTAAATTAAATTGAAGTCATATGGATGGGTTTAGTAAAGCAATTTTTTTTTAGCTCTGTATTTAATTGAAGAAATGAAAACAGTTTTAAATGGAATGAGTTTTGCTATTGATTTTTCTTAACGTTTAAGTATTAATTGATAAGGTATTGAGCCAATGGTTGTTCAAGAGCATGGGAACGCGTAGGCAATGAGCGTAAAAACAAACAAATTACAAAAAATTACTAGGTGAAACGATTTCTTCTGACCCAAATTGTGTGTACTTAAATTTCCACGCATCTATCAAAAAACAGGAGAGAATATTGTTTTTGCTTTACAAACAATAAATTTTGACCAATCACTTCTACAAACAAAATCAAATGCCTCATTCATCAAACTTTGTAAATTCGAACAAACTGTATCATTTATTATAAGTAGTAAAATGGAAAAACCTCCATAATTCATTGTGTCAAACATATATAAATGCCGCATTCTATCAAAACCGATTACTTAATAACTATAATAATGATGAAGCCAAAACAAAAATGAAATTGTTGACTTTTTTAGTATATTGAATCCTTTTTGGCTTTACTTAATCGGCAACTACATTTACCGGCTTGCAATCCAAAGTAATTTATACAACAATATAATATAGTGAAAAGGAACACACATCAAATTGTTTCAATTTGAACCAACCGAAAAATATATAACTAGTTCGTGGTACCATGATGTGTCGAACACTATTTAACATTCAAATAAATTATGATTCTAGTTATTTCATGTCCCACTTCGATAAAAATCATTTTTCGCTACTTTTTTCCTCCAATGTACAACAATTTGTATGTTTACAATGGAACATTTGTTAAAACTAAGAAGCAAACAAATCCATCGACATTCGGTGCTGAGAGCTGAGTCCGGATTATGGAGTGTTGTATGACTTATTTGAATCGATTTTGAGTTCCGCGCATGTTGAAATTTGAATTTGTCTTACTTAGCCACAAATTACGTTGAATGAAAAAAGTTGACAATTCTTTTTGGAAGAAAAAAAAACTTTTTCGGTATAAGAATAAATTTCACGATTTTCGAGATTAGTATGAACTGAAAATAATTCTTTGTTTTTAATTTTATTACTATTTGCAGAGAGAATGTATTTCAGGTATGTATATTCAAATGTCCGGTCACGTGAAATTAGAAACTTGGGACTAGGTCTAAATAATTGTACCAAAAATGTACTTAATTGTACTACTCGTTTGGACAATATTTGAAGTTCAGATTTGGGGATATTTCAATTGACAAAAACTCACTGATATTTTTGAAATTTCAGTTCATATTGGACAGGCAGGTGTCCAAATTGGCAATGCTTGCTGGGAACTTTATTGTCTTGTAAGTTATACATAAACTTTTACACGTAGAAAACTTTAATTTCTTGATATCATAATAATACTAATTGGAACTTGTTGCCGCTGATTACATTTAGGAACATGGAATTCAGCCGGACGGTCAAATGCCCTCAGGTATTTCGGGATTACATCAAAATGGTCCTCTTAAACTTGAATTTAACAATTGATTTTTTTTTTTCGTTGTAGATAAAACCATTGGCGGTGGTGACGACTCCTTCAATACATTCTTCTCCGAAACGGGCAGTGGAAAACATGTAAATGATTTTTGTTGTTGTTTTGTTTTCTTTTGCATGCAAAAATGTAATTATCATTGTTTTCACATTAAAAACTAGGTGCCACGTGCTGTATTCGTTGATTTAGGTACAATCTGAATTATTTTGAACAAAAATGTAAAAACATATATATTTTCATAACGATCAAATTTCATTAATTTTTACAGAACCAACTGTGGTCGATGAAGTTCGTACCGGTACTTATCGTCAATTGTTCCATCCAGAGCAATTGATTACCGGCAAAGAAGATGCGGCAAACAACTATGCTCGTGGCCATTACACCATTGGCAAGGAAATTGTTGATTTGGTTTTGGATCGTATTCGTAAATTGGCTGATCAATGTACTGGTTTGCAAGGATTTTTGGTGTTCCACTCGTTTGGCGGAGGCACCGGTTCAGGTTTCACCTCATTGTTGATGGAACGTTTATCGGTTGACTATGGCAAGAAATCTAAATTGGAGTTCAGTATCTATCCAGCGCCACAAGTTTCAACTGCAGTTGTCGAGCCATATAATTCCATTTTGACCACTCACACCACATTGGAGCATTCCGATTGTGCATTTATGGTCGATAATGAAGCCATTTATGATATATGCAGACGTAATCTGGATATTGAGCGTCCAACCTATACAAATTTGAATCGTTTGATTGGTCAAATTGTATCATCAATAACAGCTTCATTGCGTTTCGATGGTGCACTCAATGTGGATCTTACAGAATTTCAAACCAACTTGGTGCCATATCCACGTATTCATTTCCCATTGGCCACCTATGCTCCTGTTATTTCGGCCGAAAAAGCTTATCATGAACAACTGACCGTTGCTGAAATTACAAATGCATGCTTCGAACCAGCCAATCAAATGGTCAAATGTGATCCTCGCCATGGAAAATACATGGCATGCTGCATGTTATACCGTGGTGATGTTGTCCCAAAGGATGTCAATGCTGCTATTGCTACCATTAAGACCAAGGTTTGTAAAACCCATTAAACAGATAAAATCGAAATAAAAAAATAAAACTTTCAATATTATGCAGCGTTCCATTCAATTTGTTGACTGGTGTCCAACTGGTTTCAAAGTCGGTATCAACTATCAACCACCAACTGTTGTTCCTGGCGGCGATTTGGCTAAAGTTCAACGTGCTGTGTGCATGTTGTCCAATACCACAGCCATTGCTGAAGCTTGGGCTCGTTTGGACCATAAATTCGATTTGATGTATGCCAAACGTGCATTCGTTCACTGGTACGTCGGTGAAGGTATGGAAGAAGGTGAATTCTCGGAGGCCCGTGAAGATTTGGCTGCACTTGAAAAGGATTACGAAGAAGTTGGCATCGATTCAACTGAAGATGTTGGTGAAGGAGATGAATATTAAAAATCAACATGAATTCACCGCTTGAATATAATTCATATATGCCTTAAATTCAATGTTTTCAGCACAACAACACATTTCAACAAATTAACACAATTAGTGAAAACATTAATCATTTTTACTAAAAGCAACGGCAACTACATGAAAAACCGAAAATAATAAATGAAATCACATTTCGTTCACAATTAAAAGTATTTATTTGATTTGCTTGTTTATTGATCGTGACTGAAAAGTTTCAAATGTTCCTTTTTTCTGTATTGAATTCCTTTTTTTTTTAAATATACGCAATACTCTTACAAAAAATAATATAATCGATATTAAATGTGAATTGAGAAATTGTGTGAGATAATTGAAAACTAGTACAATTTCGGTCTTCTATTTATTTATAAAAATTTCTGATCTTTGACATTCACGGTTTTCAAATAGTCGTCCAACCATTTTTCAATCACAGGCAAATTTGCATCGCTCCATTTGGTCTCCTCTTTAATGTTTTTCAATGATTTTTCAATTATATGATCGGCACTTCCAAATTCACCTTGATGTTTGGCATACAAATTCGATACCATATCGTAACCTTCTTGCGTTGTAAACACACCAGTCGATGAACTTATCAAATTATCCCAGAGATTCGTCTTGTCCTTGAAGCTGATCATGAAATGGAAAAATGGTTAAAGAATGCAAACGAAATCCAAAACTCAACGGTAAAGATCATACTTCTTTTTGATTTGATCCCAATTTTCTTGCAAGAAATTGAACAACGTTGTATATCCACTTGATCCACCCGAAAGCATGCTGAATATTAGGAATAGATCATTTTCGGTGAAATTGCCATTTTCCTGTAATATCGTTATATTCAGCAGCCGTTCAATTTTCTCCTTACTAATCGGACATCCGGCAAGCGTTTTCAGCAAATATGTTCGTTCACTTGGTTTTCGTGATGGTGGAAAATTGATGACACGCTGCAAACCAAACTCCCATTCTTCAGTCGTGCCCCACTTGAATACAGGGCAAATGAATTGATTTGATACGCTGTTAAAAAAAATGGAGGAGTAAGTAAATCAAATAATAGGGAAAATGTTCGAAAAAAAAGAGTCAAATCCATACGGGTTGCCTTCATTTGGATTTTCACTGTCCATCCATTTGTGGTATGCGATTTGAGCTTCTTCAATGCATGGCTTGTAACCAGCACGACACAAGAACGTCTTTGCCAATGATCTTAAATTGTCCTTCCATTTCTCTTCGTGTTCTTGTGGCACTGGACCAAGCTCTTCGTACAATGGTGTCAATAGCATTCGTACATAAATCTGAAAGGTAAATCAATGGGTTTACACTTGTTTGGGTGCAAATCATGCAGAAATTTACGATGATCGATGAAATTTTACCTCGAATTTTTTGTGAACATTTGACATGTCAATGTGTCGCCCAATATGATCAATGAATGTGAATACTGGATTCCAAACCAAGTGATCGCGTTCATATTTCATAAATAAAGTCATATTGAATGCAGTTGCAAAGCTTAAATCGCCAGCGTATGCAAGATTCCATGCATCGTGCAACAATTTTGCTCTGAAAAATTTAACAAATTTCATTTGAACGTATCCAAAACGGCATCAAAAGACATTTGAACAAACCTTGTATAAGTGGGTATTTGCTTGCGGCCTTCATTTGATTGCAAGAATGATGCGAGCAAATTCCAATTTCTTGTATCGTAATTGACTGGAAATGGGCCAATTTCTTCCGGATTGACAATTATAAATTTATCTTCCGTTGGTAAATTGGTCAAGATGATGTCACGTGTCTTTTTCATCCACAGATGCGGTTTAAAATTGTTAAAATTTAAATTGTCTTGCGTTATCAAAATCAGCGGAATCCACCATAGCATTTTGTCTTGTTCGGGCACATCATGCGGCCGTTCACGTAAATAAACACGTTGCGCAACAACCGCCGTATTTGCCGCATAATCACGTTCAACACTCACAACTGGCAAACGATCTTTTGTTATCCATGAGGCGGCGATTTCATTTACAGTCACGTCTTCCGGAAGGCTTTTATCGGCTTGAGCTTGTTGCGTCAAATACTTCCAAACATCATCACTCATGAAGACATCTTTGCATTCTCTGTTTGAAGGAATATTTAATTTAATTTTTTGTTTAAATTAATGTCACCTTTTCAAGCAAACAACACGAATTTCATACTCTTTTTGGAATAATTTTCGAAGTCCATTTTTAAAGGTATCAGCACCCAGAGTGTAGTTCAACATACGAAGTACCAATTCAGTTTTACTGCATGTTGTCTCTTGTTTCATTGCGGTGATTCGGGAATGTGGGTATCGTTTACTGAATTCATAATAAATTGAGTATAAAACTGTCATCGGCCACTTTCCATCAAACTCTTTTCCATTGTCAATCTAAATGGAAATTATGTTTCATTTTAATGTATGTACGAACACACGAAATTTAATCAATTTACTTACTTCGTTTGCTGTTGAGGCTGCCAAAAATCCAGCAATTGCTTTGTTTACATGAGCATCGGTCCACCAATATGGAGTGATCCATGTACCGAGCCATTGATAAATCAGCTCTTGTGCAATTAAATAATATCCTTGGTTCACCAAATCACTTTCTCTGTAATCAAACATTTTGGAAATTTAGATTGACATTTTACAAAGTATAATTGACATTTACTCACTTAAATAGAATCAAGCCCAAATTATCAATTGGCTTAACTGTTGATAAACCTGGTGCAGCCACCAAATTCAATTCATCCAATGGGAAATCAATATTCCAGTAATTTTGAATAGATTTCAAGGTAATCGAGACTTTTTCATAGATATCCTATGTTTTTCGAAGGAAAAAAAATGATGTTGTTAGTTTTGTTCGTGTGGTAATAATTGTCATGAAGGATAAAATACATACAACTAAATCGCCGTGTAAATCTTTGCGAGCCCAAACATTAATCGTTGGTTTAGCTAGTGCAGTTGGAGTGGCATTCACTTTTTTCAATTGTGAAATGATGAAGCCGAAAGCGAATGTTGACAGTGGAGTTGTAGTTTTGAAGTAATCGATCACATAATCCGTTTTATTTTCCCTGAAAATACATCAATCATTGAAAAAAAAATCGTAATACAATAAAATGATTCGCATTCTTACAATTTTTCGGTCGATACAACTTGACTATTGAAAATGGTGGAATAATTTGATGGTCTCGATATGCTGACTGTGTATGGTACTTTGAATGATGGTTCATCAAAGCATGGGAAAATTTTGCGAGCATTATTTGGCCGATTTTGTGTGGCCATGTATGTGCTGTAAATATAAAGAAAGAAAGAAAAAATCAAGAAGAATATGATTATATGACGCCATTTACTCTTACACTTTGACGCCATTTTCATTGGTGTAACTGCCTTTGAATAAACCTTCAGCTTGCTCGTAGATGTGACCATTGAAATTGATTTCCAATTCACATTTAGTGCCATTTTTCAATGGTTCCTTAAGATACACCTGAAATACGGGCCGTTTTGGCAATCTATCTGTTCGTCTAATATCAACGAGTTTTGCTTGTGATAAACTGCAAAATAGATGAAATCAATGCAAAAGAATCATAAAATTATTGGAATTAAAATGCCACATACGATTCGGTGTCGGTAAGCAATCGAACTTTAACGTTGGATTCATCAATTTGCAATTCGTAGTGCGAGTGCAATTCAATGATTTTCGATTCAGCTTTCCACGTTAAATTCATTCGAATTTTTCCGGTAAACGTTGATGCTTCGAAATCGGGACGTAAATCAAGAATATAACTGGTCGGTTCAATATCATTTGGCAAACGATTGTCGGTGATGAGCTTTTGAGCCGATGATAATTCAATGCTGCGACGATTTCGTATTGCATTTTGTTTTGCATGTGTAAATACAGTAAATGCTGTGACTAGCAACAGCAACGGCAAATGTATGCCACGCATTATCTGACACGGTTTTTATTTATCTATCTCTGTTACCTGCGATAAAATTAAATGAAAAATAGAATAAAGTTACAAACTAAAAATATGCAAATAAATCCCACACGATATTCAACAAGTTTGATTTTATTCTCTTTAAAAAAAAATGAATTAAGCATGCGATATCATTTAATCTCATCGAAATTGATAAAGATATTTTATTCCAACTGACCGTTTTTTTTAACTTATTAATCAGTCACATTCCAATTTCAATTCAAATGAATTGCACAACAATGAATTGGAAGAATTTGATTTTTGGTGAGTTTTCATTTTCATTTCGCTTCCAACGAGAAAGATGAAACGAAATAAATAAATAGTAATCATAATTATCTTATTGCAAGATTTCAATTAAATTATCTTTTTTCAGAAATTGTGTGTTTATTGTTGCAAATAAGTTCAACGTCAACTGAAGTGTGTGAGCCGGAACTGTATTCTGGTGTATTATGGGATGTACGAAATAAAATTTCAGCACATGAAATTCAGGCGCATCCATTGTGTTTGGATGAATACAAAATGAATATCTTAAGACGTTGTGATGAAAATGGTTGGATACCCAGACAAGCGCCCGATTGTCATTCAACGCAACATGAATTTGAGAAAAGTGAAATCTGCCCATTGAATTACACAACAATAAGCTCAAATAATGTTCGTTTGTGTGTTTTATTAACGAAACCGAAAATCTGGCAAAATCAGTGCATTTATGATGGATCATCAATGACATTTTATCATTTGCATGAGAATGAAAAGCACGAGCTACTGAATTATCTCATTGAAATGAATGTAACGGAAGTGTGGCTACCTGGAAAACGTTTCACAAGATTTGGACCGGTTATTTGGACGACGGCCGGTGAATTGAATGGTGAACAAGTTGAATTTGATAAAATAAATGTAGAGCTTATCAATGAAAATTATGTCGCGGCCGATGGATGCTTTAGTGCTTTGATCAATTCAAGTCTTCACATTGGTTCCATAAAAAATTGCAAACAAAAATTGAATGTATTATGTGTATTTCGTCGAAACAATGATTATACGAGATTAATTTCAACGGCATGCCCGAAAAATAGTTTTATTACATCATATTATAGTTCGGATCAATGTTGCCATTCAATTCAAATGATTGATAAGGATGATGTAAAAGAATTTGATGACGTCGAAAAGCTAATCAAAACCAAGTGTAAAGATGATTTATTCACAATGGATTCAGTGGAGAAAACAGAGTTATTTCGACAATTGTCAATTGTAAATAATTTGCGAATTAGTGATCGATGTTTATTCGCTGTTGCTCCTGGAACAAATTTTATTTCGAGTATAAATGATTGGAAAACAAAAGTCAATTCCATAAACTATGTAAATTGGGATGTTGAAATTGTAAATGGTTCATATTTAACAACAAATAAATATGGCAAATGGAATTGGATCGATCGTCACTTTGACTGTTTGGTGTGTTCGTCAACGTTACGCATGTACGTTCCAGAGTTGGTGTTAAATTTTAATCGAAAAAAACGTCGATTATATTTGACCGTTTACAATGAAAACTATGTATGGCATACCATAAAGTCTGGTGTAAAATGTTTCACAAATGCCGACGATGAATTAATTCGAACGGTTGAAATCGGTCGAAAAAAGTGGTCAGGGGCACTTAGTATCGAACAAATTAACCGAAAAACCACCAATGAATCTAGATTGCACAAGACATCAAAAGCAATTTATGAACTAAAATTGTATGGCGAGGGACCCGGTTACTATTGGTGTGAAGGTTATACAATGTTGCAATTTGATATGATTCAATCAACAAAGGTCGTTGCATTTAGACGTGAACGTGGTGAAGTTTTCACCATGCTATTCAATACAATGTGTACGGAGTGTGAACAATTCTTTCGGAAATTTTTTATTAAAAATGTGGCCAAACAATTGCGTGACCATTTAAAAGATGTGTACAAAATGTTGAAAAAAAATCAATTTGAAAATATGGAATTTAATATTGAAAATGTTCGAATTATGCAAATTGAAGAAATTTCATTGAAGCGACATGATTTGGGAATGTTTAAAATAAGATTGTTGTGCCATTTAACCGTATCGCTAAGTAGATTCGATGAGTTCGATGAATATTTGCGTATCATAAAAATGTACGACATTCTAAAAGAGCTACTGGGATATTTGACATCAGACACTGATTATGAGTATGTGTCATTGAATAGCACGGAATACTGTTTGCCTGAAACGAATCAAATGGCCAATGGCTTGAGTTGGATTAACGCAAAAATTGGCGAAACAATTCCATCAAATGAATTATGCTTATTGTCGAATGGATTGCCTGCGGTGCGCAGATGTGTGGGTGATTTTCTATACGGTGGCATATGGCAGTATCAATCACAACAGAAATGCCATCGCACACCCGATCATCTAACTGAAAAATTATTTGAATTATTCAACGCTAAAATGTCATACAACGATGACATCTATGTGATGCAAAATATTTCAATGTTGTTGCAAAAAAATCCACAAAATTTAAATGTTGTGGCGGCCGATTTGTTTTATTTAGGACGAATAATGAGCGATTTTTCTCGAATCAACAACAAAAATAGCATAAACAACACATTCAATTTAAACGATACAGAGCACATATTTTCCATTTATAATAATTTAATGTACTTAAATGAGAATACAACACGAAAATCGGCGGCACTTAATTCAACAAACATCCTCTTGGACGCATTTGATAACATTTTAAATGGCATTCAAATTGATATAACGTCAGTGGCAAATAATAATCACAATAATACGATTGTGGTGAATTCAGATGATGGTACGATAACGACGCAAACACCGAATTTGATCGTCTATGTAATTGATCCATCCATTAAGAATGTATCCGGTGTAGCGTTGATAAAAAAGTCAAAGCAACAATCAAATGACGAAAGCAACCATAGAAGTAGTGGAAACGACGACGACAACGACATCAACAACGATGACTTTACAGACTATTACATCAAGACACTCTATGCAAATCAATCATCCGACGAATTGTTAAACGACGACAAATTAGAAATTGCAACATTTGTACCAATCAGTTTACTAAATTTACTAAATCAAATGGCAAATGAAACGGAGGAATCTGTGACATCACCCATTAAAATTGTGATAACCATCTACTACAATGATCGTCTATTTCAAGAGTATAAGAATACGCGTTGGGCAAAATCAACGGGACGAATAATAAGTGTGTTGATACCAGGCTATGGACCAAATTTACCATCATTATTACCAACATTTATGCGAAGCCGAAACATACCATCGAATAATGGCTCATCATCGATGTGTGGCTACTGGAATTTTGATGTTGATTATGCCACATGGGCTGATGATGGATGTGAATTTATTGAAAAATCAGAACATTCAGTGGATCCCATCATGTTATGTGCCTGTTCACATTTAACACATTACTCTTATTTAATTGTTGGTACGGTACTTCAATCATCAAACACTGAAGAATATGAATTTATTATCACCGAATCGCATCAGAAAGCCTTGGACACAATAACGTTACTTGGTTGTCTTTTGTCATTGATGGGCGTTTGTGGCATCACAATTACAGCCATATTCTTTCGAACATGGCGCAAAAAACCGAGTTCAATTGTTCTGATACAACTTTCAGCTGCAATTGCTCTACAAATGGTTCTACTTTGTTTTGTTAACACCGAATATAGTTCGTTGTATTTGGTAATGGAACAACGATTTATCGTTTGTGTTGTGCTCGGTGCACTTCTTCAGTATTCCATTTTGGTGGCATTTTCATGGATGTTAATCACCGCTTATTTGCAATTTATGCGCTATGTCATTGTACTCGGGCCACAACGATCGACACGATTTTTCTTGAAATCATTTCTAATCGGTTGGGCAATACCGCTCGTACCTGTTCTAATTGTTGTTATTATCTCACCCGAATCGTATGTACAAAGTGTTGGCCATTCAAATGGTGGCGATGGTGGCGGAATATGTTATCCATCCGGCACTTCATTGTGCTTTGGTTTAATTTTACCCATTGGTTTGATTATCTTAGCGAATTTAATCATTTTTATTTTGGTCATTTATAATATTTTAGGTGGCTCCAGTGCGAATATTCGGTCAAATAAACGCACCCTTGTCATGGCACAGCTTCGTTTATGCGTATTTTTATTTTTTCTTTTGGGACTATCGTGGATATTTGGATTTTTGGCATCAATTAAATCGGGAATAATATTTTCATATTTATTTTGTTTAACCGCTACCATTCAGGGTTTCGTTTTATTCGTATATTTTATAATTCTTGATTCAAACACACGCAAACTATGGCGAAACTTGTTTTGTCACAAAAAACGGTAGAAATTCGCTTTATTTTCATTCACAAAGATTATAAATATAAAAATAATTTTTAACAAATATACTTACAATAAATAATAAATTAATGAGAGAGAACAACAGTGTTTGAAGCACTTGGTATTCAATAAAACACGACAATTTTTATGTGATTCAAAGAATGCAAGCAATTTTGATCCGGTTTCCTTGATAAAGCTAGACAGACTGATATCACATTGGCGGGGCTTAAGTTCATATTATGTCGCAGGTTGACCCATTCGATTGTGTGTGCGTTTTTTTGTTGATCTGCGGATCTATTCTATTTGCGGTCGCTGATTGGTTTGTTTTTATTTGTGACATTTCTCAAATTTAGCCCAATGCATTATCCAATTAAAGCAAATTTATGCTTATTCATATTCAACAACCTAATTGTATGAATTTATGATTGTATGCCGAATGAATAACCAAAACAATTTACTGTATCTTGAGAGTTTTCATAACATAAATGGCATTGTGGACGTCAGTGAAAAGCAAATCTGTGCGTACGTGCCATTTGACCAAAATAAATTAAATTATTCCTTTTATTCTTATCAATTAAATATGCTCCTGAGAGACACGATGAGTCAAAGTTTTCTCAGTTTGAAGACAGAGAAAGTACAAATTATCTTTTGATCATTCGCAAGTTCGATATTTTTTTTTCTCAAATATACACAATTGCGAAATAATATTTGTTATAGCCAGATAATACATTACGAGTATATTTGCATGCGTAATTTGACGAAAATTAAAATTTATGAAATATGTCTGTAAATAAATTCCATTATAAAAGCAAAAAACATCTTATCTATTTATTTATTTTTTGTTATATAAGACGTAAGATGTATTTAGACATCAAATGAGTAGGTAAAATTAGGGGGTGCGATATACGAGCATGCTGTTCGAATACCAAATGTCTAGTCAAATGTCGTATAAATTCTGTCCATGATGTGTCTTTAGCAAAGAGACGGCTATCTCAATGTTGCAAACTGAATATAAATTGACTCAATTCAGTTCTATCTAACTCCCTCGAATGTTTAAAAAAAAAAGTGAAATCACTCCCCTACAAGTTACATTACTTCATATTATGAAGTTCATAATGTGAATAATTTTTTACCATATTTATTTATTACTTGAATTGAAACTGAATGCTATAAAAGAGCTGACTATCAGTCGATGACTGTACATAATTTGAAAATTATTCGATCGATGAATTGTAAAGCTGATCTTTAATCCATTGAAAATTACAATGAACTCATTTTGGTTGTTTGTGGCTCTCATTTTTCTATATAAATATTCGGTAAAAAATGTCACTATATAACCTCTTCTATTTTTTTTAATTTTAATTTTTTTTTTTTCAACAGGAAGTTCAAGGAGCTGGAAAGGGTAATAATTTGTTCATTTATAAACTATACAATAATTTAATAATGTAATAATTGATATTCTGTACAGTCGTGGAAGTTGTCAGTTATAAAGTACGAAATTACGTCGTAAGAATAGACAGTGGAACGGGTGTATGTTTGGGAACAATTTTAACACCATGGAAAATAGTAACATCAGCATCATGCTTGCATAAAAAGGATTCGGTAACTTTATTGATTGGCCCAATAACTTCGGCTGAACCAATCCATTCAGTGAATCTCACAAAAAGTGAAATTTTTGCACATCCAAGATATGATGAAAAATTTCCGTATGCCAACAATATCGGTGTAATTCAACTTAAAGATGAAAATAAGCTCAAGTTTGGAAACGACCTTGGCAACATAGGTTGGTTGGATATGCTGTACGCTGGACCGAAAACAGGTGAAACGGTTACAATTATTGAATCGGATCCGAAGAATCGCAATGTTTTTTTTTATGTTGATACAACGTTGATTGATTTTACCAAATGTGAAAAAACGTATGGAACACATTTTAAGCGTGCATTTGGGCCAAACTTCGCTCCATTAGAGGAAGGAAGAGATTTGTGTGTCAATTTAAAAGGTTCGACCGGTGGTTTGACAGGAGGTCGGTTCATATTTTTTACTTGACAAACCGGATTTAGAAAATGTTAGAAAAATTCAAACATAAAATTTCGTTTTCAGGTCCGGTTATAACAAGAGATAGTAGATTCCTTGGTGTTATTATAAATAATGAGGCAGGGCAACCGGAACTTTTTGGTCTTTTTAGAAGACATCGTGATTTTATTGAAACTCCAAAGGTGAGTAGTAATCATTATCTATGGCATGAAAAATAAAGATGAAATATTTTCTAGAATGATCAAATCTATGACCAAAAGTGTAGATTTGAATTTATCAAATTAATATTCAATAATTAAAAATTCGAAATTATTGGTTCATTATACACACGTTTATAATAACAAGAAAAATGTATAATTAATTATATTTTTTTTCATTTTGTTTGTTTTTTATTCACATATTCAGTCGACTTGATTTTAAGTATTCTATACATTCCAATCATAAAACACTTGCTCAAACACATCATGACAATCGATTAACATTTTGTTTCATACTTTTTTCAGATTTTCAATCCACGAAGATAAAATCCTTAAAACTGCTTCTGGATACTAACAAAAAATAAGAAATCTATGGCATACGGAATAAAAAAATATATTTTTACCAACAAATCTATAGTTTGCGTATATTTCCAAGTAATTATTGAATTTGACAGCTAAAAAAATATTTCAAAAATTCATATAAGCATCCAATTGGAAATTATTTTGAAATGATCGAAATTTAAATGAAATAAATTAATTTTGCTGAAAATGTTTCATCTGTATTTAAAAATAAAATGTTTAACGTTCCAAAAATTCAAATATCCTTCGTGTGGTTTCTTTTTGACCAGTCCAATAGAAATTATATGAATATGAGTGAGTGTGGCGAATTGTGGTGGCGCTGGGTTGATGACAGCTGTCAAACAATGTTTCTGTGTTGTTTCATGGAAACGATAAAACACCAAACAAATATAAACAGAAATTAAATTAAAAGATTGTTGTTGTTATAAATTGTTTTTTTTTTTGAAATTTTGCCATATCATTCGTTCACAACGTAAGTAACAGCTTTCGATCTATTGAACTGATGTAATGTACACAATTAGATTAAATAAAATCGTAGAATTTTGAAAATTGGCTTTAACAAGCACCTTGCACACTATTATAGAATAAAAAGAAAACAATAATGGCCAGCGGTTATATGACCCGATCGAAAGCATTAATACCGCACATTCAACACGATATAAATAGTATGGTATTTTTCATTGATCTTGGCACATCTAGAGCATTTATTTCTTACAAAAAATTCAATAAAATCATTGTCATGGAACACACTGAGGTGCCGGCAAAGTATTCTGGTAAAGGTTTGGGCAAATTATTGGCAAAGGTATGTTGGCGGGTTAATGGAATTTATTATTTATCACTAACACACTGATTAATCTTCAATTTTTTTCTATGCTCCTATGTAGTTTGCCTTTGATTACTGTATTGAAAATAAATATAAAATGCAACTGAATTGCACATTTTTACAACATTTTCTAAATAAATATGCACCAGAATATTCACATTGTGTTGTACACGGAACTTAATGATGAAAAATAAAAATATTTTATTTAAAACTTTGTTTATTTTTTATTTATAAAAAAAAAAAATAGTCCGAATATTAGACGACAGACAAAATGGATGAAGTGGACTATAAGTCATTGATTTTATATTATGGACGGGAGAAATACTTTCATTCAATGCAAAGTAAATCGATTGAAGCCCTAACTAAATTTCCAGCCAATGCATGCTTTCGATTGTACAATGGATTTGCATTGTCGCTTGGCAATCGTACTCAGGAAGGTATGACGGGTTTTTTCCCCATCAAATCATGATGAAATGACAATGACAAATATGATCTTCATTCTTATTGAATTAGGAATTCGTGAACTAAATCCGATGCAATCGGATAAAGAATATGGAATGGCTGCAACTATTGGTTTAATTTATGCACACAAACGATGTACGGTGATTGATAAGGAGGCAATTTCATCGCTCGATCAACGTTTGAAAGAGGAACGAAAACATTTAACCAGTCAATCAGCTTACTATGCCGGTGTATTTCTATTTTTAAGTGGAAAATTAGAAAAGGCCAAAGAATATGCGGAGAAAGCATTGAAATTGTTGCATACATCGATTGATGCTCTCATGTTGAAAGCATGGTGTGAACTAAATCTTCGAACGAAAAATGGTGCACAGGTATTGGATGCAACTGAAATCGCTTTGGAATATGGTAAAAATGTTGATGCATATTTATTGCAAGTGCGTTATCATCAGCAAAATAGTGACTATGAAACGGCTACCAATATTTTAAATCACTTATCGATTCGATATCCGGACACAAATGTGCCGCTTGTGGAAAAAATGAAAATTCAATTGGCCAGCTGGAATTGGGAGAATGCAAAAGAAACATCAGCTCGTATATTAAATCTTGAACCGAATAATATTGAGGCGTTATGCATTAAAACGCTCGGCATAATTTGTCATGAGGGAAAAGCCGAAACTGGTTTAATCTATTTGAAACAATTATATTCGGCATTGGCAAAATGTGAACCAACAAATGCCGATCTACATTTGTATTTTGCTCAACTATTTTCACGTAATTGCAGTCGAAATGAAGACATACTCAATTGTACCATGCTATTTGCAGAAAAAGCGTATCAATTATCACCATTGAAAGCGGAATATTTGACAGAATTGGGCTTTCAGTCGATATTACAAGGTCATTACAAGGAGGCGGTGAAACATTTTCGTGCCGCAACGAAAGTTGATGACAGCTCATTGCAGGCATTGTGTGGCCTAACTGTGTGTCAAATGGCCGAGTCGGGTGTTAGCGAACAGGTTAAACAACAAATTGAATTTCTGTGTGAAATTCAAGGGACCACAAAAAATCCATTGCTATTGTATATGTCAGCAAAAACAATTGAAAACAATTCGGATAAAGCCATTTCAATATTAGCCGAAGCATGTGAAATTCATTTCAAAAATTTAAAAACTATACCGTATGGTGCCGAATACTTACGGCGATTCGATCCAGATTTTCTATTGAACATAACCAATGATTTACTGAAGTATTCACCAACACAATCGACCATTAATATTGATGATATCGATGTAACAAAGAAAACATTGCATATTTCATTGAAACAAAGTTTAAATATACTTGAAGCGATTGTTAAGGCATACCCGGGATCAGTTCTGGCTGTTTATCAATTGGCAAAAATTGAATTTCTATGCGGTGAAATTTCCGAAGCAACAGCAACACTGCAACGTCTGCTAAATGACATTGATCCATCGTACAGTGATGCACATTTACTTTTGGCACAAATTCACATTCAACAGAAACACTATCAACGGGCCAATCAAAATTTAGAGACTTGCCTGAGCCACAATTTTGAAGTACGTGATAATCCAATGTATCATCTGGTGAATGGTGTGATTAAGAAAAATCTACTACAATTTGAGGATGCACAAAAATCTTTTCAAACAGCCTTGAATATTTGTGGCGTAGCCAATTCAAATACATCATTGAATAAATCAAAAGATAAATATGCGCTCGAATTGTCTGATCGTGTTACACTCTATTTACAAATGATCGACGTATATTTATTGATGAATCAACAAAGTGAAGCCATCAAAATAATGGAACATTCATTCGAAGAGTTCAGTAATACACCGGAAGAGGGTCGAATTATAATTGCAAGTGCAGATATTGCATTGCAACAAGGAAAAATTGATAAAGTTTTGCATTATTTGAAAAATATTCAACCGGGCCAACCGTATTATATGCAGGTGAGATTTGAAAATGACAACATTTTTTCATTCATTACTTTTGAAACTTTATGATAATAAACATTTAATTTTGGATATTTTAGGCGAAAAATAAATTGGCATACGTTTATCTGAATCATAAAAAAGATCGAATTCTCTTTGCACAATGCTTCAAAGAGCTGGTTGAATATATGCCGGGACCAGAAAGCTATCTGATGTTGGGCGATGCATACATGTCTATACAAGAACCAGAGGAGGCAATAAATGCTTTTAAAATGGCATTGCGTCAGAATCCAAGCGATCCACTGTTGGCTAGTAAACTGGGTCGAGCTTATGTTAAAACGCATCAATACAACAAAGCAATTGCTTATTACAAAGAAGCCACCATGCATGACAAGAACTTATCGATGAAATTGGATTTGGCCGAACTATTTTTGAAATTGAAGCAATTCTCAAATGCTGAACAAACATTGATTGAAGACATCGAATCAAGCAATAGGTATAAATTATTCAAATTTGCACCAAATAAATTTCATCAAATGTATTGAATTTTGGTATTATGTTTATTAGTGCAAACGATGACACAACATTGCTACAAACGAGAACGAAGCAATTGCTCTTACTGGCACGCATTCGTGAGAAATCCGGCCATTTGAGTTCATCATTGGCCACACTTAAAGAAGCACGGGACAATCAATATCGTTTGCAAAATCGTATCGTTGTCGAACAATCGGCTGGCGTCTATGAGCAAAATGCAATTCTTTCCAAGTAACAATTTTTACGAAAATGATGTAAAATTCAAGTGAAAATCGAATTTTAACAATTGAATTTTGATATTTTTTTTAGAATTTGTGTATTAATGGCTGAGCAATCAATATTATTGCGCGATAATAATCAAGCAATCATACACTATAGAGAAGCATTAAAATATTCACCAGACGACATAAAAACAGTGACTGCTCTGGCACGTCTTCATTTGCAAGTTAATGATGTTATGGAATGTCAAAATATGTGCACGAAAATTTTAAAACACGATCCAAACAACGAAGCCGCTAGTGTAATGGCCGCTGATCTCTCATTTCGTGGAGTAAGTGACAATCAGCAAAGAAATGTTACAAATTAAAGAATATTCAATATTTTCTTTTTTTTTTTTTTTTTGGTAACATTTAGATGAATTTCGAAAGTGCTGCATATCATTTTTCGCAATTGTTAATCGGTCAACCGACATATTGGACAGCATTGGCGCGTTTGGTTGAGGTATTGCGCAGGTAAATTTTCAATTGAATGTAAATTCGTGTTTATTTAGGGTCATTGTTAATTATTTTTTTTTAATTCATTCATTAGGTCGGCCGCGTTGCCAGACGCCCTTCCATTTCTTGATCGTGCCGAACAGAAATGTCCGCAACCAAATCAAGAGGCCGGGTTGAATTATTGCAAAGGCTTACATGAATGGTACAGTGGATTCACATTCATACATTAATTGTAATATATGTATTACGTATGAGATTGTCAAATGAAGATGATAGAAATCAGACAATATATTGAATTAACTGGTCAGTTGAGCTGACAGTACGTTAGCCAGCTAAATGGGCTAAAACAATTGACGTTATTGTTTTAATGATGAATCACTTTTCTTGTTTTAATAGAAGTGATTGTTCATTATAACAATAACTTCTATTGTTTTGGTCCATATAGCTGGCTAACGTACTGTCAGCTCAACTGACCAGTTAGTTCAATATATTGTCTGATAGAAATTGAATCTATGTGAAATAAAAAGAGAGTGTGTGTGTGTGGATGAGTGAGTGAGTGATAGATGATTGGGAAACCATTAGAATGTAAGACAAAACATACAAAAGAAACAAAAGTCGCGACAGCAAACAAATTGCTGGCGAAAAATTGAGATTTGGTAGTAGCAGCGGAGAGAACAACACACAAGGAATCAATGTTAAGTTCGTTTGAATATTCTACTCTGTTGTTATAATTGTCATATTTTTCATAGTAGCTAACGCATTCGCTGTTCGATATAGGCCACTGTCAACGACAAACCGATTTGAATGTGTTGGTGTGAGTGTGTATTTGACTGTGACATTTCAAACCAACGAGCCGGCAACAATTCACATCGTGTCGAACCATCACCAGTGTAAGAACTAAAATTATTGACGTACTCTTCCCGGCAAAAGAAATCAAGCCGCGGTCGTTCTATTAGTAAGTTACCGTTGGAATTTAGTTGCAATTCAAATTACTCTCTCATATGAATCTGTATTATTTGCTTATTATTTATTGATAATTACATTGTATGGTTTCATTCTCTAATCTAGGAAGTGACCAGCGGACCCAATCCTATCGTATTAAGACGGTAGGGAGTACTATTCTATAGTGAGCATTTTGTTTTTTTTTTTCTTCTCTTTCACAGAATCGCGATTAAAACTACCAAATCTCAATTTGTTCAAGATAATTGCTTGATGCTAATAACATCATATTTCATTCAGAATTATTTCACATTTTTATTGATTTCATTTTCGATTATTTGTCGATTATTTTAAATTAATTCGATAATTTTCTTTTGTGATTCTCCCCTTAGGTACAGTGGAAATCCAAATAATGCCCTTCGTTATTTTAACAATGCACGTCGCAGTTCGGAATGGGGTCATCAAGCTATCTGCAATATGGTTGAAATTTGTCTCAATCCTGATAATGATTTACCAAACGAATCCGTACCAGATTCCTTTAGTGATGAGGTAAGAATTATTTTAAAATTCGACATCTTCTTTATAATTTCGTTCAAAATGTTTCACTTTTGATTTATGTTAGTCGGAAATTCGTGAATCAAAATTGATGGCACTCCGAACGGCTGAACGTTTGCTCAAAGAATTACAATCAAGCACCAGTAGCGTGGAGAATGATTCGTTATCATTTCGTTTGCTTACAAATTTCCATTTGATGGCAACACGTCAAAAATATTCAATCGAAACGGCATTAGGTGAGACTAAGACAATTTAAAATCATTGACAAAATCTAAATTAAACCGTTATCAAATCGAATTGTTCTCTTTTTTTTTCAGGTGATTTCACTGAGATTGCAATGCAAGAAGAGTACCGTGATCATGTTGGACCCATTTTGGGACTGGCAACTGCTCATATTTTATTGAAACAAACGCAAAAAGCAAAAAATCAATTGAAACGTGTGGCACGGAATACATGGACTTTTGAGGATGCCGAATATTTGGAAAAATGTTGGTTGATGTTGGCTCACATCTATATTCAAGCGAATAAAAATGACATGGCAATGGATTTATTGGATAAAGTTATAGCGCACAATAAATCATGTGCTAAGGCGTATGAATTGAGCGCACAATTATCGGAAAAAGATCAAATTTATCGCATCGCTGCCATGCACTATGGTAAGATACAAAATATTCGTATTATCGATGCATTTTTGCAAGATTTTTCTTGCAAGAAAAGGGCATCATTTAACAGATTGTTCTATCATAAAAATACAATTATTTGGACATTTACAGATTTGGCGTGGAAATATGGCGGCAAGTCAAAAGCATCAATTGGTTATAAACTGGCATTTAATTATATGAAAATCAAGCGATATGCAGACGCAATTGATGTTTGTCAACAAGTTCTCAAACTTCACCCAGATTATACACATTGCAAAAATGTCTTGGATAAATGTCGAAATAATTTGAGATTGTAATTAGAGTTTAAAAAAAAAACACATAAATGATCTCAAGGATTTCTTGTAATTTTACCTTTGGATTCTGATAGATCTAAGACCTAGGTTAGTTTTTGAAATTCAGCAACTATATTGCTTTTCAATGATAAAACAAATAAAAATGTGCTAAAAATTAAAAGTCAAAACAAATTCAAATTGTTATAATTTTTATCGCACACCAAACAATAAATTACTTTTATTAGATAAAATGAACACTGCATTTGGTTTACATATAAGTGATGTGAGAGAGATTTTTTTTAAAAATAATTTGATATAACATATGTGTCAGCAAATATTTGGCACTCGCAAACAATTCAATAGAAGAATGTTTTGTTTGTCGATTTAATTCGAATGCAACAAGTTAATTCAGTACATTCAATAAAGAGATGATTATTCTTATAAATTGGCGTAATTTTTCTACATTTATGTATATATTACTTATAAATCTAAGTACATAACTTGTGTTGCGCATATGGCACCACAGAAACTTAAAAAGCTGGCCATCGATACAACGGCAGTGGTAGTGCCAGACCATGTAACAATCGTTCCCATGCACATTGATAAAATGAATTGTGCCAAGAAAACCATACTGCTGACAATAGCTATGTCGGTTCCCAACCCTCGAATTTGTGCTCCTTGTGATGTTGATTGAGCGTCCACCGCAAACTGAAACATCAATATTGTCATATAAATCAATTTCCTTCAATTCGCGTGAACAAAACGAAAAAAAAAAACACATGAAAATGATAATACTCACGCATCCTTCGGAATGATAATGGGCGACTAGTAAATATGGCATTGTAAATAGGGTTGAATACATAACACCTGCACACCAACTAAATATGATAACACTAGCTGGTGCCTTAGTCATTGCCATCATACCTAGGGGAAGATCATAAATGAAAACAATAGAAATAATCAACAAATAAATAATCAAAAAAAGAATCAATATGAATTGATAAATAATTGAAAAAAAAAATGCCATTTTACACATTCCACAGCTGTAGAACAATAGTCCACCGATGTATACTTTTTTTGCCCTAGAAAAGACACACAAAGTCGTCACAATTGAATACAGCTGTTTAGCGAGAGAGAGAGAGAGAGAGAGAGAGAGGGAGAGAAATGTATGCCTACCCAAAACGTCGAATCAACCGTTCGATTATTGTCGAATAGCATGCACATGATAATGAGTACATGGCCATTCCCCAGCATCCAAAACGAACACCCTCTTCATAAAGTGCGTATGATTCGGTTCCTTCAGCCGCTTTTGGATCACCGAGAAATACGGCTTCACCAACAAAATCCGTAAAATACAATGAATAACACACCTTGTGAATAAATAGATTCCAATGAGAAATTAAAAAAAAATGGTTATCATTTCCAAAAAATAGATTCAATTGGTAATTAGTTTTAGAAACGTACATGTGCCATCCAACAGAATAGATTGGTAAGACAGACCATTCGTAGGGAGTGTGGCATAAAAATGATTGACATTAAGTACTTATCAAATGATGCAACCGGTTCCTCTTGTCCAATTGGTAATGTTGTTGTTTGATTCAAATTTTCTCCAGTAAATGATGTTTCAGCTTCGTCATGTCTAACATTCGCCGAACATACAGATTCAGTATTCGGTCGGATGGCTGGCATTGTGTATCTGCGTTGATTTCCCTTGGGGATACAACAAGTAAATCGCATTTATTTCTCACAATAATAAACAAGTAAATTTTAATGGAGGCAATGAATCTATTGCTTTCATTTTTTTACTTTATTCGCGTGTATTTACATTTTTTGGTATTTCAAGGCTGTCATTTGCCAGAGCTCCGTATGAAGTTGTTCGATTAATTGGATCGGGTGCTTGAAGTTGTTTATTAAGTGCGGATTGTTCATCAGATTGTTCGTTGGTTTTTGCTTCATCGCCATCATCGCAGTCATCAATCACGACAACGCTTTGAGACTCTGACTCTAATCTCCATAGTGGAATCTCACGAAAACTGTCCAGAGTCACGATAACACAGACAATAAATATTACCGTAACCAATGTGAATACGGCTCGAACATGCCCACCCAACATCACACCTTTTCGTACATTTTAAGTATCCGAATACAAAATAGATTCATTTCATGATTATTGACATAATAAACAAATATATTTACCGAGCCAAAAAAATAAAAAAATAAAGAAAGCCAAATTCCGAAGCGAAAAAGGATTAACCAATAAAAAAGTCATCAAGCAAAATAAACTATGGAAAAATAATCAATGAAAAAAAAAAGACAACAACACGTGAAAATAAAATTCACACAAAAAATCATTTGTGCATAAGAAATACCAAGCGATGTTTCCTCCCAGTTGATGGCACCGAGTGAGTATCCCATGAAACCGCCTAATCCAGCCATTATGGTAAACGTTGATAAACCTTTTGCATGATCCGATGGCACCGTTACATCGAGTAAAAATGCACGGCTCGGACTTTGGCATGCATCCGCATCAAAATCCAATAGAACTGTTCCGATTATGGTAAAAAATACACCCCATGGATGTGATGTATTCGCCACATTGATTATTTCCGTTTCCGAAGCGGTTGAACGATGTGCCAGTATTGAAGTTTTTTTTATCATTGTTTCATTCGATACGGCGTATGGATTGAAATCACCCATAGCATATCCCAAATCTTCACCATTTGGCACCATTAACAATCCTAAATGTACAAACACATCAATCAAATGTAATTATCAATCACACTATAAAAGCATTATTATTGAACTGGTTGGAAATAAAATAATTCGAATTCGAATTTCAATAAATGTATCATACATTACCGATGAATATGCCGATTGAAAATAATATGATGAATGGCCTTCGACGTCCCAAATTCAATCGACATCGATCGCTGAGCGAGCCCATAATTGGTGTTAAAAAGAATCCAACTAATGGTGATAGCGCCCAAACCAATGTCATATGCTGATGTTGAACGCCAATGCTTAAAAGCGTTGGTGAAACGAATGCCGTTTCAGCGGCATATGAAAATTCGATGCCCATTACAGCTGCCGAGACTCGAAGCAACTCTGAACGAGTTTTTGTTCTTTTTTTTATTTTCGCCGTATGTTTTAACATTGATATTTGTACAAGGGAATCAGAGTGAAGAAGAAGTAACGAAATGGGTCATTAAATGGATTTTCAACAAAATGATCAGACAATATAAAATTTAGTATAGTTTGCATTATCACACATTATTATCATTGAAATTGAAATGCAAATGTTTGTCATGAATTGATATTTATTTCTAAAGCATGTTCCATACGTTATGCAATAGAGCATTGATCCTTTGAATATAAAACAATGGATTATGTGAGATTTATTTTGATTTTTATTTTCAATGCAGAATCAAATACGGAAAATCAAATCAAATCAATTCAATTTAGTTTGAATCCTTATATTGGCATGCACACATGAATAGGGTGAGTGAAAATGGGAGAAAATAAAACCTGTATAAATGTGAATAATCGGCATGTCCATGGCTCGTCGACGATTCATCGTACACTTTCTTTTTCACTAGCTCAATGATGGTTTCGGGATTTTCTTGTCGCCAATTTGAAAAACGTTCACGAAACGATTCTCGCCACTCATGAAATCTACCAATCCAACCTTGATACGAATGTAATTTTTCCATTTCGAATTTTCGTAATTTTTTATTCTTTTTTTTTCTTCACCAAAATTGATGATAATTATCGAATTTCAATCGCCTATTCGAATCGATTAATGCGTCTCTATGAAAATTATGTTTATTGCACTGGGAAAACGGTGATTTACTCTGATAACTTTTATTTATAGAACAAAATTACACCCAAAAATAAAACCCTTCTTTTTCTTTCTTTCTTTCTCTCTCTCTCTCTCTCTCTCTCTCTCTCTCTCTCTCTCTCTCTGTATCGTTATTTTGCTCTTGAACACAATGCTCAACTGAATGATTGTTGTATCGAGTCGGCAATTACGATGCACATACACAATGTGCAATACAGTGTGCTCTAAATGTGTTTAATTTAATTAAAACAAACTTATTACGAAACACAGTCTGTCTTTGGCTCTAATGGTCATATGTGGTAAAATTCATTTGGTTAGTTACGCAAAATTCTAATTGTATTTGTTAGTTTTCACTTTTTTGCTTGCCATTATATTCACATTCACTCTTTCTCTATCCATATATTTCTTGTTGTCGCTTTGTTTGTGTATGGTGTTTGGTTTGTCACCACAATGCAATTGAACTTCAACGGACAAGAGGAACGCACAATTTTGAATTTATCAATGTGAATGACAAAGTAACAATAAACATCTTGCGAAGCATTGATATTTAAAGAAGCAACAGAAACAGAGAAACAGTTTCAATCTATATTTTGAGCTTGGCATCGGCGCAACGATGTTATCGTGCGACGGACATTCATGATTTTATGCTCGATTCTGCTATCCATAACGCAGGGTTGCCTAGCGTATTCTGTATTTTGCATGCCATTATTGTACAAAAAAAAAACTTTAAAAATCCATGCTTCGATTGGCTAGCGACTGAAAGGCAGTCGAACAGCAAGTCGAAACAGATGAACCGTTAACAGACATCTCAAGCGACCACCGTTTGCACGCCAAACTCAACTGAGTGAGTGTATGTGTGTGTGTGTGTATATCTGACATTCAACATCATTTGTTTTTATTTGCCGAAACGTTCGGCTTTTTTTTTTGTAAAATTTGCAAAATCTTTTGTGCTGTCATATTCAAAGTCATAATTTTTAAGAATCGAACAGAAAAGCAATCAACAAGAATGCAACTTCTTTGCATATAAAGTGAATTTGATTTTGACGCTCTTGATACATACGCGTTAACAGAAAATTCATGCAGAGTTTACAAAACATTTGTGAAATATGTGATATAGAGTGTGCAACTGTACAGTGTAAATATTTATTATAAAACTTATGATTTTTATTTTCAAATCGTTTTGTTTTTTTGTTTAATTAAAGTGCACGTTAGAATGAAACAGAAAAATAAATCAAATCCATAACAATGAGTAACGTAAACAAAATTGCAACAATTAACTGATACAATTTATTATTTGTCGAAGTAGTTATTATCAGCAGTTTTTCGAAAAAAAAAATTGTCATTTTGTGTGTACCAAATTAACGTTTATCAATTTATATTCAGAATTAAGGTAATTAGAAAGGATAGGATTAAAGAACACATTTGCATGAAAATCAATAAATTGGAAACTTATCAATATTTTGAAATTAGTCAACAAATAAAAATTTCTTTTGAATAAAATATCCGGAAATTGAATCGATCAACAAGCAAACATTATCACGATCAAAATTCAATGTTCGCTTGATTCGTAAACAACCTGTGGAATATGAAAGGTCTATCATCTTGTTTTGCACAATTTGCGTGTGCGTGTGTGTGTGTTCATATTTTTTGGCATCATTTCGATGTACATTCGTTCGAATCATGTAAAAGCAACATTTGTTTGAACATTGATGCGAGCCAACATATATGCGATATGTTTATGTGTGCATAAATGTACAAATTCAATGTGCACATCATTTACGAGCGCTCATTTTATTTCGATAGTGCATGTACGAGATTTGTTTGTTTCAAGTTAACGGCCAAGAATTTACCTTGATCTGAATATCTGAGAAACTAGAAATGCTATTTTTGTTAGTTTCATACGAAATGTTTTGTACGTGCACACATTTAGATAGAGAGAGAGAGACCAACAGCCATACCATGTATTGCGGAACAAATCAGCCGATTACGATGTTGTGATAATCTATGATCGGCTGATGGTAAGCGACCATATCAAAGATGTGCGGGTGCTACATGAGGTTGAATTGATGCGCACGACACTTTTAATTAGACAAAATAAAAAAGAAAATAAATGTATGCAGCTGTAAACATGTGTACACACATATACACACACTACTCTGAGTGTTGACATAGAATAGAATAGAGTGTTTTTTTGGCAAGCATTTTCGGAAATAGCTAATGAACGGATGGATATACATATTTTACAGTGTCTGTCTCTTTGATTTTCGGTGCAACGAAAGCGACAACTGAAATTCAAAAAATTGCATAAACGAATTCAAAAAGAAAAAAACAAAAAATTTCTTCTCTCACACACCAAAATACTGTATATATAGATTTTATGTGTCTGTAAAATGATACTAGTCTCTATTGAATACTTTCTATTTGTAATTGCGTCGTAAACAATTTGAAAATTGTGATTTTCAATTGGAAAACCAAAAGCAGACGATTGAAAATTGCAAACAACAAATCAACATTACAATTAAACCGTCATATGTTTATTCCGATTTATTTATGTGTTATTTTCGACGAACGGCATTAAGTTGTTGTAATTGTCGTGTAATTTTTGGTAGTGTGCATTGCGATAAACAGTTAATTATTTGCAAATGATTAAAACGAACAACAACAAGCAAAAGCTTGTCTCGTTTCATCGTTGGGATGATGAGAAAGCAACAGCTCCGTTGATGAATCCCTGTAAAAACGAGTCACATTTCATTTTTGTCGCTATTTGAGTAAGCATTTCGCATGCATATAAAAATATCTAAATGCAAAGTGTCGACGAATGTCGTTTTGTGTGCTAAGTGTTCATAATTTCTTTTTAAAAAAATGTCAATTCGAATCGTTTATGCGATTATCGATTTTGTTATTATATTAAAATAGATAGTTTGAACTCGATAAATGATACAACGTATATTAATTTTCTCCCTTTTTCTCTTTCTCGATCGACAGCGGAAGTATCAGTTACGTAATAAAGAAAACGTCTGTTGAAAACCAAAATTGATAAAAACAAACAATTCAGGCATGGAAGTGTATTATGTTCGTTTTTTATGCGGTAAAAGACGCTTTATCCAATAAAAAAGAAAGGAAGAATTTCAGAAAATTGACTAGTTGATTGACGAAACGAAACAATTTGAAAACAATTATCAAAAGTTTACTTTTTTTTTTTAAATTAATGTGTGTACTTCGTGAGGATATTTTTTATTCCCAAATCCATGTGCGAAAAAAAGCAAAAAGTTAAACTTAAATTGAGTCATTCGATTGGATTACTATTACAAAAGAAGAAATCACAGGTAAATTATAACATCGAAGAATATTTTCTTTTGTATTTTATATTAAATCATCGCTTGCGGTTTACTTTTTACTTCTTCTTTAAATGTGAAAAAAAAAAATGGTGTTTGTTGGCATTCCGTTTCGTCTTATATTGATACAATGAATGTGATATTATCCCAACGGACACAGAATAATAATACGGTGTCAAACGAAATGTTAAAATTAATGCCATCCAAAATTGGCAAGAAGGTTACCGACGCTCTTGTTATTCGATGAAAATGAATCAAATACGGAAGCGTGCACGGTCTCAAACATAATGGGGGAGTAATGTGTTCATTGGGGGCGATATACTATATAAATTCTTTTTCACATGGATTGACCTCAAAAAACGTTTTTTATTTTCTCTATTGAGTTTATGATCACGCCCTAGTCGAGCCGAAAAAAAAATACAATGCGTATTTTGCTACTTTGCTACCTTTTTATAGTTCAAATGAAGTGAACATATCGCCTTTTTCGCGTTTTTCTTACGACTATAAGCGTCCTTATAATGTGATATGGACAGTATTCAGAACGAGACCTAATAATGTGGTACGCACGCAAATAGTATTTGAAGTCATTTTTCCTTCTCGAAAGAAAAACAAAAATCCATTCGGTTGTTGTTAGTTTTGGTTTTTCTTTTACATTCATCGCACACATTCAATTCATTTTAAATAAAAATTAGAATTTACATTTTTTTTTCGTTTTGAACAACAACCGCAAAACAAACACTCAATCAGTTAAAATGTATATATAAGTGATAAATAATACAGACACAAGAAATATTCATGTGGTAAGCATAATTGAAGAATTATTTAATTCGATATTTATCGACAATATGTGAAACAATTACGATTATATCAAATAGATATCAAAGTGAGTGAATGAGAAAGGAAACCCACAGAGCTCTGCCTTATAGCAATTTTAGATTTATCAAATGACATAAGCAGGAAAAATGTTTAAATTTGACCGTCAAAATGCCAGACAATTGTCGAGGTTCATTTAAAATACCACATTTTACATGTCTATTTATAGTGTGAAAAGCTGAATGAAAAAAAAAATCAAGAGCCTTGTTGATACCATTTCCTCGATTAACATTGCATTTCATCGTTTTCACGCAAAATATGTTTTGGTTTTTCTTGTTCTTGTTCAACGTTGTTTTTCATTTATGATAATTAATTTGCATAAAACCAAATGTGTCAACAAAAAAAAACAAGTTTAATTCAAGTTTCACTTCTCAATTTCGCCCTGATTTCAATGTTTTGAACGCCCTGAGAGAATTCATCTCTAATTTCAAAAGACCATTTATTAGTAATAAACGAATAAAAAAACACGTCTAATAACTTTGAACAATGTAAATATTCTCTCAAGCAATTAGTATATGTATCATCCGTTGTCGTAATTCAAGTAAACGAAGTGTAAACAATTCATTCATTTGTGAGAACACTATAGAAAATTAGTTTGACTATAATATGTCATCACTTAATTTCAACATCGATATCAAACAAAAACTTCATATCGCTTTCAAAATGATGAAACTTTAAAAGTGTACATATATGTTTCAATTTTCTTTTGCCATTTTATCCAAATCCATATTGCAAATTGTATCAAGAGAAAGAAGAAGGTGCGAACACTTGTCGGCCCAATGGAAAATTATCCAATAATGGATAAATTATTAATGTCCAAAATATTCAATACACAAATAAGCATACGTAGGTTGCTCCATAATTTTTTTTAAAATGGTACTTATAGTGTTGCCCGATGTAAACCATTGTCATATTCGTAAAGTTTGATGTTTTGGTATGTATTCGTGCCCTGAACCTTTTGTCGTACGAACGCTATTTGTATTGTTTACAGTGACTGGTAAACTGCGACTCAACAAAAAAATGAATTTTACACGTGAAGATTTTCGTAAAATGATTTACTACGATTTTCGAAGTAAATTATCTCAACAACAGTGTTTCGATCGACTTCATTTGGCCTTTGGCAATGAAGCACCAACCCTTCAGACAATTTATAACTGGTACCGAGAATTCCGTTGCGGTCGTAGTTCGCTCAAAGACGAGTTTCATACAGGTCGTCCAAAATCGGCTGTTGTGCCACAAAACATCGATGCTGTCAGAAAACTGATTATGGAAGATCGTCATGTGACCTACCGTGAGATTGAGGCATCTTTGGGCATTTCATCCCACAGCATACATACAATTTTGCATGAACATTTAGCCGTAAAAAAGATTTGCTCTCGTTGGATCCCACATAAATTGACCGATGAACAAAAAATGGCTCGTGTGAGTTGGTGTAAAGAAATGCTCAAGAAATTCAATCGTGGTGCTTCAAAAGACGTTAATAAAATCGTCACTGGTGACGAATCGTGGATATATGCCTATGAGCCCGAAACGAAACAGCAGTCGACTGTATGGGTCTTCCAAAATGAAGATAACCCAACGAAAGTTGTTCGAGCAAGAAGCACTTCGAAGCGAATGGTCGCCTGTTTTTTCGGGAGAAGTGGTCATGTGGCAACCGTTCCACTAGAGGATCGTAAGACCGTCAATTCTGATTGGTATACCACCATTTGTTTGCCCGAAGTGTTTGGTGAAATAAGAAAAAACAACCACCGTCGCAAAATAATTCTTCATCACGATAATGCGAGCTCTCACACATCTTTTCAAACTACTCGATTTTTGACCGGTCAAAACATCGAACTGATGGGTCATCCACCGTACAGTCCTGACCTGGCACCCAATGACTTTTTTTTGTTCCCAAGCGTGAAGAAAAAACTACGTGGTCAACGATTTTCGACACCAGAAGAAGCAGTTGAAGCGTTCAAAACACACGTTTTGGAGATATCAGTTTCGGAGTGGCACGAATGCTATGACAAATGGTTTCATCGAATGCAAAAGTGTATCGATCATCTCGGGGAATATTTTGAAAAACAATAAAACCATTTTCGACAAAAAACAACTGTGTTATATATGTTTTTAAAAAAAATTATGGAGCAACCCTCGTATAATGCATAATTGTTTCAATTTTGAAATGCAATACACGTTTTACTATTTTATGAGCGGAATACCACCAATTTTAAGCATAACGTATTATCGCGAATGAAACAATAAAATAATCATCGATTATCTGATCTAATGAATGTTTATGTATATATGTGTGTACACGTCCTTCACAATGTCCCACATGCACAATCCTGATTCGACTGCGTGCCCAATTGCGTATTGGAATTAAATATAAATTAGATATGAGTAAAAGAGGCAGAATTAATCTAACATTAAAAAAAAACGATTCTTATTTAGAGAATGATTCTACATTGGATCGCCTCGTATTTAAAGAAAAAAAAAAAAAAAAAAAAAACAAATGTGATAAAGTAGTGCGAGAGTAAAATAAAATGTAATAGACATCTAAATGCATGAACTTACTACTCGTTTGAAGTGTTGTTCGCCTCGTTCATGAAATGCGGCAACAACAATCAAGAGAGAGAAAAAAAGGGCCCCATATATGTAAAGCATGTTATTGTTATATGGAACAAAAGTAAATATAGAAAACGGCTACTGTACGACCTGTGCGCGCATCAATCGCACAATTTTAATATAGAATACGGTGTACGATTGTGACTGTTGGTCATTATGCGTTAATATTAAAACACGATAAGTTTAGAAAGAACAAAAAAGAAAATACACAACATAGGAGGCGACAACATAGAAAATTGAAGACGACAATATATTGGTTTAGTGTGTATAATGTTGGTCGCGGAACCCAGTTCAAATTAGGATCTGCTTTTCCTGTCGAAAATAAAACCAAAAAAAAATTAAATGACATTTATTATCAACAAGACAAACACCGACCGTTGACACCAACATTTTTCGTAAGGCTGACTGTGGTTTGACTTATTTATTTCGTTTGCCCATTAAGTATCATATAATCTCAAATTTTGATCATTGACTGGCTGCGCTCAAATATCATGTTGATTGAATATGAATTTAGAAACATAAAATCAACATTATGCGCTCAGAGAGACATTTCACATTTCGTTTTTTTTCTCCTCTTTTTTGATCGGATATTTTATTTATCGTCATACAATGTTGCAGTTATCGTCGTTTTTGTATACGTTGTTGTTAATGCCATCTTTGCTATAAATAACATTTTATTCAGCTCATTACACGATCATTATGCTATTTAAAACGAATGCATGATTGTCCTTCAAATTGAAATTCTTATAGATTTATTATTTACAATGATATTTAAATATATGTGACTATCATCCGGCAATCATTTGTCAAAGTACAATATAGATATATTTTTTTTATCCTTTTTGTCACTTAAACAGTGTGTGCGTGTGTGTGCGTGCATTGTTGTGGTGTAGATGTAGGTGTGCTGATATTTGTTGTTGAATATATGGCCATCATAATCGTGTAAAGGCGTCACTTTCTCTTTTCCGTCTGCCAATATCCAATATAGTTCATTTTGTCGATGGCATTTTCTTTCTCTATTCCTCTGTCACATTGGTTTGGCCATCGGTCTCCTTCATCCCTCCTTCGAATTAGTCAATATGTTTGCTTTATGGTGTCCACACTATCGTTGTGGATACATTTTTTTTACTGTCCCGATTTACCTTTTCGTTTTCCATTTTTTTATTAAAGTTTGTATGTATGTACACATACAAACATCACTAATTCAATTCTCCTTACGTATTACATTTAACACAGGAAAATAATGCTGTTGATATTTGCACAATGTTGTAACGATGGCATTTATCGTTTATTGTTTCTAGTTTTTTTTTGGTGACCGTGTCACTTTTCAATGAATTTTAATCAAATCTAACGATTTAGAAGTGAAAAAGAATACTCTATAAACAATAATAAAAGCACCTGGAGAAATGAAAAGGCCAAGAACCATGAAAACATGATAGACACACATACAAATTCAAATATTCAATATAAAAAGCCAAGGGGAGATTGTTGAGTGTTGATGAAAAAAAAACTAAAACGAACTACAATCCCATTTCACACATTCAAAAACAAAAACATTAGTCGTTGGTATGAATCGGTTTGAACACCGTTCATCCATCGAAGTTTGACCATCCTTTTCCACATTTATCTTTTATCCATCTATGGCCGACATCAGTCCGAAAGAGACAATATGAATTAAATAAGGAATGTTAAAACGATAGATAGGATTTTATATAAAACGAAAAAGTATATATAAAAACAATAACTAAAAATAAGTAGAAAAAATCCTATGTATGATATACACACATTTTCGTGGTCATAATAGATGTAACAAACGACACCAAGTGAATGTATTCACAAAAAAAAACACAAGAGACACTCCATTGCTTATTTGCTTTGTTGATTTGGCTATTCGGCTGTGTTCCATGCTCTCTATCTCTCTCCATCTGCTTCCCCCACATACATTGAACAAAAATGGGAAAGTTTTATTAAAAATGCACGAACATATCGAGGACATTGCGTTTATAATTGTCTTTTATCTGTTATCAAATTGTAGTTCATAGTAGTATTTTGTCCCGCGTTCAGTTAACACTTTTTTTTAAGCTCAGTTTCGATTACATTCTCGTGCTGTGTGCCTAACTGACTGACACATGATCGAACTTTGATGAGAGGTCGAAATCCGAATTTCACACATTTTCAAGCAGACAAATAAAATCCCACCCGAATATCCATATAAATTTATGCTGCTCAAACGCTTATCGGCATGCAAAAAAGTGAAAACAATAAACCAGAACAATTAAGAATAATATCAATTAATGAGTGTGAAATTTGCATTTTAAATGTACTATAAGCGCTGCTAAATTTATCCAGTTCAGCTATTTGTGAATTGAAAAAAAAATAGTTGGTGGTGATCTTCAATTGAAGTGAGTAGTTCAATGCATACATGTTTTCACACATAAATAATGTTCGGTGAAAATCATTTAAAATATTCTCAATGAACATAATAACAGTATATATTGCTGTTCGTCTTTACTGTAACCTTTGTAGAAAAAGAAAGAATTTAAAAACTATTGAGATGCGAAAAACAACAACAGCATATATCACATTTGGCAATGCAAATTATGGTCACTATTTCGTTCAATGCATAATAATTTGAAAGACCTGAGAGCAAATAATGATGGAAAAAATGAGAATGTGTCAAAGATTGCTCAAATCAAAAGTAAATCCATACGACAATTTCAAAAATGCGACATAAGTAGTTACACCGTGTAACATACACGTATACACATCAAATAACGCATACAAATTCAAATAAAAGAAATATACACAGAGAACATACCGTGCATTACCTTCGTTTCCACGAAAGTAAAAAAAAAATGTTATGAAAAAATGGGAAAACTCATTTGGTTTGCCTGACGCATTTTGTCGATAAACGACATGAATGGAAAGGCGTATGTGTTGACAACTGTGAAGTTCACGTTGTGAACTCAAACACATGTCTCAAAAGGATAATTCATTGGAAACCTTCATATTATACGAGAGCTTTCAATGGCAAGGTTCTACGAACGCAATCGATTCAAATAAACTATAGAAATTATATGAAACGTAACACAAATTACATTAATGACATTTCATGCAACAGAGATGCTCTCTATGCACTTTTGAATCCAGCGATCGATATACAATTATACATGGATAATGTTGTACAAATAGACTAGTTTTTATAACAAATGAATAATATAGGTGTTGTTTTCTTTTATTGTCTTTGTCACAGGTTTCATCGCTCGAAACATTTTTCAAACGTCAACAATTGGTTGAAGCTGTGTAGACTTCCAATTAACTATAAGCAATAGAATACGCTCAGTATCAAATCCAGCGCTTTATATATTCAACTCAACGAAATATATAGGATATTTTCCACTTTTTTGTTTTTTTTTTTCTTCGTTTTTTCATTTTCTTCTTTGGTGCGTAATAATTCCAAGTCAGAATCCAAAACTGTCTTCGTCGAGTGGAGAACCTGACAATATTAGTGATATACTGGATTCGCAAAATAATAATCAACACTCCAGTTTAGAGCTGAACATATTAAACGCGATTGATGATCACGGACAGAGAACATCTCTTGAACCGATTTTTACACCGTCCGAAGCACAAAGTCAGCGACCTTCATCAACTTGCACCATGGGTAACGATATTAAAATTAACACAACAAAGATAAAGAATTTAAAAAAAAATCCCTTCGTCGCATAGGTCTTGATTTTATGGACAATTCTGGTGTACGAGTGGATTACGAGAATGCGCTCATTAATGCCGGCTTCGGGAAATTTCACATTTATTTGCTCATCATTTGCGGTGTGATATATTGATTTTTTTTTCTTCAAAATTCCTATATAATTACATTTATTCTGGTCACTCTAGGTATGATCTATATGAATACGGCAATTGGTATAACAATTATATCATTTGTTTTACCATCGGCGACATGCGACTTTAAAATGTCATCAAGCGACAAAGGCTTATTGACTGCAGCTCCGATGCTTGGTAAAATTCCATTTTTATATTTAGAATATTTGGCTGATGCGATAATCGATTATCGAAATGTAAAAAATGCATGTTTCATATCAAATTTTAATATCAAAATGTATACGCAGCCATTTGAACTATGGACGATATTGAATGAATGTAAATTTTTTGATATTGCCTTGAGAATGTGTTGCGTGTGTATGTTTACTTATTTATATAAAAAAAAATTGTGCTATTTTTAGCTTCCGTGTTGGGAATTTGAAGAGTGAAAAAATATTCATTAAAATTGCATATCTGCATTAAATTATTAATATTAATACGAAGAAAAAATAACTAAAAACTACTATCTATTAACGCCAGCCAGAACTAACAATGTTAGTCTAACATACTCTTGAATTATTTAACAAAATGATATCTACAGTGATTTTCTTTATTTATTATCTTGAATATTTGATTGATTCTCAAGGAATGCTTGTGGGCTCATATTTTTGGGGTTGCTTGGCAGATACGAAAGGCAGAAAAACCGTATTGATTGCCACATTACTTCTTGATGGATTTTGTGGCCTTTTATCATCTGTGTCAATCTACTACTATGTTTTTATGCTTTTTCGATTCTTCAATGGTTTCGGGTGAATATCATGATTGAATTAAATCCTTAACAAATGCACACTCACATAGGATTGCTTATATATTTAAAAAAAAAAATAGTGTTGCTGGTGCAATGGGCATTTGTTTTCCTTACTTGGGCGAATTTCAACCGACAAAATACCGTGAGAAAATATTATGCTGGATGGAAATGTTTTGGACCGTCGGTATAATTGCTTTACCGGGTATGTAATGAGAAATCATTTTCAGCTCACGAAGTTTTTTTTTTAATGAGGGAAAAAATGCTTACTTTTTATCTTTTCAGCAATCGCATGGTTGATAATACCATTATCTGTTGAAATTGAACATGGCTGGTTCAAGTTTCACAGTTGGAATTTATTCGTTGCAATTTGTGCCATTCCAAGGTAAATTTCAATATTTTTAGAATCATAAAAGCATCGCTACCTTCTTATGGTATTCATTTTAAAATATAATTTAATATTTTGCATCATTTGCAAAAAAAAAAAAATAGTTTGCTGTTGGGATGTTTGTTATTCTTATTCCCGGAAAGTCCAAAATTTCTGATCGAATGTGGCGAAACAGAAGAAGCCCTCGAAGTCTTGAGGTATATGTATCAACAGAATACTGGCAATGGTCAAACTGAATATCCGGTAATAAAATTCTTTGTGAAAAAGGTGTTTGGATGAAAAAATAAGACATTTCATTTTTGTCCTAGATCAAAAGTCTAAAAGAGCGAGAAAGCATTAGTACAATATCACGGCGAACAAGCAAATCGGTGCGTACGCTCAGCATGCGAAAGCCAAAAGAAGTAAAAATGCTAGTGTCAGAAATATGGCAACAGACGATGACATTGTGTAGGCCACCCCATTTACGAAATACCGCTTTAACTTGTGCCATTCAATTTGGCTTAACCACAAGGTGAACAGACACTTAATTATACTTTAAAACGTTACTTCATTTCATAAATCATCAATTATTCGATTGAATTTCAGCTATTATACGCTAATGATATGGTTTCCCGAGCTTTTTTATCGGTTTGAAGAATTTGAACATCTACATCCCGGTGAATCGGCCTCAGTTTGTGAAGTTTCCTCAGTCATGGTTAAACCACTGAATGGGTACACATTTTTAAATAGATTTTTTTCTTTTAATTTTAATTCATTCAATTTAATTCCATTTGTGATATTTTCATTTTAAATATTTAATTGCAGAACGATAGCCAATGAACCATGCATTCCGAAGATTCAAGATGAAGTGTTTTATCATACAATAATCATTGGAATAAGTTGTATACCGACCAGCTTATGGTTGCCATTATGTGTTCATCGATTGGGTGCAAAATTCTTTCTAGGTTAGAATTGCTTATTTAAAGCATGCATTTAATAATGCATGAGATAAACACAGTCAAATGAGATATCTAAATTCAATTTTTATCCGCATTTCTTTTTTTATGTCATTTATGGTTGTTGTTTTTTTAATTTCTTCTCTAATAGTGTTTAGTCTAGTGGTGGCTGGTACCGTAACAATTGGATTATACTTTGTGCATAATCCAACTGAAAATTTAATATTGTCTTGCATATTTGAGGCGCTAACGTCGCTCGGTATTTCGACCGTCTATTGCGTAATGGTGGATTTATTTCCGACTAATTTGAGGTAATAAAAATACCGAACATATGGATTTCGACATGCATTCGATCAACGTCATTCACATTATTTTCACATTTTCAATGGCGTTCACCAAGTTCATGCCCCCCAATGAATTTAATTGAATATTTATGTATTATTTTGTCTCATCATGTATTACAGAGTTATGGCAGCAGCATTATCTTTAACTTTCGGCAGAGGTGGCGCATTAATAGGCAATTTAATATTTGGATCGTTAATCGATTTAAACTGTGTCATACCAATAGTATTATTTTCTGCAATGTTATTTAGTAAGTGGCCCGATCTCGAATTTTCGATAAATTTTTCTCGAACACAGTCTTTGAGATTTTAATCGTTTTTTTTCTAATTTCTAATTCGAATTTTTCTAGTTAGTGGCTTCTTATGTTTGCTGTTGCCGAATACCGGCGGTCAGGCACTGGATTGAAAACCACTGTTACTGCATTAGTAACACCACTGAATGTTAGCTCTCGATTTCGATAAAATAGCGGTAAGAACCATGTGACACAACAATTTGTTTCGTGTTGCGTGGCAATGAATCTCAAGACACTAGTTTATTTTATTAATAACAAATCACTGATCTTAAAAATGATAGAGAAAAAAATTTATATATATATGTTTGTTTCGATGTTAATATATTGGTAGGTAGATAAACAGAATGTTCACACCAGCGTGAAAATTAGCTATATATTTTTTTTTTGTAATATTCGTTGTGGAAGAGAATTTTAAGTTTTTAGACTTTATCAAATAATATATTATTTTGTTGACACGATTCTAAGAGATAATTTTGGAAAATGTGATTCAATCATTCAAAGTTGTAAATCATAATTCAATGGAAATGTTGAGTTCACAACTTCTAAATGTCGAATCTATACTGAATTTGTTTCCATTCGATTATCGCTCGGAGGCAGGTGACAAAATATGCGATGTTAACTGTTTAAATGTATAAGTTTCATTTTGTTGTGCAGCACATTATTACACTTTGATTTACCAAAAACCGATCCATAATTTTCTTTTTCTAAATTGGTGAAAGGTGTGATTTGAACGAATGCCATTACAAATTACTACACTGATTTCAATCTGTGGTATTTAAAGTGCTTTAACAAGTAGTTGATCGATTTGCCTTTAATGTCGAAAATACAGTAATAAAAATAGATTTATTTTTTTTAGTTAGTAATTAAAATAAAAACAAACAATTATTTCACGTTTATAGGAATTTGCTGTGACTTTTAAAATTATTATAAAAAAACTGCAAATATCAAAGAAAATATATATAAAAGAATGAACAAGTACGAGCCAAATAAGGCTGACCATGACAATTTATATTATAAAATGTTCAAGTTCATGAGCCAAAATTTTGGAATGATCTATTCATATGGTTTGAATGTCGATTATTTGCCGAATTTTTTGGCCATGAAATGGATCACATAGTTTTAATGTTGTTAAGATTCACTTGTTTCAATTTAATAGAAAATAATTATTTAACAAAAAAAAAACATACTCACACAAAAAACCACAAGATTTTATAAAGAATCGAATTTTATTTTGATTTAAGAACAAGAATAATTAATAGGATGAAGTTTACAATTCATTCAATTGACTTGAAACAAAATCAAAAGAGAACAAAAAAATGCAAACTCGTTTTTATATATTTACATATCTTGTAATTGTAGTGTTGAATTAATCGATAGGTACCTGCGTTGCGGAACACTCAAACATGTAAGAGATAGCGAAAAAAATACACTGAAAATTACTATATTATGCACGTGTATATTGAACAAAATCTGTGAATTAGAGCATGCCTTAATAAATAGTTTTTAAAGTTGAAAGAAAAAAATGGACACTTCAAGCAGGCGCGGAGAAGCACCCGAAGAAATGAAAACAATCAAATGAAAAAATTGTTGAGAATTATGAAAAAAAAGGTGGAAAGAAATGGAATGAAAGAATAACATAAGCTCAAAAATTAACTAGTTTGTTATAAGTATTAATGATTTGTATCTTAATGGCTTTAATGAGAGTGCAAGACGAAACGTTATTAAAATTGCAAATGACATTGTTTAAATGACAAAGATCACGATGTTCTTTATTTTCCTTTATTATTATTATTTTTTTGTTGTGTTTTCAATATGCCTAAATGTATGATATGTATATGATTTTTTTTTTTCGGTTCGAAAAAAATTGAGCCAAAAAATGTTTGAATGAAAAATGGGCCAAAAATCAAACACATCACCAATCAATAAATGGTAAATGAATTAGTGTAAAGCAGATGATTCCGATATTGTATTTGGCTTTGTTGTTGGTAATAAATCTGTCGTTGAGCTAACCATGGCATGTGAATTATGTGTGGTGGTTAGCATGCACATGCCGGGATATGTACCAAATAATGGAAATGGTGCTATCGATGATGGTCCCATTGCTGTTACATTTTGAAAACCAGTCGCATAGATTCCCTGCCGCTGTGCAATTTTCAATCGTGATGTCAACTGTTTTTTCCATTTGGTTCGACGATTCTGAAACCAGGTTTTTATTTGCACCTCTGTCAAATTTAGCGTTTTCGATAATTCCATGCGTTTGCTCACACTCAGATATTTATCTTGTTTGAATTCATTTTCAAGTTTTTCCAACTGTTTTACACTGTACGCTTGTCGCGGTTTTCGATCAATGCCCGGCTTACGCGATCGTTTTCCCAATAGTTTTGGACCTAATTGTAAACATAATATATGTAACATAATCAAATGGAGTCGACGTTTTTTTTTTTCTAAGAAAAAAAATAGTTTTTTTTTGAATAAATTTTCTCTTCTTTTCACTCATAAAATTGAAAGAGACACAATTAGTTCATTTTTAGATATTATTTTGACTCTGCTAAGTGAACTAACCAAATTATTATTACTATATATATGTTTTTCGCTCAAATTTGTTGCAGTCATGATAATTGGTTCAAACGCTACCGAACAAATAAAATTAACATGCGTAGAAATTAAGTGGAACCAATTCGATTGCTCGCACAAAATACCAGAGAAAAGAGAGAAATTTGAATTAAGACATCTTGAGTATATAGATCACAATACAATTAACACGCGCTTCTTTCACGAAAAAAAGGAACTATATTAGAATGATGTTTAAGCTAGAGTCAAATGTTTGTATGTAAATAAAAACATTGCCAAGATTGATTGTGCGGAGTTTATCTTTTTGTCTATTATCTATTCAATTCTTCGTATTCGTTGAACGAGCGAAAAAAAACAACACATTTTGCGTTATTCAAATATTTATGTTACAAATATTTTTCCAATCTGATTTTTCTTTCCTTTGAATTCCATAAACATTTTTTTTTTTCATTTCAAAAAAGGTCATTTTTCTCTTTAAAAGGATGGTATTTTGACCATTCGGTCACTTTATTTACACTAATATATTTGATTGAATAGATGTTTTCAAAAGAGTGAAGAAAACAACTGTGATTTTCCATCGAAATCAAATAGACAGCGTTTAAAACATTTCAATTTTGGTAAGTGGTTAAATGTTAAATGAATGAGAGTGGAAACAGAGTGACAAATTACCTTGTAAACAAAACAAATATTTTGTTTGATCAGGCATTTTAGCATGTAGATCGATCCAATTAGCGTACATAAAGTTTGTATAAGCATTTGGTGATGGCGTTGATGATGTTGACGATGACAGCAATGCCGAAGGATTTTTGTTATTGAATGAATTACATGGTAACATCGTTGTTGCATTTAAAATGTTTGCACATGGCATATGATCGTACACACTTTGTGTATTCAAATACTTTAAAACACTTGATGATGCTGGAAAATGTACAACACAATTGAATTATTGCATAAAACAAAAGCAAAAAAATTTTGCTTCGAACGTGGATGATTCAATTGAAATAATTTGATGTGAAAACATACTTGTTGTGTTTGATGACGATGTGATCGTGGATTTGTTCAATGTACCATCCAAATGTGTTGTTGGCATTGTTGACATTTTTTCGTTATCGTCCAAACCTAAAATGTCTTTTATTCGAAATGCTTTTGTCTTCATTGATTTTGTTGTTTCCCAATCACTTGAGGCATCTTCTTGGCTATGATTTTGATCATAATTCACTTGTTTCAAATTGATTGGTTCATCGGCGCACATATTTTCGGTTTCAGTTTCGTATGTATCTTCATTATCACTAAAATTTGGACTTTCTAATCGTGTCCACTTTGACATTTTTCTCTCTTGATTTTCTTGTTATTTTTTCATGAATTTCAATGTTCAAAACACTTTATTTAACTGCTTTAAAATGTTAGTTTTTGCAAATTATTGCACAATTATAATTTCACATTCAATGACACTACACAAACTACAAGAGCAATTGGTTTACGAGTGTTTTCTCATCGATAATTCATTGTTAACTGATGTCTTAGTTTTGGACCGCATCGTTAAAACGTTTATACACCACAAAACATAGATAGGTAGACTGTCCAGTTATGTATTTAAAAGTATTTTAACTGGAAGTGTGTGTGTGTGTATGCAGGTAAATTGTTGGAGGATAGTGTTAAATTGATTATTTAAATTTAATTGTGTTAAAATCATAAGTAAATAGTTAATTTCACGTTACGCACTTTAGTGCACCTTTTGTAATTACACTATACGCAGGTATCACTTCACCAATTTTTTTTTGTGAAAAAAGGTTTAATGTGTTAATCGGTACTCCGATTCCAAGTATCATTTATTTACTCTGGTTTTTTTTGTTGGTTTTTAAATTTTCTTTCGCATCTTCGTTTCGACGAAACAATTCCAACGAAATTATCGTCCGCAATTATTGGCTATGTGTTTGGAATTGTCGACTTAAAGCTTATGACTTCGAATGCTCATCACAACAAATTCAAATAGAAAATAGTAGACGCCCATTTTTCGCACTTGTGCTCGCCGCCACAAATGAATTTCATACACGTTATATTTCTGGTTATCACTTTTATTCCTTCTTTTTTTCTATATTGAAAATAATACCTTTCAGTGTTAATTCACCGCAGCAATCATACACAAAGAGTCGATGATGCACAACAGTACACCAAATAGTGCTCTTCACAGCATCCTTCTCTCTCTCTCTCTCTCTCTCTCTCTCTCTCTGTCTCTCTTCCTATCAAACCAATCCATTTGGGTTTGCTCTCCACCCGAATGCGGAAGCAAATGGGACAGCGGCGTTGAGAGGTGAAATAAATATAAAAATTGAGTGATGAATGGTCGAAGTAGGTGTGGAAACGTTTTTAACAATCATGCTTTTGAGAAATGCACGCAATAAAAAAATAAAAACGTTTCGATCCAATGTATAAATGATGTTGTTGGCATACATCTATGAGTGGCGAAGCGTTAACGATATTTTAATCGGTTGGTACATATTACAACAGTTTAAGTGGTTGTGGTTTGAGCGAGATAGAGAGAGAGAGAGAGAGTGAGTGAATGTGATAAAAAATGATCTGATCATCACGCTATTTGCTACCACCTATTGTTATAAATATGTTTCAATCGTGTGAAAAATCATTTACAATACACAAACATCCCTTCGGTTGTACATTTGATGCGCATGATTAATACGAGAGCAATACCGGCACACGCAATCTTCTCGCTTGCTACTTACACCATACTTACATTTAAATACATTTTATCGCGTACCAAAAGAAGATTCGCTTAATTTTTTTCCCTGTTTTCCTGTATAGTCATCGTCATTTCGTTCTGCTAATTTTCGTGTGAACCAAAACGTGTACGCTTACAATATAATGCAATTCAATATAATTTAATTTGATTGTTCGCAGCTATATTTATTAATAGCCATTAACGTACATTCGTGTTAAGTGCTATCAAGCCTCTTTCTAGACCTATCTTTTTTTTAAAGTTGGCGGGGTGAATTATGAACGATGAGACATGCATTTAAACCATTTTTCTTATCATCGCACACTTTATGATGTTTTTCCTCTCAAATTTACAGGTAAAAAGCAATTGAAACATCTCTATAATTGCTGATTTATTTCGGAATACGTTACGGTAATCTTATTGAAATGAGATTTAAAATCAATTCTAATATGTAATAAATATTTGTAAAGCGGAGAATGGAAATTGCATCAAATAATTTAAATACGATGACATCATTTATTATACATTCAGGAAAAAAGCAGAGACTATTTCTCATAGCAATATATGAGATTTTCCTTACGTTCTGAGTGACAGTTTCTAAAAAAAAGTTGAAATGGAGTCCGAGTTAACAGAAAGGAATCCTTCTGATTTAATTTCCACATGAATTAACTTTAGGCTTTGGATGAATAAATTCAAAACTAAACGACATATCACATAGAATTTGGCAATTCGTATAAAATTTGATTCGTTCTTTGTATGTTCTGTTTGTGTGAATTTCGTTCGTTTACAAGAACCTAAGACAAATGATGAAGAGTCACACAAAAGAGAATACGCAAAAACATGAAACTATATGAATAATCAAATCAAATACACATTGGTAACTAGATCCGAATTCTATATGACATATCGGTTAATTTCGAATGTGTGTATGATTCAACTTTACTATAGTATATACTATAGTATGCCCGTTTATTAATAAAATCAATGGTTTATCCAAATTGTTAGCTAATGATGTCTCTGCACCATTGGAGAAATAGTGAAAGTTTGCTTTCGAGTATGTGAGAAAACAATATATACAATAAGTGGACTTTAGACGCTCTTTCCGATAAAATTTAATTATCAAGAAATCGTATTTTGCTCTGAAAACATCAACCGAAAGCAAATCTCAAGTCAAAATAATGATTATTTGTTTTGAAAATTGTCCATAAAGTATGAAACATTAAACTCTACAATGTATCATACTTGCTTTGTTTATTCATGTTATCTTTTACTGCTGCCAGCAATCTGCTGATCTCAGCATATGCTGGTGAAATTCCATATGTATTTGTAACTGGACTCACTTCAAATGAACGCTTTAGAATAAATAACGAACATTTTTTTCCACTTCCTACGATTCCTAATGTCGGTAGGACGTTTTTGGCGTATGACAGATTTTATAAGAATTTTTTTCACGCACGCAAATAGAGTTCGTAATTTATTCGAAGGCGTTCAAATGATCGGTTAAGTTTGTATTAGTTTGCTGATTCAAATGTCTACATATTCAACAGTATATGCAAGAGTATTGCCCAGAATATCGTCATTTTAAATTTAGTTCTCTAACGATACAATAAAATTTAAACGTCATTTGCTTTTGTTTTCTTCATGCAAAACGAATAATTGAGTTTGTAAAATCAACTAAAAAGTGAATTGAGGAATTGAGTAAATCATGGCATCGATGAATACGGGTGAAGCTAGAACAACATTAACAATTGATAAAGTTAGTGAATTAAAAAACTTAAATTCATCAATAATAACACTACAAAATTTGCAATGGCAAGTGATGGTATTTCGAAGTTTAAAAGAAAATACATTGGGAATACGTCTAAGCTGTTTAAACTCAGATACATCGGATTGGTCGTGTGCGGCAAGTGCCTTATTTGAATTGCGATCGTATAAATCGAGAAAATTATCGCTGAAAGACACAATTCTTCCGTGGATATTTTGTGCAAATGAAAAGAGCACCAGTCGTACCATAATCAAATGGAATGATATGCTCAACAACAGAGAGACACAATACGTACAAAATGATCAAATAATAATTGACGTTAAAATTATCGCCAAAAATTTGAAACAAAGTAACAAAACATATTTGGAAACTATCAACAATACCAATGCCACATTTAAATGTCGTTTATTTGTTCACGAAGCATCTACATTGATAGCTGCATCTTCAATGGAATTCAGTTTCAATTATTTAAGATGGAAGATTGTTGTCCATGGCTTGGGATGTCGACCAATAGCTGGAACTAAATTCCCATGTATGCTATGGTGTGTAAGTAAAAATGCGCCTCTAAAATGGACACGTCAAATTTTTGCAACCGTTTCGTTTCTCGATGAGAATGACATGAAGATTAGAGAGAGTTCGGAAAAGAAGATGGATTTTACTGAACAATTTACTCGAAAGTATTTTTCCGATTTTATTTTGTGGAGCGATGTGCTTAATCCGCAGAATAACATTATGCGCAATGGTTCAATTAAATTGGAAATTGAATTGAAAGCAACTGGAAATAATAATGGTACTCAAAGAAACAATCAACATTTGACATCCCGATCCCGTGCATCAACTTCATCAACTTCATCAGCATATCTACCGTGCGCCATTTGTTTTGATAGCATGTCTGGTCAAACTGCACGCAGTATTGTAAACACAGATTGTGGACATATGTTTTGTCGGCCATGCATTACAACGTGGATAGTTGAACGTCCAAATTGTCCAATGTGTGATCATGTCCTTACTGTCGCACAACTACATCCAATTTTCTTACCATAAAACTCACATAATTCATAAATGCTCATTTTTAATCAATATCATTTCAATAGCAATACTTACAATTTTTACAGTTGCTGAAATGTGATAACACAAAATTCAAATTTGCTCGAAATCGAATGAAATAAACAAAAAGGAATGCACACTGCACAGAATTACTGATGTCGACATATTCAGTTTTTTTATTTGAATTTATAAGGAAATGCAATAATTTTAAAAATATTTTGAAATGACATAGTAATTACAAGTATGGTTTTGATTTAATTTCAAAAAACTTTGGTTCAAGCATAATAAAGAAAGAAACTTTCCATTTAATAAAAATAAAAACAGACACTTTTGTCTTTATTGATTTATATAGATTAGTAAATTTGAATGATTGAAGTCTAACTAGTGTTTTAATTAGATTTTAAACCATTTTGCATACATGAAGACCTTTGACCGAAAAACACATTTGAATTTTGTTTACAAACATGAATGAACAAAAGAAAATTAAACAAAGCAAAAGATACAGTATGTTCAACAACAACAATAAAGCAAAAGAATTTCAAGTGTGTCTAATAATCAAACAAAATCCTTACAAATTTATGTAAAAGTGGACAATTTGACACCTTGTTCACAAAAATAAATATTTTATTCTCAATTAACTGATAGCTATTTTGTTTTGTTTTTATTTGGTGTGATGTGATGATACAAAAAGGTATGCGATGCGGAACGAATCATTGCTTCTGAGAAAGAGCACATTGACTAATATTTACTGAATGTGAAAAATTGTGTGGCTCCTAAGCATTTATAACAATAATACAGACGACACATTTTAAAGGCTAATTTCTGGTCAAATATTCCGGGCTCGTCCAACAAATAAAACGTAATAAATGCTATTAGCATTTGTTTCAATCAACAGCATCGTTCGTGTCGGTTAAAATGGGCAAATTATCATTTTTTCGCGTACAATTTATGCAGTCAATGTTTTTTCGTGTAAATTGTACTAAATCAGCGTGTATGAATGTTACATGCAAATGATAATTGAAAGTTAATCATGGATTTCAATGACGTGCGTTTCATAATTTTCACATGCTCCGCCCATTTATATACATAAAGATGGACCAACAGTGATGGTATAGTATCTATAACATGCATTTTCACAGTTAGCCCCCAACTACAGATTGTGTGTGTGTATTGGAAGATTCATTTATCCAAAAATCAAGTGTTTTATCATCCACTTAATTTACTATTTAAGCATTTTCATGGGATTTTACATCGATTTTCCGATAAAATGAGCCCATTTTATGTTACCATCACAGCAAACTAAGCGCATCGATGTGATATTCAGTATTAGATTTACGTTAATTTCTTTTGAGCATGAAAACGGTTTTTGGTTGAACCAAATGTGTGATTTTCGTACTGAATTAGGGCGTAATATGCAGCGAAGTATTTAAGAAATTTTCACACTTGAACACCGGTAAAATGGAATTTTTTAAGTGAGAACATACATTTTTTCCACTTGAATTACGATAAATACTTGACACATTGTCGAAATCATCAAAGCATTCAAACAATACAAGTTTCATTATGATTATTACATTGAAACGAAATAAAAAAAAGTATGAAAAACACAGCAAGTGGTTTCTTTTTCTCTTTTGAATGAGATGAAAATGTGTCTCGTGACGCGTATAGTGTGACATAGTTGATGAAAAAATGTGGATCATCTAATGAGATTACTGTGGCAAATCGTCTTTGCGAAAATCAGTCGTCCAACATTCACCAAAACATACAGAAGTGAATTTTAATTTTAGTGTGCAATGAGTTTCTATCAACGATTTTTTTTTCTCTTAATCATTTTTCTCTTTTCAAGTAAATCAATTGCAATAATAAATCGTGATGGCCTTATGGCCATTGATTTGGATGATATTTTAAATGATAAATTTATGCCCATGTCGATATTGTATGACAAGGGCACAATAAATGCAGATGGAATGTCCATCGTTAAAAGTGATCAAAAGCAAGTGTTTCCCATCAGTTCGAATGCGGACTTTGATAGTGCTATTCACTTGATGCAATTCCATCGGAAAATGATTCAAAATTATAAGTGCAATAATTACATAGCGAAACAGATTCTAGCCGATATTGCACCGCACACACTACACAATCGATTGGGCATCGCACACAATTCAAGTGGTAAAACCTTGACGTTTTTTTTATTACCAAAAATTGTATTCACATTTATTAAATTATTAGAAATAGTTCATCTGCCAAAACATCGGCCCATGTGGAATAATAACTTCGATGACAAACTATTCGATCAGGGTTCAAATGCATACAAGAATTGGCTGACCAAGTAAATAAAATTGTTCATTTGTATAGCGATTGAAAATGGTCATGGTTTTCTTGGGGGGGAATCCATTTTCAGATTGGCATTATTGGATGATGTTTATAAACAGATCAAAGCGGATAATTTGACGATGAAAAATTTAAACGAAACGCCACCATTTCGACGTATTGACGGGGCATCGGTGAGTGGCGATAACGAATACGAAGTAGGAGTGGCCAGTGGATATGCGATACAGCATCCAATTCCATCTGGTTTCGTTCCACCACAAAATCATGCAAATGATATCGATTACGAAAATTTTCACAGATATGCGGTGGCTGGTAATAAAGCTGGTTTGTATTTCAATGAGACTTTATCGGCGCACACACGCTTTTATAAAGTGTAAAATGAATTATGAACTGAGGTGTGAAAATCAATTGTGATTTTCATCGTTGTTTCCTTTTTGCAGTACTAAGTAACGTGTAAAAATTACTTGCCAAAAAATAAATAAATATTATTTCTTCACTTTTAGTTCCGTACATACAAAGTATAAACACATTATTTGAACAAAATCAAAATCCATCGCACTCGCTACATCAACCACCTGTATTTGTACCCGATGAAAACTCTGATCTTTGGCCAAATTCTTATCCAAATTTATATGCTATCTCTCATCCTTATCACAATCCACACGTTTTCTATAGTGAACCAAATGAATTGCCACCAATCAAAAATGTTACGCACAGTTGGTGGTCATTTCAGAATTTAAAAGAAAAATTTCAATCATTTTTTAAACACAAAAATAAACAAAATGATGATCCACACCATTCGGCCAATTTATTCAATAATAATCAACAACAATTTCAGGGTAAAATTAAATTAAGTAGAAAGAATTTTCTGTGACATTTAAAATCGATGAAGAAAGTGACACATTTTACAGGTTATGATGTTGGAGGTGACGACTATGGAGTCAGCTATGACAGCAGCGGTGGATCAAGCAAAGAAATGACACTGAAAAAAGTCTATGAATTAGCATTGACGGCTATTGCATATCTTGCATTTGGAATTTTTGTATTGCAAGTGATAATGTGCATTACAACCGTACGTCTCTATCGATTGGCATGCCATTTAATTGAAATCGAATTTAAGTGCATCTAATGATTTATTTAGGTAAAAGCACAGACAGGTAGTACAATGGTGATGGCAGAGGTTCCAACTGAAACCGTTGAAATGACTGAAGTCAGAGACGAGATAATAAGACGAAAAAAAAGATCAAATATTGAAACATCTTTTTCCGACGCAAGTTTTTCCAACGAAATGAAAGGTAATCGAATATGTAAAGAAAATTATAAAATGCATCGCACATTTTAGGTCAATGAAATGTCACGCAAAGTCTTACAGTCAATTGAAGCAGCTATGGTGGCACCTGAAGACAATGGAAATTGTCTGAAACAGATTCTTTGTCAAAATAATCAATTTAAAAGCATTTCAATTAACCAAATATGGCTACCGGTTTGGGGGTAATTTGATAGCAATTTTTTATTTAATGATATATTTTTGATATCGACCGATTTAGTTGATCTGTTCTTTCTGATTTTGTAGCCTTGGAATGAGCTGGTTATCTTCACGTATTACAACCGGACAAATTAATTCGCCAATCATGTTCGAGTGTCTGAAAGCACTTATTATTGGTCTTGGCGATGGAGTGTGTGAAGAAAATTTTCAATGTGATTCAAATATTATTGCTAACAATAGAAAATTAACAAGACAAATGCGTTCAACAAAATAAAAATTAATTCGTTATTTTCAAATAACGTTAATACGAAGACGAGAATTCAATCATTCTTATTTTAATGCATTCCAAACTGTAAGATAGATAACAAATATATTAAATATTTTACTGAAAAAAAGCGAAATAAACAATATGCATGAAGCGCTGATTTTTTTTAATCTCTTATGGACTATTCCTGACGTCAGTTTCCTGAGCTGAATCAGATGCCTGAAAATATCTCAATATAAACAAATAGGGGTAGAAAGAATCCGTTTCTTTTGCTCGGAAATGTCGTCGAAAGATCATTAGACTTTTCCTGGAAAGATATTCTTATAAAATAGAAGCAGGTCAGGACCGGACAATGGTAGTGCACCCTTTCAAATTATACATCATGTTTCAAATTTTACGTTGCTCCGGACAATTTATAACAGACCTGGATCTCGATACTTGGAACGGAACACTACTAACATCGGTCGTATTAAAAAATATGTCAACAAATTTTGCTGCGTAGCTTTCACTCCAGTTTTCAAAATATGAAAAACCGAACACTTTTGGTTTTGCGACTCTTATAGAAACTCAATGCAAGAAATTCATTCGACAAAACCAAAAGAGTTCACAATAATTTTTTCAGTGCAAAAACTATAGATAGAAAAACTAGAATTAGTTGATCAATTGCTTATTGATTCGGAACATGCAAAATAGATACAGAAAGCATTGCCGCTTTTAAATTAAATAGGTATTTTAAATCACAATGATGACATTTCGAAAATAAATGTGTACTTATCACATTTTAAATTATTGAGAAATTTTTATTTTGAAAAAAAAAAAAAGGATGATGATTCTGAAGATGCAATAAGAAAATGTTGAATGGCATGTTGCAAACAAATTAAGGGAGATAATCTATTAATAAGAAAGGAAAGAATGAGACACATGTATTACAAAAATGGTACTAAGTCATCTTTTAACAATAAATATTCATTTTCTCTTAGATGCCACCAAAAAAAATCAACAAAAATCACAAGATTTTCTTAGCTTTCTAAGCATGAATCGTTGCGGCGAAAAACTAGCTCATATTTTTCTCTAAATATTCCCGTAATTGTTTATTAGTTGTATTACAGTATTATTTTGAGAAAAATAAGAGCTATTTGTTCGCCACAATGATTCAATTCTGGACACCGTTTCCCAACTTTCAACATAAAAAGATGAAAAAACACACACAAATTATAATAGTCAACAATAATCATAATTTTAATGAATGATAACAATATTTTAAAATGAAGTCATTGAATGCATAAAAAAATGCATTCTTTTACCATGTATTTTCTTTCTTAGTTTATGTGAATTTATTTAAATTTTTTTGGCGCTGGTAGTTTTTTCATCCAAACATTTTTAAAATTTCCTTTTATTCTACAAATCATTGACAATTTTCATTTCGAATAATCGATGGGTATTATTCTTTGATATAATTTGTTAAATCAAATCTTATTGTTGTTATCTTCTCATTGCCGGTCGCTTTTTTTGACAGATTTCAGTTCAATTAGTGATTGCACGAGTGCCAACATAAAATGCGAAAATCTTAAACGAAGGCATCGACTATTGAAACATGCTTATAAACACACAAACATAAAATCAGCGAATTGAAAATCTTGTATTGTGTAAATTAAAAAATAACGAACAAGCGAGCGAGCGAGCGAATGAACCAACAAAAAATACAGTCATATAGTGTATGAGTGATGCTCACAGAGTGTTTGTGCGTGTGTATGTATGCATTACTAAATGTCAAACGTTCATAGCACACTTTGAAACGAAATCGCCATTGAAGTTGTACAACATAGAAGTCGCCGTCTCGCCGCTTTGAGAAGGTAGACGTATTTCAATCAAATCGCCTCCATCTTGATTCTCTACTAACCTGGCTTCTTCCGTGGAAAATAAAAGTTAGAATTTTTATTTTTTATTTTTCGGAATACATTGGTGTGAAAAGGACTCAAATTCATCGTCAAAATTGTGTGTAACCAGTTATTTAGTGCCGGAAAGGTATTTATTAAATCGGTGTACACTCAAACGTATGTCTATCGCCGATACGCTTGTAATATAAAAGGAAAAATGACATTACCAAGTAGTGCACGAGTCTAGTAAGTACCAAAAAGAAATTTTTTTTGTTACATTACCTTCCGTTTAAATGCCAATTTAATCGCGATTGAATTCATAAAACCGCATTTCATACGACCAATTCGGTTTTAGCTCTGAAGTGCATCGATTTCATTCAATCAATTTCAATGTGATTTGTCGTTTTTTTATCCAATTAAATTTCAAAGGGACAAAGTAATATAGACAAAAAGATTACGTATACACACATTGTATACGAATGAGTTTGTCTGCATTTAGATGTCTGTGTGTAAAAACGCTAGATAATGGATTAACAGAAATGTACGAACCGACCGAATAAAAAAAATCTTTATTTCAACGAATTTCGCCATTCCGTGCTCAAATCGATGAATGTTGAATGCAAAACAAAATGCAAGATACTTTTGAGCCAAGCTTTCGGCTTTGCCAATTTGCGAGTAAGCGGTTTAGTTGTATGCACATACACGTTTTGCATTTCTGAACCAAAAACCATTCGGCGAATGGAATGGAATTCATTCTCATAGTAATTGATTTTGACACAGAGACTCAGGGTGTGTGTATTTCAACTGAATAATGAAAAAAAGCCGTAGTTTGTGGTGATCAATAAAAGTAAAGTTTGTTTTTTTTTTTCTTTCATAATGTCGAACTGTGGTTCATTGTATGTGATTCGAAAGTCATTGTCAAAAGTGTCCGTAACGATAAAGATTTTTTTACGGTTGTATTTTCGTGTTGATCCATATGCATGTGCAAACTGAGAAAAAACAACAAAAACCATTTCAAGACGAACAAATGAAATTAACCTGACAAAATGAAATTGAACTGTATGTCATAATGAGAAAATTGTAAAACAGACTAAAGCCGAAATCGTAAAAAACGAAATTTAAAATATAAAGATTATTGACATCGAATCATCATTGAAATATTTGCCATCCATATTTTTTCCTTCATCATTTTTTCTCTTCTTTTTATTTTGTCTGTTCTAGTGCCGATGTGAATGCACACAAACCACGTGAATATTGGGACTATGAAAGCTACGTCGTCGATTGGGCCAATCAAGATGACTATCAGCTAGTCAGAAAGCTGGGACGAGGAAAGTACAGTGAGGTGTTCGAGGCGATCAATGTGACCAACAGTGAAAAATGTGTGGTTAAGATTCTGAAGCCAGTCAAAAAGAAAAAAATCAAACGGGAAATAAAGATTTTGGAGAATCTACGCTTCGGCACGAATATTATATCGTTGTTGGCTGTGGTAAAAGATCCTGTATCACGTACACCGGCTCTTATCTTTGAGCATGTTAACAACACCGATTTCAAACAATTGTATCAAACACTAACTGATTATGATATTCGATTCTATTTGTATGAGCTATTGAAAGCGCTCGACTATTGTCACAGTTTGGGCATTATGCATCGTGACGTGAAGCCACACAACGTCATGATTGACCATGAAAATCGAAAGTTGCGTCTCATCGATTGGGGTTTGGCTGAATTCTATCATCCTGGTCAAGAGTACAATGTGCGCGTTGCCAGTCGATATTTCAAAGGTCCCGAACTATTAGTTGATTATCAAATGTATGATTATTCATTGGACATGTGGTCGCTGGGATGTATGCTAGCATCAATGATCTTTCGCAAAGAGCCATTTTTCCACGGACATGACAACTACGATCAATTGGTGCGAATCGCAAAGGTATTAGGCACTGAAGAGCTTTATGCATACCTGGATAAGTATAATATAGACCTGGATCCACGTTTCAACGATATTTTGTCACGACATTCACGTAAGCGATGGGAGCGATTCGTTCACTCGGACAACCAGCACTTGGTGTCACCCGAAGCGCTAGATTTTCTTGATAAACTGTTACGTTATGATCATTACGAACGCTTAACAGCACGTGAAGCCATGGAACATCCATACTTTACGCCAGTCGTAAACGGTGCAATCGCCTCATCAAATTCAACAGCAAAAGCACCAGATCAATAATAATATTAAAAATTTTCAATATTTTTATTAATGATAAAAAAAAAACAAGAGGAAAAAACAAAACAAAAACAAAGTTAAATAAAAACTAATAAAGGGAAATTGATGAAATTTTAAGAAAAGTACATAGAAAGAGAGAGAAAGAGTCGTCGGGTGATTAAGAAATGGCAAAAAAACATAGAAATTGAATTAAATAATAAAAAAAATTAAGATAGCAACTATCATCAAAATCGAACTATTCAGTAAGATGAGAGAAAAATGAAAGACCAGAATTTTGCTCCCGACCGAAAAATAATATGCAGCGCAATTTTTCATCTATTGAAAATAAGTAATTATTAGTATGCTTATAATATTTTGTTTCTTTAAAAGTAAATAAAAAGGAAAAGATTTGCAACATTCATTTTTCGGGAGCTCAGTTCTTGTCTCGACATTTTTTTCAACTCGGAATATTCCTCGTACATACCACAAAAAAAAGAAACAAACAAACACGTAAACAATAATAATCGAATCGCATTCAAGAAACTAGACCATCCATACACTTTATACGCATTTACCGAAACATTTGCAATGCCAAGCAAAACATATTCGATTTTTATCATTTTAACGAGAGAAAAAAAATCGTTCATCAGTCGACTAACCTTCGAAGTGGAATCACAAATTGTTTATCCGTAAACGAGAAAAAAAAAACATAAATCGACATATAGAAATCTTTTTCAACATTAACAACAACAGCAGCAACAAAAAATCACATGAATTTCTTATATAGCTTTCCAATTACTGGGCACCGATTCCAAATATTCAAAATGAAAAGATGAGAAAAAAACACACACACAAATGATAAGAATGAACAATAACTATTAATGATAATTATAAAATGAAAAATGATATAACTATAAATTGATTTGAGATGAGAGAAAAAAAACATCAAATGATTACGCGATCTAACATATGCTAAAAAATATAGCAAAACCGCATCAATAACAACAACAATAAAATTCAAAAATAAAGTCATTGAATTACAAAAAATACATTCTTTTACCATTTTCTGTTTCTTTGTTCGTTTACGTGAATTTATTTTCGTTTTTTTTTTTTGCGCTAGCAGTTATTTCATCAAAACATTACAAAAATTCTTTTTATTTTGGTTCATAGAAAAGAAATATAAATGAAAATAAAATAAAAGCTGTCATACTTATCAATCGTCTACAAACAATGTCGAATATATATTCCAAATGAATAGAAAAACAAACCACGCAGATGAAAAATTAAAAAAAAAATTAGTTAAAATGAATCAAAAAGAAAAACAATGTTCGCGCGCACTCATTTCAGCTCCCGAATATATGTTTAATATATATATTTTTTTCCTTTCAAATGACAGACACATTAAGTCATAATTTTTGATTTTCTATCTAGAGAAAAATCGATGTAACAAAACAAGGTCATGTAAGCATTTAAATTATGCCGAATTTATTGATTTTACCAAAATAATTTTTTTCTACTCCTCCCGCATTTATTTGCTACAAAATATGACAACATTGTTATTATAGTAAATCAATTTTTTTTTGTCTTTGTTTTATTTAGTGATATAAGCAGAATGGCGACTATTTTCTTTTTATTATTGAAAAAAAATAAAGCAAATCGAATGTTTGTTAAAAAAAAATATTGTCAAAATAATAATGAACTGGAAATGGAAATTACAAAAGAAACCATGTACATAAACAAACAAATGGAAGGTAATGAAATGAGAAAAACAAATGTCGTATATTGTATACTTGTATAACTGTTCATCAAGTTCGATCCATACGGGAAGAGTCCCGCATATATAAATTATTTAGATTGGTTTAAATTCTCTTCTATAAAAACAAAATATTGCTGAAAATGAAAAAAAAAAATTAAATGCGCAGTATTCATGGTAACCATAGATTTTTTTTTTCACTTTTTTTCTTTGTAAAATTGAAAACTGTAGGCAACATACCAGAAGGAAAATCGTGAAGTGGAATGAACTTTGATTTAGGTCATAAAATATATCGTAACCTATTAGGCACACACATACACACACATCAAAATTATGTGAAAAATAAAAATATTTTTTCAAAGGCAGAACAATTATTATGCATTTTCAAGCCGATGATGAAGAAGAGAACATACAAAAAACACACACACACACACTCACTCGATATTGTAATTTCAAATTAAAATCATTAAAATTCATATATTATTAATTTCATCATTTGTTTTATTTCATTTTATTTTTTAAATTCGTTCATCTAAACAAAACATCTAACAGTCAAATAGCCTGTATAATTTTGACAAACATGTTGAAAATAACAAATGGGCCCAAAACAATTCCAACAACAAACACAATATACTCTTTATGAAAATCATTTATTTAGACAAAGATTTAAAAAAAAATGAAGCAAAATAAAATTCTGCACGAAAAAAATAACCCTTTTGTTTTTTTATTTTATTTTAATGACAAAATTGATAAAGTCAACCAAAAAATCATTTGATATAAAATCACAGCCATTTTTCATTCATCCAATTTTCATAAGTGTTTTTTTTTTTGGTTATTTAGTCAACATATAATCCATTTGAAATGAAATGAAATGAATGACATTACATTTTCTTAAAATGGTTTATTTTTTCAATATTTATTTAAATTTCAATGTAATTATGATTATTACAATTCATTAAAAAAACAATCAAATTATTTGAAAGCCAGCATATTTTTGTTTTTGTTTGACGCAAAATGTATTTGATCCTTTTATGACTCTCCAAATTGATATAAATACTTTTAATTCGGGCATGCTATACATATATAATATCTCTTAATTCATACAAACATTTTTGCATTCATTACAGATTGGATAAACTACCAATGAATGGAATGATTCACAAAATTTCTCATATATACATATATATAATAATATATCGAAATGTTATATTGGTTATATTTAGAGGTAAATCTTTTTTTTTTTTTCAAAAATATTTCATATTTCAATAAATTTTCAGTTAATTCATGAATACCACGTTTGGCATTGATAATGTTATTTAATTTAAATTTCTTTTTATCATAATTTAATAAAATCAATTGATAAAATAAAAAGCAAAAAAATGTCTATTTGCAACGGCCCGTGCATTTGACAAGACTCGATTTCAAAGCGTCATTTGTAGCTTACTTCATGCGATAAATTTGATGTTTAGAATGTGTCAACTATCCGTATGATCTAGCCTTCAAATCCACAGTATAACCAAAAATTGGAGTACAAAATTAGTATGAAGATATTTAAAGCAAAATAATGCAAAAACTGTTTGGTATCGGCGGTGCTTTAGCACATTTAAGACCATCCGTGACATCATCACTGCACCAATGTGTAAGAGGTAATTTTATAGCTGTTGCAATTCAATTATGCAAAAGAAATACAAGAAAAAATATATCATTTTCCACCTAATTTCAGGTAAACAAACAATAACAACAAACCAAGTGATAGTGGATAAATTCAAAGCCGTCACAATTTTATCGATAAATCGACCGGACAAACAGAATGCATTGAATGAGTCGATATTGCATGAGCTTGCAGCACATTTGACACACTTTGAAGAGGATGATAGCGCGTCGGTGGCCATTATAAATGGTATCGGTGGTAATTTTTCCATTGGCTATGACATCGATGAATTGAAGCAGAAAAGTGAACATGACATAAATTCAGTTCAAAGTAGTCTTGTTGTATGCAGTTTTTATTTGCGACAATATCATCGTTTGAAATATTAATTGTCATAAATTCATTTTTCGAATAGTTTCCATTTCGACGTAAAACGGCAAAACCGTTGCTGTGCAGCATTAGTGGATCGTGTAAGTCAATTGGATTTGAAATTGCATTGATGTGTGACGTTCGATATGCAGAGGAAAAGGCGTTTTTTTGTTTTAATAATCGACATCAAGGCATACCATTGTTGAATGATGGACCAAAACAATTGGCCAAATTGATCGGCTTATCAAAAACGATGGAATTTTTACTCATGGATCGCCAGGTTAATGCTGAAGAAGCTCTTGAACTTGGAATCGTTCGCGAGGTCGTTGCAGATGGAACTAGTATTGACCGTTGTCTGGTATAAGAGAAGAAGAAATTATATGCATATTCAATTTTTTGCTTTCAGGTCTTGGCTCTATTATGAAGACTGCTGTATATTTATCATCGATGCCAGAATCGGCGCTTCAACATGATTTAAGCTTATTGAATGGATCGCATTTCGACAAAAAACAATGGTCATCGATATTAAACGATATTAAATCAAATGTTAGCCTTAGCGAAGAATCACTGAAATCGGCTCGAGTTTCAAAACTAAACAAAATGTCCCAATGGGAATTAGAAGAAATAGAACATGAAAAGAATTATGAAGAAAGACAAAAAACAAACACACATGAGTAGAATAAATAATTGTTTTTAAATATCTTCATACTCTCAAACGATTTTTTTAAAGTTTTATTTATCAATTGTAAAAAATTGTAAGCGCCATTTACGATTCGCTACTATCAAAACCAGGCGCGTCCACAGGATTTGGTCTAGGGGATCTGCAAAGCAAATGAGAAACGGAGGCAATTTTCTGTTTTGTGTTTCATGGACAAACTTTGTAAAGGCTCAACTGTCAGATGTGTTGTTTAAATCGGGAATATAATTTCAATCAATTTAGATAATTTTCGACTTTGAATACATATCACTATGTCTTTTTATATTGTTACATACATAAATTTTATGGCAAAAAAAGAACATAAACCAACTTAACTTTAAAATTGAGGGGTGAAACGTCACTGTTTGATAAGGCATTTAGAATGGAGTATCCTGAAAAATAAGCAAATGAAACAGTTTCAAGTTCTTCATTTGGTTTTCTTTGAAATTTTACTATTTATTTTTCAATCAAGCAAGCATGGAAAATTCTAAATTACATTTGCAAAATTTGCCATAAAAAACCCTGCATTAAATTGTCTTTATGCACCTTAATTCTACATTTAAATCCATTTTCTATTGACTACAGTCAAATTAGGAAAACTTTCATTAAAATAAATAACTAAAATCTTGAGAATGTAAAAACGCATTAGTTGCCATCTCAGTCATTTGATCCACAAAATGTTTTGTTTGAATTTACTTTGTTTCTTTTGTTTTGTGTGTTTTTTTTTTTTTAATTAAGCAAATTAACTAGCCAAAAAATATCGAGTTGTTGAAATGGTAATAATCAAAGTATGCTTTTTAAGCATTTAGTCTTTTTTGTTTATGATCACGGCTTCTTCACGTTCTTTTGGTGATTGATCTTTGTCTCCCCAGCCCCATGTGTGATGTGTACCATCGCCAGTTCGTTCGACACGTTTTTTAACCGTTTGTGGATCAACTGTTTTCAAGTCATAGGCCCAGCCAATTTTCGACATCGCATCAATGAACATTGTAGTGAAATTTGAACGATAGTTTCCGAGTTCAGCGGTTTTGTAGTCCCATGGGAATACATGATGATAGTTGTGCCATCCTGAAAGAAAACGAAAGGAAGACGAATAAAATATAGGAAACAAACAGTGCAGTACAAGAGAACGACGCAAAAAAAAAACCGAAACATACCTTCCCCAAATGCAAACAAAGCAACTGATTTGTTTTCTGTTGGATTAATGTATCTGCAAATACGAATAAAAATGAATAATTCATATTGGTTATAGATGAATTGACATTTTAATACTAACTTGTCATATGGATGGTCACCGTAAATGTGAGCGGCGCTGTTTACAAGCCAGGTCACATTCAACACAAAAGTCCATCGGAACATTGCGGCTACGAACCAAGCATTTTTCAATGTCTCACCCCAGAAATACCATGGGATCAATGTTGGCAAGATGAAACAAGCAATTGGCATTAAAATCAAGTAGTATCTTGAGGTGGAAATAGAAAAAAACCGAAATTAAGATTAATTTATAGTCATGTTTCCAAGTAATTAGATATTTGTCTTTGTGATAAAACATGCGTTGAAACAACAATGTCATGCGTACTAAGCGGTTTTTGACAATATTTCAAATTCGTATGCTTATCTATTTGATATTGTTGAAATTGTTACTCACTTTTTTTGGAAATGCAATACTGGGTCAGCTTCAAGGTCGGAAATGTCCAAACCTTTGCCTTTTGCCTTGACTTCTGGATGTTTTTTGCACAGCAACCATCCAACGTGAGCGAAAAAGAAACCACTGAAATATGAAAGTGTACATGTAAATTATTACAAATGGTCGTTTGCACACACACACACACACACAGAGAGAGAGAGAGAGAGAGAGAGAGAGACAAAAAATGAAGTAAATCACATGCAAATGTGTGAAATAAAATAAAACGAATAAATCACATACCGTGTTGCATTATGTGGATCAGCATCGGTTTCAGAGTATTTGTGATGAACACGATGATCACGAGCCCAGTGGATGGCACAATCTTGAAACGCCATTGTATTGAATATTGTTAAAAGAATTCTTAATGGAAGTTTTGCTTTGTAGGAACGATGTGCCCATAGACGATGTGCGCCTCCTGTGATGCCAAGACCGGAGGTCAAATATAATACGAGAGCTAGAAATAATGAAAATCAAAAAAAAAAAATATTTTTTGTTTGACATTGTTTAAAATAATATTTGTTCAATCATTAAGTCGTGTCATTTTTACCGAAGACTGCTGTATAAACTCTGGCTGATGTTAGCATAAGGTATGCCCCATAAACGGCTGCAAGATGAACATATCCAAAGATCATGATGTTTCTCCAAACTAATTTCAATTTGCGAGGATTTGCATGTTTTAATTCAACGATATTTTTATCTAATCCACCGTCAACTGTTTCAGCATCGCATTCATCTAAAACGCCGGTACATTCAACAACCGATGTTGCGTTTGGCGGCATTTTTTATCAATTTCTGAAAATAGATTAAAAATCATCACATAAATAACATATATTCAATGTCAAATGAAATCGAAAAAAAAATACAATCAAATTCGAACAATCTTTTCTTCTATTTATTTGAATGCAATTGATTATTTTGTTGAATAGAAACAGGCACTTGCGGATTTGCGCAAAATAATCTCAATAGAAGTTATCGACGAATAAAGTCAATTAGAGAAATGAAAATGATTACATGCTGCTCTTTTTTTTCTTGTTGCTGCTCAAATAAATAATCGAACCGGCAAATGTGTGAACACGAATAATTTATATTTCATTGAGATGAATAGCTAATACTTGAAGGTACTTCAATGTCACGACTCAATGGTATGATACGAATAGGTCAGGTAGATCTTACATAATAATTCACTTGTTTTCCAAATAATCTGCGTCAAAAGACAATCTATTTTTTATGAGTTTTTTTTTTCAGCTGATTGTCGACACATTGTTAGCAAACTTTTGTAGTATCTTAATGCTGTTTTTGTCATTTTACTATTTTCAGTCGTTGTTTTTTTATTTCGTCTTATTTTTCTCATTCAAATCTACAGTTCAATAACTTAATCACATTTAAATTTTGTAAAATCACCACCGCTTTATTGAGTGATTATGATTATCGAAACGACAACAAGATATTTAAAATTAAGAAAAAAACAATAAACAAACAAAACAAAAAAAAATCGTCACGCAATTGTTAACTCAATCAACCATTATTGTGCACATATGTTGTTCAAACGACGTTTTTGAGCAATTTGTTCCGACAAATATTCAAATCTGATAAGAAATTTTCAAATTAGTTTCTGTTTGAATAGCGGATAATGATTAAAATTGATACTAACAATTGTTCAATGAAGAAAATACAAAGAACGAATCAAATCAATGAATTATTTTGTTGCAATCAAAATTGCAATCAGCGATGACGAAAAAGAAAACCACAAATGAATTATCGCCACGAACAGTGAGATGTCAAAGTGGCGGTTGAAAGCAACAAAAAAATATATATATATATTATTTTTATCTCCAATAGAAATGCTCGTACTTCCTTAGTGCGCAGAGAAAGAGAATGAACGAAAAAGAGAACGGTTTTGTGTAACAGTGAACAAGTGCTGTAGCGCAACACGTTTGAATTTCTTCTAAGCTGTTGTTGCGAGTTGAGTGGCAAAATCGTAGCAAAAGATCATACGATGTTATGATCTGATGTGAATCACCGTACGTTTACTTCGGTTTAGACGCTTGTCAGTGCTATACTCGTGTGAAATTCGTGCACCCATGCATACTACGTGTTACGTTTTTCGCATTTTAATATTTTATATATTGTGAGTATTCTATATAGCAACGCGTTTGAATGCCGAAAGCATAACAACGAACACAAAAATTGTGTGTCTAATACATGAATAGTAGTGATAGAGGACAAAACACAACAGCCAACATCGACCCATTGAATTCGCAAGCAATACGCATTTGAATCAGCTGGAACAACATAGCACAGAGTAGCGCGGCACGCGTTCGAGAGTCCGAATGCGATAGGCGATATAGGTGCTATCGCATTCTAAAATCACGTGTTTTTCAGCGTTTAGTCGCACAGTGAATGTCACCATGAGGAGAGAGTGTATATATGTAATGAAAAGATGATAATATTATGCCATAACCGGTATTATAAGTGCACTGACTGAAATCGATCACAGATGATATTTCAAATCTCGTCATCTGATTGAACTCCAAGACAAAAGTTAATCTCTTATCACAACGTGCGATTTTAAATTTTTATATATATATATATATACATAAACATTTGATTATACATCATTCAGACGTGTTAACTTAACTGCGATTTTGTGCTTTGCACGTATCAAACAAATGAAAAAAGGGGAAAAAATTATCAAATTCTGACAAATGTGTGAACATAAACGAAAAATCTTTTTTGCGTCTCTTCTCTTTTTTCCTGTAAGCAGCTGTGAAGTACTGTGTGTGTTTTTTTATTAGTTCAGTTGCAAGCGTGATAGGAAATGGAAAATTTATGATTACAATTCGATGAATTGGCATTTATGGTGAAATCAATCATTCATAAATGTAGTCAATAAATAATAACAGTGAACTTCATTCAACGAAGATCCTTTGGATTCCAAACAATTATTGAAATAGCCATTTTTTTCTTTCGTCAATTCAAGTAAACAAATACTTGCACATGATTTTGTAATCAGAAACATCTTTTCATCATCTTCATAGAAGAATAGAATGTAATTGTGCAAAACAAAACGCCACGCACTACAAACAATGCTATCATTCTTACTTTTAATAATAGTTTTCACTTTTTATCTCGAGTTTATTCTCATTTTTTTTTTGCTTCAAACATTGTCGCCATATCGAACCGTATATAGTTCGCAAAATGTGTAGGTTTCAATTGCACACACGATGTAAAATCGGCATCATGTCTGTCTCAATCATGTGCATCGTGTAATATTCGATTTCATCACTTCGGTTGAATGTGTATCAATTTTGTAAGTGAGGTTGTTATGGAAAGCATTGATGCGAAAGTGCTTTCGATTTTCTGCACTTTGCAACGCGGAATCACACAAACAGCAAGAGATCTAGTTTATATTTTAATGTATTCGATAGAGATTGCATTGTATTGCAGTTATTTTATGCAGAGAGGCTTAAAAAAATGCGCGGGAATAATATCAAATTAATATGAATTACAATCGTTAAGCTCATTGAAAGAAATTGAATTTGAAACATTTGTATATGGATAGAAAAATTACGCATCAATTACATAAAATCGAAAACCACATTTTCAATGCTCTTACAATGATTTTTTTTTTTTGCTTTGAACCAACTTGCTGTTTTGCTTCTAATATATTTAAGCTGAATTTTTAGGAAAAACCTGAAAAACTGGACGATTTTCTAATTATCTCTAATAATAATTAATAATAGTCTTATTCTTTAATGTCACTGAAAGTAATGGTGCTACTTTGACCGTTAACAAATGTCAACTGTTTACTATTTTTTTTCAAGAGAATTTTCAATGTTCTTCTTACTCCAAAAAGGTCAACAAAGCTAATTACATTTTGAAATGGTTTTTCGGAGTTTCATTTGTTCGGACAGTGAGTTGTTTCAAAAAAAGGAAAGAAATTAGCATTTATTCATTTCGACTAAAATAATGTGAAATGTAAATCCGCACAGTCCGATTCAATTCAACTAATTCAATTTACTTCGATTTATTGCATTTTCTACTTACACAATATGATGTATCCAAAATAAAAAAAAAAATATTCCACTAGTAATGTGGTAGATTCTTTCACACAATATTGTTAAAAACGTCTTCTTTATTTTTCACTTTCAATTAGAATGTTTTCTTTAACGGAATGTTTTCTTTAATGTTTGGAAATAAAAACTGAAAGGGAGAGAATTAGACCCTCTCTCTGATGAAAACTTCTCAAACGATACTTCACTAGTAACTGACGAAGCTTAGACAGCATTTGGTTTTATATGGCGGTAAGAACACACGTACTTCATAATTTGACGAACAAAGGAAGAGGACAGCGAATACACATGCACCTACAAATATACGTACGTTTTAACACGAAGTTCAGATAAGGAAAGTTCATTTGAAATTTCCTTCAAATCATACGCAAATCAGTTACATGTGTCAATTTATTAGATTTGTATTTTTTTAATTTTTTTTCGGTTGTTTCTGTGTTTTTTTTTTTTTTTTAATTTTTCATGTGTATAAATTTTTATATAAAAAAATATATACCTATGGCGGATACTTTTGTAATTGCTTTTATTATACTTGATTTGTTGCTGTTGTTGTTTTGATTATCTGATGCTAATAATATTTTGTTTAAAAAATATATATAAAAACATTAAATCACTTTCCTATTGATAATGACATTTGAACGGGCATGTATAAGTCATTCAATTACAAATCGTACAAGTACTTTCTCTTCACCCTCAACACCTAATATTTCTAATATTCTGATTGTGAATGGGTTTTTTTTTACTCTTTCTGAAATGGCGCATCGTTCATATAATGTGCGTAAATTCGATGATCCTTTATATTTTCTAATTTCACGTATCTACGTGATTTTTAAAGTGCACAAATAAAACTCGTCGAAGAGGTTAACTTACGCTATAGAACTGCATGAGTAGTTTTCCGAATTATTTATTTTTTATTAATTATTTTCATTTTTTTTTTTGCATTTATTAATGAATATAATCGGAACAATCTGAATGAAAAATGTACAAAATTTAATTGATTTTTGTTAGAAAATTTCACTTTCATATTTTGTTTATTGTTTTATATTCGCTCCTTATCTTTGTATATATATGTATGATTCTAACCGTTTTTTGTGATGAACACGCTGACCGTTGATTGAGCCACGTGTGTATCGTACCATTAACACAAGTTCAACATTGAAATAATTCAATCAATTTATTTCATCATAAAATGCAGCTCGTTGAGTGGAGCAAACTAAAGCTTTGATAATAAAAAGTTTTTTTTAGTACTACATAAACTTTCAAAGCTTGCTTGTCTTCATTTGTTGTTTATTGCCTCTTTTTTCGTGTCATTCGAAAGCTTCGTTACAATCATATTTGATTGCAATATCGATTTCGATGAAAAATTAATTTTTCAAAAAAGACGAAAAGACGCAAAGATTAAGAGAAGGGGGAAATGTAAGAGAAATACACAATGATCGCATCAATGAGAGAAATTAATACACACGCACGCACCGATTTTGGTTGGTACTTTGATCGGTCAGAGATTTGGAAAGTTCGATATATGAATGGAAGAAAGGTGCAAAGTCAGACCGAAAAATGCCTTTTGAGCGGCAAGTGTTAATCGAACCGGTTTGGTTTTTTGGACAGTTATGTAAGTGCACAATATACGATTGTTGTATGAATCGATCACATTGAAGGATAGAAAGAGAGAAAAATTGTCAATCATACCAATGCGACTCATTTCGAACTTTCCATTTCGAAGACAAAAAATATATGAGCCAATAGCCCGAGCACCGAAAATAAACGACATTTAAGCGCGGAAAAAAAGAGAAAGCAAATTTTCATTTAAATTAAATACCATATATATATATATTGCTCATACATGATCTCCAAATACACCACATGAGATGCTATAGATTTTAATGATTCGTCACTAGACTGTAGCTAAAGGCATACTTTTACACTTACCCATTTATACTTGCCATCCATTGGCCATTGTTTATTCATTGTGCTACTGATCTTTCGATCTTCAGTCGATCCTAACAATAGAACTTCAAATAATGGGTAATACTAATGTATGCGACGAAATGAAGTGTTATTAATGAATAACGATGATTGTTATTAAGAAAAGAAATTACTTTCGAATTCATTTTCAGCAAACTAATTTCAAATTTTATTAAAATTTGTATTAATCGCCTCATGTTTGAATTTGCCATAACATTTTTCTTCTGTTACAAATTACATTTGAGGTTTTTCATTCTTATTAGGTATTTCTAGAAAAAAAATTAATAAACTTATGTATTTTGTGTGAATAAATTTGTTTTTTTTTTTCGTTGTCGAAATATTTGTTCCACAATTAATTGATTTATAATTACTTTTGTTTTTCTCCTTATAAGCGCATACACACACACATACAAATATATTACACTCGAATAAAAATTTTGTTTGCCAAAATGTTTAAAATGTGCTTCTTATTATTATTATTCTTTTTTTTTCTGTCGTGTTTGTCTGCTTCGACAAACGAATTCGTGTTTATATTATTAGTAGATAATATTTATATTTTGCTTGAACATTTTAAATTAACACCTCAATTCCGTGTTTCTACCAAAGAAAAAGGTCGTGCAAATATAAAAGAAACTATGTTATTCCATAAATACATCATTACATTCATTATTCTCTCTCACTCAATCACTCTTGTGCATGTGTGTGTGTATGTATGCATATTCTATACATTTAACATTTGTATCTCTTCTTTTATTTTCATTTTTGTTTGTATATGCTATGTGTCATCATCACAAACAAATTTTGTTTCAGAAAAATTTGCCATCATTTAAATTTCCGAAGTTTCATAAAATGGAAACGCACAAGGCGCAGGAAAAAACATTGAGTTTGCAAATAGTATATAATATGTCTATAAAAATATTTATTACGATGTGTAAATATATGCATATTGCGTATGTTGTCAGCATACTTATGATGATTTTAAGTGAGCATTTGATTCCATCTCCTCAGGTGGTGGGACCTCGCTCATGTGGTGGCCAAACTCTGGATGAGTTCCGTCGCCTACATTTTTCGGAATTTTAAACATTTTTTTTTTTTAGATTATTTGATCATTTTCCTCTGGTGTCTCTATGATTCAAATAAAACGAATTGTTTGTGATATAAAAAATGATTGAAATCTTACCGCATTTTTCGATGGTTTTTCGCACCAATTCAGCTGAGGGTTCCTTGAGATCATATGCCCAGCCCATTCTAGCAAACAATTGAATCCAAAAGGTGGTGACGTTAAAACGATGTGCCAATTCAGCCGCCTTGTAATCCCTGATATAAAATGTTCAAAGATTATTTAGAATTTTACATGAAAACTCTTTTCTGATGGTGGTGTGCATTTTTATCACAAAATTGAACATACCATGGAAAGACGTGATGGTAGTTGTGCCATCCCTCACCTAACGTTCAAAAAACCAACAAAAAAAAAACAAATGTGTTTAAAATTGCAAAGATAAATAAAAGAAAGGGGTGCCTTACCCATTGCAGCAATTGATACGGCAATATTTTCAACTGGATTGATTTTTTTGTCGTATGGTCGAGTACCCCACCTGTGTATCACATATTATCATCGATTAATATTGATTTATTTTATTTCTTATTTTCAAATGTGAGATTTTCAATCAAATCATGCGTGCGTCATTGGATGACATTATGATGTGTCTAACTATATTTGAAGGAGATATTTTGAAAGTAAATTGACTTACATATGAGCCGCACTGTTCACAAGCCATGTAAAGTTCAATGAAAGGGTATAACGAATTACAATTTGTGAAAAGAAGGACCAGTAAAAGCCCTCTCCCCACCAATACATTGGAATCACAACGGGCAAAATGAAGCAAAGCAGCAATTTCATCGGAATAAACCATCTAATTTGACATTGAATCAAAGATAAATAACAAACAAAGAACGAAATTGAAACAAAGACGACAAAGACCATTTCAAGCGATTTCAAGTTAAAATTAGCATTGAATTTTTAAAGATTCATCAAAATTGGCGATAATCAATTAAATCAAAATGGTTATTTATGTCGAAACATTACTTTTGGTGGAATCGTACAACTGGATCTTCCATAATATCGGTCAAATCTAGCATTTTGCCTTTGCGAACGACTTCGGGATGTTTGTGCATCATAAGCCAGCCAACATGTGCGAAAAAGAAACCACGATTTGAATTGTGCGGATCGGCATCCGTCTCCGAGAATTTATGGTGCACACGATGATCACGGACCCATTCATAAATTGAATTTTGACCGGATATAGTAAAGCAAATCATTAAAATGATACGCAATGGTGTGTTCGCTTTATACGAACGATGTGTCCAAAATCTATGCGCACCGCCAGTTACGCCAAAGCCACTTAATCCACCTATGAAAAAACCTGCAAGTGTGTGGACCAACCACGAAAACAAAAAGAAAAATATTCAATGAGAAAAGAGAATTCGATTAACAAATTGGAGCTGAGATGTGCTAAATATGAATTTGAACACAACAACAACAACAAAAATATCAAACCATAAACAACTTTTTCAAATCATTGCTATTTTGATGTTATTCTATTTTGTTTTTGTCTTTTTTTTTTCTTCTTCGTTTTATTTCATCAAGTTGACCGTAAAAAAGTGTAATATTGTTCATATCGCGGCCAAGTTCACACAATATTATGGCATATAAGAATTGACCAAGTGTCGCGAAGCGACATAAAACTAAATAAAAAGTGTGCATAACAACAAAATGCGAGAAAACTGTAATAATAAATTTATTTCCATGTACGAGAATGTACAAAAAAATCGCACCCAAAGACTTACATTTGTTGAATTGTTATGCAATAATGCGCTGAATGAACAATATCAACTGAAAACCAAACAAAAATTTCGCGCGCCAAATTCCATTTTATATAAAATATGTCCTGGGTTGAAGATAAACACAAAAATGAGTGAAAAAAATGTCAACACAGCAAATAATAAAATGAGCCAACCAATGTCGCCAATCAAAAGCCATTATTTGACCGTATCGTTTGCAGAAAAAGAGCGAGAGAAAAAAAAAAGATATACATCATGAAATATAATTTATTTTAAGTGGGCCTAAATTATGGTCAACTACGAAATCAGTATGGTAACCTTGATTAAAAAGGCAAAAGCAAGAACTAGGTTTGATACCCATCATCATTTTTGGGTGCCCATTTCATATGTGTCTCCCTGTTATTGTGCGATTTTATTCACAAAATATTTATGTGTGCATTACGCATCGGTCTAAAAAAACCAAATTTTAAATACATTATGCTGTCGCACAATGGATCGTCATTATTTCTGTATTTATTATTCAGCTAATTTGGTGAGTTACACTATCTTTGCTTTTTTATGACATTTCATACATCATAATCGATTTCATGACATGTTCATTTATGAACATAAGCTGCGAACAAAAATATACAAACACACCTAGTTATAACTATAGTTATAAGACGTAATTGATCAAACAAATTGAAACCACCTCAGTGTCCATAACAACGTGCTTATAACAAAAAACAAATCTTTTAATTTTACCGAATTGATTAAGACGAAATCATGCCGTTCAATGTCATTTTTACATTTTGGTAGGAGATTTTGATTAACGAAATTATAATGTAAATTTATCAGCGGAGACAAAAAAAGCACGTTGCAACAAGATGCAATGAATTGTGGATGTCATATTTGATTAAAAGATTCTTTCAATCTATTTACATTTCTCTTAGCAGTATCACATTACTATATTCAAATTTATTGTGAGCGCAAACGTGCTCGAGTGCTCGCATCTCGTAATTTTATTTATATATTTAACAAACGCATATATACCCATTGACTTAACCTTGGTTACTGTAATATAATTAAAAAAAAAACTAAATATTGAATGCGACGACGTGCTTCGATTGTGTTTGGAATTTTTGAATTTGAAAAGTGACTATCGGAAGCAGCGAGAGAATCAAAACAAAAATGACACCGTGCACATTTAATAATCATCATACTGTTTTTACTTTACCCTCACTTGTACAATGAGGTTCAGTGAGACGTTTTTTTTCTTCTTCTTTTGATAGATGGTGACTGACAACTCACATAAGATTGTATGCTCTTTTTTTCCTGTGTTGTCGTCATCATCGTTGTTGTTCAGATGAATGACGATGTTCGCAAAAAGGCAAACGCTTAACGAATTATGGTTGGGCATGCATGAATGGAACAAACCAGAATCAAATAGATGAAAAAAACAAAACATGTGTACTAAGTCAAAAGGGAATCGTTTATTTTTGGTGCCCATGTACTTATACATTGGGTATTTACGTAGTGACCGATTGAAATAAATACAAGAGCACAAAAAAATAAGCTCCAAGTGTAACGGTGAGTAGAGTTAATTGCGCAAATGTTGTTTTATGAGAAAACAAACCAATCACAATTTGAAAAAACAACACATACTACCATCGAATACCTTGAACTCAGATGCGACAATGTCAGAACAAAAAAGACGAATTTCCAATTTAAAATAAAAATCAATAATGCTTGAATTGGTCATTTTGGTTAATTATTTGATTAGAAATAAACTTCACTTGGCATTTGATAGCTTCCTTTGATCGAATTTGACTCGCATGAATCATAGTCTCTTTTGCTTACATTACAAGCGTTGACGTTTACATTTATATAATGAAAAAATCCATTTGCTATGAAAGAAAATGAGATGGACATCTCTGGTTGTTTCGCATTTAAAAAAAAAAACACTCCTAACTGCGTAAATGATTATTCATATAAATTATGTAAATTCACAGACAAAAAAAATCTCTTTAAATTTATTATCAAAAAGGCAACGAGATAGAAATTTCAAGTTGATTAGAACGAACGGCTTTCATAAAGAGCATGAGCAAGTTTGGCGAGTAACAACATCTCGGCGTTCAGTCAAATTCAAATTAGGTCAAAACAGCTTTACAACTTTTACTTATTTGGCTATAATTCGATTGGTTTTCACATTAAAATTTGGTAAAAACTTTGGTCATTTTTTTATTTGTTGTTTCAAAATGTTACATTGAAAAATGCGTTGGTCGATGCTTAAATTTTTAGGAATTTTATTTTTAGACAATAGTCACAAAAATGAAAAAGACCCCAAAGGGAATGAGTGACGTTTTCAAAGCTGGTATAAGTTATGACAATAGACAAACATTGGACAAGTTGTGCGTAACTCCTTCTAAATTACCTAAATATGGTATTAATAGAAATCTTGAATTGAACACGTGGAAAATTGTGTATGATTCTCTTCTTTTCGTCCGGAATACTTCACTGCAGTGCTTGTTTATCATATTAAATATCATTTTGCACTTTTGGTGAATGATTACAATAGATTTCATAATAAAAAAGAGATTCCAATCTGCGATGAAACTGGTTTTTGGAATTTTATCGAATTTTTTAGTAGTTCGAAATCATTTCTTCAATTAGTTTCGTAATTTCCCTATATTGTGTTCATGTTTCTATTTCTGAATTTTGCATAAACATATTTTTCTATGTCTCTGCGTCGATTTAAAGACACTGAACTTACGCAGTACCAAAATCGACATTTTTTTTAGAATGTCTATGACGAATTTGTGATCATATCACATTGAGGAGGAAATGCCCAACATTTATATATACAATACAACTACTTTAGAAAGTATTTATTGTGTATCATTATCACCCGCTTCGAGTGAATTTCGGTTTTCATCAATTTCTTATTGTTTGGTCATTAAAAATTCATGAAACAGTGTGTGTGGACAAAAACATGCAACATCATCATTTTAGCATGCGCATATAGCAAAATGATCATTCATATATCATAGCCAAAGAAAATAAAAACAACGATGATGGAAAAATACGTTGCTGTGCCATAATAATTAACCATCATTTCTTCCTTTCGCTGTCGCGTTCAAACTTAACTTACTTTCTTTGGAATACTTTTTTCTGTCCAAAAATTTATCGCTGTCTCTTCAGTTCGGTTGTCTTTTTTTTGTCTTTGGTTCATATGTTTCTTTCTTTTTCATTGCTTTTCTCTGCTTCCCAATCAATTGCAACATAAAACCAAAATCACTTATTTCAACATCAGAAAAACGAAGAGAAATATATGCATACTTATGTTCCAAAAACAATATTTTCGACTTATAATGGGACATGGTGTCGAAAACGAAGAATTTGTGTGTAACATTGTGCTTCGGACGCATTTAAGTATGCGTGCATTCATTTCTTTCGGCGTAAGTATGTGTGTGTGTGTCTGCGAGAGAGTGTGTTTTCTTCTCCGTATACTTAGTGCCTCTATGCGCAGTGAATCTAGTTTTTATATGAATGATGTGGCGACTATTTTGAATGAATCAACAAAACAAAACATAAAAATTAACAAAAACCATGTTACGTATCGCTTTTCCCTGATTTTGTAAAATTAACGTTATATGGTGTGTTTTATTTTTGTCAGATGAGCATCGATCGCGCGCACATTTCATATTTGCGATTGGATTTTTTCGCAATTCCTTCACAATTATTAGCGATTACATAATTTGAATTTTCGGCCACACACTAATCAAAATACAGCAAACACTAAAAACGTGGGCCAAATCTTCATGCTCGAATGCGCCTTAAAAATGCTACTAAAATACACTAAAACGCCCAAAAATTTACATGGATTTTTGGCATAAGAAATGTGATTATGATATGATTTGATTTCAACTGTTGTTTTGTTTTTGTCTTTCTTCGATTCGGCATTAACATGGCTATAGTTAACTTGGCAGCATCTTAACTCATTTGCACTTGATTTGATTTTTAAATTTTGTATTAAAGTATTCAATTCGATGAATTCAGTGCAAAGGCATTGTGAATTTTGCATGAATTCCATTTTCTATTGTTGTTTTTGAAAATGTTATACAAAATTACTTACCCCATGCATATGTTTGCCAGAATTTTGGCAAAGGTTCGCAGCATACCATCGAATATAAGAATAGTGCGTGGATGATGATTATTCCAGATATATTATCCCATTTGAGCGGTGCATCAAATTCCATCCATAGAAATTTGGTCTTTTTAGGTGGTAATGTTAATACTGGTTCATGGGCTAATTGTTCGTCGGTTTTATGTTGACCTGCTTCATATTTATAATCGCACAAAACTCCACATTTGATTTCGTTATTATTTTGTAGATCTTCTTGTACGATTTCACATTTTTGCTTATCATAATCGGCATCCACTATATTCACTGTGGCATTTTTTGCCAATTTCAATTGGGTTATTGTCGTGACTTGATCGGTTTTCGTCATTTTGGTTATATTGCTTTGCTACGTTGCTACTTGAACTTAATTTAAATTGAAACAAAAAAAAAGACCGAGAAAAAGATTCTTAATGTGACAAAAAGAATAAATTTGTCGTTCGATTCGGTTCGAAATGTATCTTATTAAATGTTCTTTAATCGAATTATACAAAATAGTTGCATTAACAACAACGGTTTTTGCAGGTTTTTTTTTGTCCTCTACAAATGAGTTTACCGTTAATGCATGTGCCACTTAAATCGATGGTTTTCAATAAATATAATTTCTTTTTTTGAATTTGTTTGACTGATTTTTTTTTGTTCAATCTCAAACTTCACATAAATAATTAGTGATCATTTTGGTCAAATGTTGGTTTTTCTTTTTCAACACCTTTCACCTTTTTTTCTCAACCGTTCACTCTTCATACGCTGGCACACTCACAATTATTGTAACCGTGCTAACCGAAAAGATTTTTTTTTTAACTAAAATATAATTGATCTGAAGAAGTCGATGGTCGGTTTCCTACTAAAGATTCAAAAAAGGTTATGCGCCTCTCTTATATATAATCTTTTTTCCATTTAACCAATCCCCTACCTATTGTAACGAATTCTTCTGATCTAGACAGTCGCAACCATAATGCGGTATTGTTGACTGTTCATGTGAGTGTCGTCGTGAAGTTCAACACTGTGGTGCTGTCGATGCTAAACAGCACTTGAACATTGCCGAAAAATAAACAAAACTTTTATAAATCGCTTATTATATTTTAACCAATACCAAAGAAAGCAATTATGAGACCATTGAACATTTATCGGTCAGTATGTATGTTGTTAGCGTTAAATAGTGAAATTATTATTATAAACACATTTTGATTGGATTTTGGCACATAAAATTCGTACAATGCACAAAATGTCTCTTGGGCTCGCTCTCATTATAAACCGTTGTTATTTTGTTAGTACTCTTTTTTTTTACTTAACACATTACTATTTTTTTCAAACATTATTCTGCATTTCACCAGAAGATTTTTTTTAAAAACTACATCGCCTTGCAATTTTTCAGCCGGTTAAAATTGTAAATGATCACATAGTCAATGATATCGTGCAAATTGTATGGCATTGTTACAATGGTTTACGTGCTGAGCAGGCTGATGTTTGCTAATTTTTTTCTCTTCTCTTCATTTTTTTTTACACATATACCTTCTTTTCCGTATATTCCATGTTTGCGTTGCTATTGATTACTTTTCATATATTATTTGCTCGCTGGATGAATTCCCTTCTCATATACTCCATATCTAATTTTTGTCTCGTTCATTTGTTAACTAAAAAATTGACTTGTGTCTATAAGCCCCGTTTGAAATCAAAAGTGATTTTTTGAACGACGTGCTTTGATATCAACGTTACTGCATTAAAATGAATCAATTAACATGTAAATCTATATTCGATGACATAAATTACAGCGTAAAATGTTTGCGTGAAGTCGATCACAGTTGATCCATCAAAGATACAGATCAATTTGATTTACACTTCTTCTATGGATATTTTTGAAGATGATAAAATGAATAAACGATCGAAATCGTCTTGCCCAGAATTGATTAGTGAAACAAGCATTTTGTTTTTTGGGAGTTTATGAGAAAACTGTATGAATTTAATTCATTTTCAATAATTTTGAAATGATTTCTTTCATACAAACAATGTCGTGTGGAATGTTAAACACATACACTCAGTCGATTTCATTCATTCAAAAAAATGTTGGTTATACACATGCTTCGTGATCATTTCAGTGCGCAATTGATTTGTTTAAATTGGTGAAGATGCTAATTTATTCACTCGTGTATTTACCTAAACTGAATCAATATGTACTGAACATTCTGTTTGTTGTATCTTAGTGCATAGAGGATGTGAATCGTCAGCATCGATCGTTAAACATATTTTATTTCTTAGTCACAGTTTTTTTTATGTATACACACACGAAGGTTGATTTTTTTTCTCGAAAAATAAAGAAATAAAGTTTATGCTGATTGTTGCCCGCACATACTGAGAAAGTGATGAAAAAAAAACATATACCTACCCAATCTGCATTTTTCAGTCATTGAATAATAATATAAAGGAGTTATATCAAATATGGTATTTTATATCTTGGTTTTCTTAAGCCTATTGATAGACGATTTTTTGGAAATTGCATGAATGATGAAATTTATTTGCATTTCGTGGTGATAATAACGACCAAGAGAATTTTCAATCGTTTTTTTTGTGAATGTGCAAGAGAATTCACTAAACTTGATTAGTGATACATTTCGTTTTTTTTTTCTCTTCGGCACGTTTATTTCGATGTATTTTAATTTTCACCTTTTTCGGTTTTGGTGCGTGCCATATTCTATCTACTAATTTTCACAGTGATAATGAAAGTTGCTACAGTGATATCGAAAGTTATAGACTACCACCAATATTAATGCGGAATATATATGAGATTTTCATTAATAAATAAAACATATTAAATGGGAGTTTTTTTTTGTTGGCAAATATACGTTAACGAACATTTTGAATATGATACTCATAAATATCGCAAAAAAAACCACGATTGACAACTTTCCATCAAGTTTGGTTATTATTTTACGTGTTGTGTCTTTTTCAACTTGCTCGCAGCACAAAAATCTGCAAACTCTCACGTTTTAAGTAGAGTAGTTTAAAAAAAAGAAATAATAAAAGATTGTTAGTTTGTTAGAACAGCAAACAAAATGTAACAACAATAAATGCCCAAATAAATGTTTTTTTTTTCGAATTTTATTTAAATAAACTTTCTAACAACCTTAATAAGCAAACTTTTGCTGTTTTTTTTTTTTGAGACAAGAGATATTCGAAAGAAATTCATAATATATCAATAGTGGCTGCTTAAATGAAGTCGGGATTTTGTTTTTCGTCTCGACTCAGTTCGTGGAAGTTTGCGATGATAAATTCAGAGTTTTTGTATATTTTTTTTTACAGATTAAAGAATTCAATTATAATTTAGAAATGCTATTCGCTTTTTTTTGGATTGTTAATTGTGCAATTTTTCACGAAAATATGATGCGAAATTAGAAATATTTGTCTTTATTAAGGAAATGATTCTTGGGGAGTCGTTCCATTGATTCTTTTCCAGCTTCTGTGAGGCAATCAACTAAGGAGTATCCAGTATCTATCGAACGTGACAAACCGACCTTGCATGCATCTGATGTCATTGTTTTTAAATTGGTGGCCAATGAAAGTGCGGCAAATACCCGAATTAAGGCAGTTGAAAATCCAGTGCCTGTAAAAAAAATATAATTACAGTTTACAAAATAGTAACCATAAGAGCCAATGGCCTCTTCAATTTCATTTTCTTCGAATGAGTTCTCAATTACATTATAGAGTCTACGTGACTTTGTGCAAGTTTGATTGAAAATTGAATTGGGTGTGCAAAACAACGATGATGTGCTGCGAAAAGAACGACACACAGAATGTGTGTTATGAAATGAAAGAAGAAAAATGAAGATAGAACTTGTTTCTACAGCAGTTCATTGATGCTCCTTTGGCTTCGTGCATTCAACATTTATTACACATGCATATAGATATATAGTATAATACGATGGAACTACGTGACTAATGTAAGCACACCCGGAGGATAACATTCAAATGTAATGCACTGGGAACTTTGCTACCATTTCAGTCATTGTCGCATTAAAAAAAAAAACGACATTCCCGACACGAATCTTAAAAAAAAAAAATTGCAAATATAATCGTCGTTAAGCTTTCGACTATTATGTAACGACACTGATTAAACACGCTATTAAATCACATTCACTGTCAAGTTTCGGTAACGTTTATGGCCGATAATGAAATGACTTACCATAGTTTCCAAATTCACCGGTTTGATAGTCGAATGGAAGCAGATAGTGATATTGTGGCCAATAGCTCTTTGTTACCAAGAAAATCATATTTGAATCGGATGGCTTGTGTTTCTTATCCAATCCCCAAATGAAATGAGCCGATGTAATAAGCCATGAAACATTCAATACAATCAAATATCGCAGCGAAAATGCAACAAATAAAGCGGCTTGAATGGAATCATCCCAATATTCTAACGGTGCATTGATCGGCAATAGTACGAAGAAAATCAAATAGAGAATCCAGTAGAACCTGTTTCAATGTAAAACAAATACAAATCATTACAAAAAATTTTGTGATCAATTATGACATCGAAAATGGACAATATATCTATACTTTTTCTGGAACATGACAATTTTATCGGACTCTAAATCTTTCATGTCGATTTGTTTCAACATATACTCTTGTTTTGGGCTTAAACTACGAATGTGAGCAAAAACTTGAGCATTTAAAAAGTCTTTTTCGCTGCAATATGGATCGTCGGCCGTTTTAAAAGTTCGATGATGTAAACGATGGTATTGAACCCAGTCATATATTGATCCCTGAAAATTGAAAAAAAAAATAAAGCTTTTTTTTAGTACTTCAACTTTCGTCGAAGTGATCGTCGAACTAAATAAAGCTTCAACGATTACAATTCATTTGCGTTGGTTATGTGGAGACGGACAGTGTTACTGACGCCATCTGTATCGTTATAGTTTGAAACATTTATTTTGTTCATCGGATCATTTTAAAGCAAACATTTATCGGTTTTCTTTCTTCTTTCGAATAAAATAGCAATTGCGACCAAGAACGTAAGACAAAATGAAACACATCGAAAGTTGTGGCGAATGACTTGGAAAAATTCCTTAATTAGTCGATCGCCGCTGAATATTTGATTCATTTTGAAGAGAACAATACTAATGAATTCAATGAATAAATTGAATTGATTTTTAGTTAACGGATAATGAGCTTCATTTAAATGCTATTGTCTTTTCTTTTATTTTATTTTAGAACGAAGAAAATAAACTGGTAATTCGAATGTCCTCTGCGTTTTTCATGGCACAACAAGAATAAATTGAGTAGTATATTTTTTTTTTTAAATTGTGTTGCTGTCGAAAGAGCTTGGTATGAAAAAAAAATGGTTGATATTTACCTGGCCAGCCATTGTTTGGCACAACATCAAAAATAATCGAAGGAAAGTATTGGCTTCATAGGTTTGATGGGCCCACAATCGATGTGCTCCGCATGTAACACCAATAATTCCGATGAATGATAAAAAGACTGTAAATATCACAGTTGTAAGGTAGGCATTTGTGAAGAGTACCATGATTCCGTACAGGCCGAGTATATTTAAATGTATGTAAAAAAGAACCGATGGCCAGCTGGCATCTCGTTTTGAGCTCAATGTTGCCAATTTTTCATCCGTTTCAGATTTGTTGTTTGTTGGTTCATTGCGAGCGGGTGGTACCGTTGCTGTGACCGTTGTGGTCGATGGTTGACTTGTTGTCGTCATATTTTCACCAATTTTATTAAATTAATCCTGAAATAAAAAAAAAAAATTATAAGCTCATGCGTTAAGCAAATTTCGAAGAGAGAACAAAATCAAGTAGCGAAAGATTCGTATATGATTTTTCATACGAAAAAAATTTGTTTTCGGCAAAAATGTCTCTGGAATACATTTGGTATATCATTTTTTTGGGGGAAATAAAATGTTATTCATTCATATTACGTACAGATTTATGCGTTGAACCGCTTTCAAATAAAACAAATCGATAGCAATTTCAATTGAATGTGGTGTGCGACGAAATAAAAGTTTCTTAATTACGACCAAATACTCGTTCACCAAATACTTTGTGTCGATTTCAATTCATGTGTTTATGTTACAAATCGAAATGGTCGGCTTCATTTCAAGTTCAAAAGTAAAATGAAATTTGATGACAAATGTAATTTTACAGGGAAAAAAGAACGACCACAGCGACGATGACCACGAACCAAAGCATAAGTGGACGGAAAAGACGGCACAAATATTTCAAAATAATTGAGCAATCCAACAAAAATTTGTTTATTATTTTGCGTTCAATACAGCGTTCAACTGTCGAATTGAATATGAAGTGAAAGTAATTTTATCAATCAATGTGTACATTATTTACCACATTTTTCTTTTGATTTCGGGTTTCAAAAATAAATGTAATCAATTTCAAAATAAATTACCATTGTAGGATGCGGCTTGTGCTTTTCCGTAATTTTAACATTGTAAACAGGTAAACAAAAAAAAAATATCTGATCTTCTACGAATCGATCACCGCATGAATCATCGCAAGATATTTACGTACAAATTAAGAAGAAACAAAAGAAAAACGTAATGATTGAAACCAACATGAAAAAAACCCAAAAACCAACAAAATACTATTATTAAAATGGCATTTTGTTGTGTTTCCTTCAAAACAAAAATTAATATATCTTTTTATCGCTTGGTCATTTTGTACTTAATTGTTTATCTCATATTTCACATGAGTGTGACTGAGAATTACTTGCAATGGCAAATATTGACGACATTGTCTTTTTTAAATTTTAATTTTGAATTGGATTTGATCAGCGTTTTTCGTTGCATGAAACAAAAATTCGAATATTTGTTGATTTTGTTTTTTTATTTCGTTCGTTGGTTTTTCATGCGATTATATCGAATTTCTAATGGATCAGCAAATTCTTGCTCTGATCAACCAAAGTTCCCAAAACAATTTTTATTTTCTAGAAAATATCGCTGTTTTAACACGATCGATAAAATCTATTGTTAGATCAATTAAATACATTACTAACCCGATGTTCTATTGATCCTTTTTCGTTCAATCCTTTAATTAAATTCCGATTCGATTGGATTCAATTATTTCACTTGAAAACACAATATCCGTCAACAATATGCACTAGAACGATGAACTATCATCACTAAACCAACAATGAAGCAAATAATTTTCGTGCACACGAATTTGAGCTCGATTCTAATCAATTCTAATGGTGTATTTTCTTTTCTCGTTTCAACCGTCACCCGTTCGTATTCCTTTCGATCGAATTCTATTTGTATACGATTACACAAATCGATTCGAAATCGATATTTATTTACTCCAACCGACCGCTTTCAAAGACCAACTGATTTGAATTGAAACGGTGACTCTAAAAATCAACGCACGTTGTATTCAAAAATTGTATCGATGTGACATACACACAAGAGAAGAAGAAGAAAAAAAAGAGTCTAAAGTAAACGATACACATTACAAAGTGAATTACAATTCGTCTAATCATAAGTGAAGCTATTGTGTTTTTGCGCTTCTTCTTGTGCCATATGAACTCATTACATGCACATCAATGTGGATGTGTGTTACAATCGTAATTGATTTAACCGTCGTCCTCTCTGTCCAGTGTGTACCGTGTGTTTATGATCGATCGTTTCTAAGTATGCACATGTATAAGTGTATGTGTTGTGGTCATGGATGTATTTTGCCAAAACGTATGACGCGCTACTTCATGCAAATCGAACTTCTACTTTGTGTGGCTTTTTGTTTTTAATTATATGTATTTTTTTGATTCGAGTATTTTTAAATGTATTTTGAATGATTTAAGCAATTTTAAACTCATAAACAAGTCCAAGTTCAACTTTGCTGCGGAGAAGTTCAACAATTATGTATGCGATACACAACTACTTATATATTGAATTGTTGTGTGATTGTTTGCATTTGTACAGAAACCAAACACTGACGCCAATCATTTTACCCACCGAATTTTTAAATCATCATCACAACGGTAGCAAATGAATGCTCTTTTATCGTGCATTGATTTTATAAATTTTACATTAGATTATTTTAACTCAATATTATATGCAAATCGATCGTTTTTTTATTGCTCTCGCACTCTTTTCATTCACGTTTTTTTTTTGTCATTTGTTCGTTTCACAATATACATTTTCTACGGTTCCGTTAAAATGTAAAATACAATGCAGTTAGGCATTTTCTAAAGCAGAAGTAAAGTTCAATTTGACAATAGAAAAGTGCACAACTGTCTATTACTTACATTGCAAAAAAAATTCGACAAGGCGTTTTGTAGAATTTCCGCTATTTTTGCGTGACTTCAATTCAAATAAAACAAAAGAACGGTCAAAATCAAATAAAACAGATCGAAACAAATCACTACTAGTTTGTACACCTTTTAGCCTTTTAGCAAATAAGCTACTTACGTTGTTGTTGTTTTTTTACCATCTGTACATATTGTTAACACTTTGGAACTTTGAATTGTCATCAAATCGAATAGATGTCGAGGTAAATACATTTGGATGCATAATTAATTGATCCGTTTGACTTGTGGCAATTCGTGATTATTCGTGATTGTTACGAACGTCAAGAGGTTATTTCGGAGCATTCGACGTAAGTCTATTTTTTGATTGATTGGAATATTAGATTCAGTTTCAAATGGTATGTGTTCAATAACTTTGTTTCGTATTTACACTATTTACAGATTCTTGAATGTCATCCGTAGTTGAAACGATAGAATTGCATATTTAAATGATAATTCAAATTGTTGGCAAAATTCATAATTCATTGATCAGTATCAATGAAATCATTGAAAAAGAAATATTTCAGTCTAATCGTTCTACAAATTTTCCATTACTTCTTTATTCCAGTTTGATTATTTAGCTTAACTGCGTTTGCTACAACTTCTTGAAAGTTTTTGGACAAAGTTGAAATTTATTTGTTAATGTACTTCACAAACTGAGAATGTTACTGAACTCTTACGTTTTTTAATATTACAAACAAATTGATTCATGACGACTTTAAACTACAAAATATATTCAAAAACAGCACTTGCCAAACATTTTCAAGATAAACGCTTTTTCGTCACTCTTTAGGTAATTGATATTGCAATATTTCTAGCCTATAGGCTTGTCGGATTTCGATTCTCGCCAGGCTTGTCGGATTTCGATTTCCACTACATGGGTTGACAGATATACTGCAGAGATATACATTTTCCTTAAATTATAGTAAATACTGTTACTGCAGTAAAACTCAAATTTCAAAAAAAAAATGCGTGTCTGTGAAGTGTGACAGCATACATAATTTTAGTTTTTTAGTAAATAGCCAAAAAATTGCAAATTATGGCATTGAATATCCCAAGTTATGGCATTAGCAAGATAAAATCTCAGAGAGAAACGAAAGCATAATATATTTTCTATCTTTTGTTTTCTCCAGGGCTATATAACAAAAGTTATACAGTTCATACAATGCAGGGTTCAGCAGGCTGCATCTGTGATGTCATCACTTAATAGTAAGTAAAAAAATGTTCAAATATATTGACATAAATCAAAAGCAAAGACGTGCATAAATCTAAAACGTAATGAAAACACCAGATGTTTTTCCCGTTAGTTCTTCTTTATTTGTTCAATAATTCATTTATTTATTTGTAAAGTGTCAGTCGATTTGGCAAAAGGATTTCTAAACTAACAATTGATTATACGTTGTATGTGTCGGTGTAAAGTAGAGCTTATTGACTAAATTTAACACTTATATTAGCAACACGGTTCTTCATTTCTTGGTAAATGTCAGCGGACAATTCTTCAACAGTGGTATATCGACACTTTTGAAAATTAAAAATGTCATTGAGGAATCCCATTGTTTGTTCTTTGAAATAGTGGCATACTTCGCTTAAATTCTCATCGGGACCAAAAAATCCCCAGGCCATAAGAGGTGATATTTGTTCAGATATGGCATAAAAATGTGCCATAAAACCATTTGAGAATTTTAACATACGACGTTTGGCTTTCAGCACCGACCAAACAGCCGTCGTTAATGCCTGTTTGAAATGATATCAAAACAGAAAAAAAAAATTTTTTATTTCAAATTTATCACAGCGGACTGTGTATATATTTACCGTTTCCTTGAATCCATTTGACAAAAATCGATTGTTAACAACGGCTGTAACACTTGCTGGTGGCGCATCCAAATCTTTGAATGCATCAAGAATTATAAAATCTAAGACTACATCATAAAATGTCATTGCTTTAACATTTCTGGCTTCCAATTCCTTTTCGATGGCTGGCCAATTACTTTGATCTTGTAAAAATTCTAACATTGCTTCGTAACCAACTAAAAAGTCTTTTGGATCTTTATCACCCAAACATAATAGATCCGTTAAAATTTGACGGCCAGTATCAGCCACCCATCGTCCAGTTGATTCTTCCTATTGAATAGACATGATTATATATATTTTTTTTTCGAAAACAGTCGAATTGAAGTTTATCTTACTTTGAACATATATTGAAATGCTAAGCGAATGCAATGTAATTTGGCTAGGTACTCCAAATCAGATGTACAATTGACCATCTCTGTTCGCATCATTCGAACTGGAATGGGCGTTTCTTCAAAATGTCGTATTGCACTTTGATATAATGGATATCGTTCCATATCTGGTATAGTATCGGCAAACTCTTCAAATTCTCTAATATCAGCGATCTAAAATATAATCACAAAATCAGTCAATGTAATGAGTTCAAATATTGGCTGGGCCATTTTGGTTCGCTTTCCAGCAGGTCAATCGGATATATTAAAATTAAAAGAAAAATTGACCGAACCTGATCGAGAGCGGATGCAAAACTTTCGGCCGAATCAAAGTTTGGATCGGACATGGATCGATGAAGTGCATTATTCTCTGCAGCATGACTGTTTCGGAATAATATTGATCGTTGATCAAGAAATAGTAATTCGCTTTGATCTTGTAATTGCCATGCAAGATCCAATAAACTTTGAATTTCACGGCAAAACTCTGATTCTTCAGGTGTTGTTGGTGTATCGTATGCAACTAGTGCGTCTTCCCAAAAATTGATAACAGTCTCTAGAGCTTCCATCCCTATTTCATTTTAGAAGAAGAAGAGGAAGAAAAAAAACATAACATTTTGTTTAAATGTCAATGCGGATGTGATTCAAAAATGTGATGTACGCTAATCAAGTTTCATGTCTCACGCTATCAATAGAAAGCAATTTGCCAACGTCATCCGATTTGATTAAATCAAAAATACACAATACATACCCATGACACCGAGTTGCTGCGGTGATAGAGGATTATCATGAGCTGCTGGCAATGAGCCCGATGCCAAAGAAAGGCGATCGGAAAGGGCGACAATAGAACCACCAGGCGATATGGAACGCGCTGATACTTTAGATCCAGCTAAAGATGTTATATCTATTTGCGATCGGAAGAAAACAAACCAAACAAAATATTCAAAACAATGGTTTTTGCCAAATGGAAATGAAGTGATTATGGATATTACCATTTGGTGATCGCATGCTATTTCTGGTGCGTCTGCCACTAACAATTGTTCTTGGACGGCGAATCGGCCGCGAAGTTTTCCGACGGCCCAAATATCTGGCCAAAACACTCAATAAAACCACACCAGCCGATACAGATGCCAAAATGACCTATAGAAACGCGACAATGAGAAATTAATTTCGATTTTTCACCAAAAATACAATAACATCAATTAACTGTGGTTTACCTTTTGTGTGATGGTTGTGTGCGATATTGGATTTATGTTGCTTATTTTACTCAACAACGTCATTATGTTATGTGTATGTGTACAATTTCAACGTGAAATTTTACATTGACAAAAAGTTAAAAAAAAATAAATAAATAAATAAAATAAAATTTCTCTATAAAACGTTGTTTTTCTCTCTAACACACACACAATCACTGCACAATGTTTCTATTTTGAATGTTGATTTTATTGAAACAATCAAACATTTTATTGTAATGAAAATAACATATGAAATTCACAATTAAATAGAAACTATATTGCTCTCTCGATGTATATATTATATTGACGAAAAATCGAAATGCAAGATTGTTTATGCGAATCAATGAGCGCGTTGTTAATGAGCCACTTCAATATACGTTAGTCGCACTGAAACGAAAGTTTTTTTTTTCTTGCCGTGTTGCCGGAAAGAGAGTTAATAACATGCACAATACCTAATGATGATTAAAGAAGAGAAGAAGAAGAAAAAAAACTTTCTAAATCATACCCAAATCGACACGCTCAAAGAATGGTGCAATGAGAGTCGATTGGTTGATAATTAGTTATCATTAGAATGAGAAAATGCACAATATTTCGGTATTATAATCGATGTAATTGGAATTTAATGTACTTTTTTGATTGCAGTAAAAACAATTTCAAGCGCCAGAGACAACACCAAGTTCAATTTACCGAACCGACTTTTCTGACAAAATAATCTTGGTGGTTACAACGTCACATGTATGGCATGACAATACACATGGAGCGCGCAAACTGTGTGTATATGTGTATGTGTATGCGTACATGCGTACGTGTGTGAATGAGCAATACCAACAACAAAACGAGCACACATTTACACCGACAACATAAAAAAATTTGAAAACAAACATCTACCAAATTGAATTCAATCAATGTTTTATAAAAATAAAATGTTGAACGTGAAAAATTCATTCGAATTTAATTATTTATATAAATTTTAAATTTCATTTGCAGTTACAATAAAAGCAATGTGTATGCGATTTTGATCTGTATTGCATTTGTTTGTCTGGATTTGTACACCATATGGTTAGAGGTTATGTCGTTTGGGGTATTTTTCGTTTGCACATTCAGTGATAACAATCGTGAGAAAGTGAAAACAATCCAAATTCCCAATGAACAGCGTAAACATTCATACAGTTTGACGTTTCCGTATGTGTGTATGACAGCTGATAAATTTTCTACATAGAGCTTCGTTTGTACCAACAATAGAAAAAAAAATCTAGTTTATTTAATCGTATTTAGACACAAAGGAAGAATTGTTGATATTTTTGTTTCATTTCAATGACATCGACCAGTATTAACGATTTACCAGATGAAGTTCTGGAATTCATTTTTGGTCATATGCCACCGTACAGAGATTTGGAATCGTGTGCATTAGTTTGTAAACGATGGACAAACATTGTTCAAAGTAAGTGTTCAATGTCGTTTTCACTTTTAATTTGGTTGTATCATTTTATACACCAACTACCATTTACATTCAATTTTGATTGGATTACATTCGTTTTCATTTGCCATTAGATGTGCGACGGCATACAATGCTAAATTTCAACAAAGGTTTGATCGAATTCCGTTTATGCTGGAAATCATTAAATAATATGGATGCTGCACCAACAATTGCTGGACGATTTTCACATTCAGCTGTCATTTATAAAAATTCAATGTTCGTATTTGGTGGTGGTTCATCGACGGCAACGACATTCAACGATTTGTGGCGTTTTGATTTGTCGAATCGTAAATGGGATCGTCCTATATCGATGGGTTCGTACTAAGATTTAATTAATTTAATTGATTAACTTACTATTCAATTACTGAACGATTGCTATGCATTTTTTTAGATAATTTTTCCATTCTGTTCCATTATATGTTGATTAATTTCCATTATTTTCGTTTTTCTTTTCTGATTCATCTTCCCCAGGAAATTATCCATCGCCAAAAGCGTGCGCCACATTGGTGTGTTATAAAAATTCGTTGATATTGTTTGGCGGTTGGCGACATCCAACCACATTTCCACCGTATCAATCATGGCGTTTATTCGATGAGCTTCATTCGTATAATGTTGCCGAAAATCGTTGGATATTGATAAATACATTAGATGGTAATTCGCCGCCACCAGTTACGGGTCATTCAGCATCCGTGCACAATGATACGATGATTGTGTTTGGTGGTTTTTCACAAGATGAACACACGGGCACCAGTAAAAATGATTTATGGTCGTTTAATTTGAAAACATTAACATGGTTGCGAAAGGAAACGTCACCAGTGAAACCAGCACCGCGATACGGTCAATTTCAAATAGCATTAAGTGATAAACATTGCCTTATTATGGGTGGATGTGGCGGTCCGAATAATTTGTACAGCGATGCTTGGGTACTGGACTAGGGGCAATTCACTTAAAAATTGCCTTTCTATTATTTCGATTATTTCGATTATTTGCCGATTATTTTAAATTAATTCTTTTCTTTTGTGATTCTCCCCTAGGTATTGGATATGTCACTAGAGCCATGGCAATGGCGACAAATTACGATCAGAAATAAAAAATGGGCAGCAACTCACATGTGGTGTAATCCAGCGTGCAAGGTAATTATCACTTTTACACGATTGAAATTCGAACCGAATGGATTTTATTATACAAATAATTGGTGTCAATTTTATTAATTTTACTTATAGGTTGGTTCAAAACTAATCACTCTGGGACCAGTAGCATCAGCACTGACCGATTTTCAAATGATACGCCATCAAGTATTACCATCGAATCGTAATAATATGCGTCCAAATGCAAATCCACCAATTCCACCAAACCAAAATAATCTTCGATCACCGCAATTGCCCAATGCACGAAATCTATTCGGCGAACCATCGAATCGTCGTGCCGATGAACCAAATCGCTCACGATCAAATAACCTTCGACATAATTTACATAGTATTGACGAACAACAACCGCAATTAAATCAATTAAATGCCAACAACAACAACAACAACAACAACAGCAACGACGACGATGTACAAAATCGTTTACAAAGAAACCTCCATTTGCGCAGTCGCCGTCACGAAAATGATATGTTTAATATGCCAAAACGTTTTAATGAATCAACTGTACCGTCACACGATCGTATTGCAATGGCTGCATTTAACGATTCCAATAGAGACAGTCCATCGACGAGCATGACATCACCACGGGAAAGACGTTTACAATCGTTGCGTCGAATGGAAGAAAAAATTCAGGCAATACGACAAGTTAATGCACCGGATCCAATTGATGATCAACCAGCGCCACAAAAACGTATCAAACGTAATTGTATTGGTTTGTTTGTCTGTGATATTTCAAATATTTTGCTAGCCGAAAATCCATTCATTGAATGGATTGAACACAAAAATTTCGGGCACATTTCAAATGCACCGGAACGTTTAATTTTGTCATCGTTAGTGGCCGGAAACGGGGAACTTATTATGTTCGGCGGCTTACGAAAAGAATCACTATCAAAATCAACCGATACAACAATGCAAGTATCAAATGCAATGCACTTCTTACAAGTACCAAAAGAAATCATTTGAGAAATTTGTTTATTTTAAGTTAGGGACGAATTTTTTTTTTCGATTTTTTCATTTTTTTTTTCTTTCACAATAATTTACATTATCAATTGAAGTAATATAATCGAAATTAAAAAAAGGCATTAAATAAATATGAACACTATCAACTTTGCATTTTTTCTAATTCCTGTAAATCATCTTTGCAAATGTCGGTATCACCATAGCCCCATACATATTGACTGTGATTCGGATGGCTGCCATCGCCAGTTTTTGCTACACGCCGTGCAATCATATCGGCCGAAGCATATTTACCTACACATTTTTATTGAATAGAAAAAAGGAAAACATTTAAACGTGTACTCTTTTTGCAATGGCAATGCTGAGATACTTACGATCACGGGCCCATCCAATTTTAGCGAAGAAATCAATAAATCCTGTGCTTATGTTATACTTGTAGTCACCAAATTCGCTTGTTTTATAATCCCTAGTTGGCCAAAAAATTTGAAGAAAAATTGATTAAGTTAGGTATTGAATCAGTGAATATGGTGTCAGGTGATGTGAAAATCGAGCCAAAAAGCAATCCTTCGAACTATGACGTGCCAAACGAATCGTCGAACGTAAAATTTGAAAAGCAAATGTTTACTGCATCGGAAACATCGATTTTATTGGCTAAACTCAAGAAATTCGAGAAAAAAGAGGTGGTGATTAAGAAAATCGACGGTTACAACGAATCATTCGCGTCGTATGGTGGAAAAATTTGTGAGAAATGTTCGTCGGCCATACATTTATCGTCTTGCTGTGGTTGTTAAAGGGAAAATAATCGCATATTACATTGGTGAATGTGATGAAATTGAAGACAGCGAATTGCAGAAACCAGACACACTCCGATACCCGAACGAACCTATCAGCATACTTCTGACTTAAGACATGTGGCGCAAAATATACCACTTTTTAGAACAAATGGAGTAGTGCAACGCGTTTTGTTAAATAATTTGTTGGAGGATGATGCGAAGGTGGAATTGACGTATTGCTTGCTGGGATCAATCATGAACAAAGCATCCAGTCACGCTTTTGGGGCGATGAGCGTTTGGTCAATCGGAGAACAAAACGGCCACAAAATGCGAAAACTCTGGTGGGAATGAACTCAAACGAACAGAAGAAATTCGGTGAATTTGTTGTGCAGTGTTTCAATGACAAAGTCACCCGTACTGTGGAGCACGGAACAAAGCAGAAAAGTAATGCACCACGCTCGTTTAAATGTTTTGTTGATGGCTGCGGCAAATCTTATACATCCGCGAATACTTTGCGCTCACATAAATCTCTTTCACACAACAAGAAGAAATGAATGAAAAAGGTTGGAAGTGGGGCAATGAAATCAAAAATCTTTCCATTATTATTATTTGTTCACACCCATATGATACGAAATTAAATCTATGTTCATTAGCAATAAGGTTGAATTCCCAATAAAATATTACAAAGGCGAATAACCAGTGGCTGTTTTCATCACACTTACCAGGGAAAAACATGATGGAAATTATGCCATCCTTTGATGCCGATTGCAAGGGAAAAGAAAATGAAAAAAATTATTGCAAACAAACAATGAGAGCAAGAAAACAACACATACCTTCCCCAAATGCAGCCAAAGCAACAGGCAAACTTTCCACCGGGCTTATATTTTGGTCATACGGTTTGTTGCCTATAAAACAAAATGATTATCCAAAAACTGTCAACAAAATTCATGAATTAAATATGAACGAATTCAAATATTTGCATACCGTATAAATGTGCGACACTGTTTACGAAAAATGCAGCATTTAATGTGACACAAAACCGCAAATTGAAATTTACCCAAAATGATGCCCATAAATTTTCATTCCAAAAATACCACGGCACCTAAAAGAATATTTTTATTACATTATTTATCTCGCATTGTATGCAAAAACAAATTTTAATCGCACATACTGGGCACACACCAATACTCACTCACTTACACACCGACACACACAAAAACTAATTGAACTCGCATTTCTAAGTCACATTTTAAAATTATTTAAATATATGTGAACATATCTGTCGATAACTTTCTAATAAAATGAATTGATTTATGAGCGAAAAAAAACTCCAGCAATCTGATCGTGTTGTGTGTGTATCGGTGCGTAGAGTTGAATGTCATTTGATTGAAATCTCTATCAAATAACAAAAAAAGTCACTGATGCCGCAATAAAAATAGAAAAGAAATCATACCAACACAGGCATAGCGATTGCTATTAAAGCAAACAATGGAATATAAATTCGCTTTTGCCACATAACAATGGGATCGTTTTCCAAGTCGCGTAAATCGATAATTTTACGTTTGGCCACGACTGCTGGATGTGGTGTCAAAAATAGCCATCCAACATGAGCAAACCAGAAACCGCGCCGGGCATCATGAGGATCTGCATCAGTTTCCTATGATTAATATGAATGAAACCAATACAATTCGGATGAGAATTCGGGACAAAGCTGAATTTGCGGTCGAAACCAACAAAACAACGACAATAATTCAATGAATTCATTCGATTTACAACTTACCGTATACTTATGATGAACTCGGTGATCATGCGCCCAAGTGTATGCGTCACGCTGTGCGACGAAAAACAAAGCGAAACAGTCAAACAACAACAACATAAAAACACACTCACACACATAAATGATTTTTTGTTAAATAATGTCATCAAAATATTACATCATTAATTCTCAAATCGCGCTCAACTTACTTGCCCGGATATTGTAAACAGAAAGATCAACAGTAGACGTAGTTTAGCATTTGCTTTATACGCCTTATGCGAAAAAAGCCGATGAGCTCCAGCTGTTATTCCAAAACCACTCGAGACAATCAGAGCAAAAACTATAAATAGTAAAACAAAAGTCTATTATTTGCTTGGTAATTTTTTGTTGGTTTTTTTTTTTTCGTTCTTTATGTGTGTGTGTGTGTGTCTTTTTTCTCAATTACAGCCATTCCTATTAATAAACATTTTTTATGGCATTCAATAATTAATTTGAAGTATACACTCACACCAAATGGCTGTATAAAATCGTATCGTATAAAATTGAAAGATTAGTCCATACACAGCACCAACGTGTAAGAACATCTGTGCGGCTAAATCAGGCCAACGAATTTTTGGTTTAAATGGAACCGCTTCATCATAGTTAGCCGAATCATCGTTTGCATCATCGTGCACGGTTTCAGTGCGTCGGCGATTTTTCAAACCATCATCACTCAAACAACTCGTGTTTGCGTTGTTGTTTGTGTCACTCGTATCGCACATTTCTGAAACGAAAATAAAAAGCATAGCAACCATAAACGATTAGCAATATTTGTGATAGAAAGTGAAAAAAAATAGAAATAATTTCATCAGCACACATGCAAAAAATAATAAATCTTAAACGAAATCGAACGATACCGTAAATTCAATTGGCACACAATAAATGCACTGAATATTAATTGAAATATCGGTTTGAACTGTCACACCGCGCAGCAAGCAAATTGAAAAATAAAGAATGATGCGTATGGCTGTAACTGTTGATATCACCGCTCAAGTGTTTATTGTATGGGTAACATAAAAAAACTATATATAAAAACCAAAACTATCTTATTACTTTTGGGGGTATTTTTATTTGATTCGACTGAATATACACGAACGAATATATTTCCGTTTTTGTTTCTTTCGCTGCGTGTGTGTATGTGTGTGTTTGCTATGTTCACTTCGGCTATGCGGTACCAAATGAAACAATAGTAAAACTGAAACAAGTTTGTCGATTCTTTTTGACACCACACACCGTGTCAGTTCAGTTGACGGTGTCGAAACAATCTCACTTAAATGTGATTTAAAAAGGTGATGCTAAATTTACAAGCGATACTATTAGAAACGATTCATAAACGTTGGCCGTCGAACGTTCTTTATTGTATGTAATTTATTTTAAGTGGAAATTAACAAAGAAAAAAAAAATGAAATACATTTACAATTGGTTATTTGTTACGCGCCGAGATTGTGTAATTATGATATAGATTTTGAATTCATTTAAATTTCATTTTGATAGACCACTTTCACTGCAATTGTTCGTTATAACAATTAACCGTTTGTCTTGACACCAAAAAAAAAATATCTACATAAAATATATGCCAAAACGTGCTTCTGCTAACTTTCGTTCATACACCATCGTATTCAGTGTATCCGCAACAATAAAAAAAATCATCACCACAAATATATATGAAATTAGTTATTATATACGTTTTATATATATCGGTATTTATATATCGTTTAGTGATAAATACTATGAGTTGATTCTTTGCGTTCGTTATTTGACCAAATATACATATCGCAATTATCTTTAAGTCGTAAATGCGACAATGAGTCATTTTCGATTCTTTATCAGCAGAGCCTAGAACGAAATAGAATTGACCATTTAAATACTGTTTGTTTTCACTATTCACAGCTTACATGTGATCGGAAGATACATAGAGCACTGCTGACAAATGACAAATCGCCGCTATATTTCTGAAACAATTTATTACTAATTGAAATGGAAATTCGTTTCAACAAAATCTTACTAATTCCATGGACGACATGTTGCGCCATCTTGAAAAAAAAAGAATTTTTCTTTTAATCAACAAAATGTATAAAATGACAAATCTTCTTATCACATTAACGAATTTTTTTCATCGAAAAAAGAAATGCGCCGAGTTTTGGTATGATATTTGGAGTGGTCGCGAATGGTAAGTAATGAATGTGGCGCTTTAAGCATGCTATATACGTGACTATTCTCGCTTCGAGCTTGGTCATTATATTCTAGCGAGAATTTTAGGTCTGTGTTTTTTTTTATGTTAAACAATGTTGCATGAAGTTACTTAAATATTTATTGCATTATAACAAATAGCCATAGCCTCAAACGTGAATAAGGTCAACTAACCAATTGTATGACTATATGGTCACGAATTCTTTTCTCTCCCCCGTGCGCACAATAGGCACGAAACCAATTTTACTTTTTTTTTTCTCGAATTTTCTCCACTGATATTTTCGTAGGTTCGCATTGGCAGAAAGGAAATGAAAATGGAAAAAAAAAGTCAAATGCGTAAGTGTAAATTTGACACATGAAGTTGTGTTTTAATTTAGATACTAAATGATTATCAGCAAGCGAACGACACAAAAAAAATGTTGTTGCTGAGTATATAGAATTCGTTCGATCTATCATAGTATGTTACTGCTAATCGTAAAATAATAACAAGTGTACACTGACGGCGGTGATTACAAAAGAAACAAAAAAAATTACTCACCCCGTATAATATTAATGCGGCCCACGACGATAGTTTATGCGGAATGATTGTTTATGAGGCCCACAGCAAGGAATGCTTTTAGGCAAAAATTTACTCTTTTTTCCTCCGTGCACTTGTGAAAGTTACTAACTCAAAGGATATCGTTGAATGTGTCACTTTTTGGAAAGATTAAAACCGAATGAAATGAAATGTTCGCGTTCGAAGCGATTTTGTACGCGAGGACACGACACTATACTATTGGAATGAAAATGAAACTGTATGGTGTGTCAAATTGATCGAGTCGTTCCACAAATTATGATTCAAAATGTAATGTTAACGACATTTTTTTTTCCGAAATCCGAAAAACGGCGTTCCTTTTTTCCCATCAACGAAAAATAATTTCAACGATAGAACAATACCAACAAGTCAACAAACACAATTCAATATAGTTGATATGAATTTTTCAAAACGATAAAACACAACACCGAATTCAACCATCACCGACAAACATATGTAACTTCACTAATAAGGTGCGCACTTTGTAAGAAAGCGATAACTGAAACCCAAACATTCTTCACCTCTTTTTTTATTAATTTGTTTTCGGCGCTCACATGTTATCGTCATTTCGTTGTTTATCTTTCTCCTTCGCGCCCGCTCTTTTATCGTGCATTTTTATTTGTTCACTTTTATTTACTTAAATTTATTATTGATGAAGCGTCTTGTCACTTGCATACATGCTTTGATTATACATGGCCTGAGTCATTTGGATTAGTTTGTGTTTTTGTTTGGTTTTGTTTTGTTTTTGTTTTTGTCTCATTTGTCGGCTTGGTTTTAATCAAACTAAATATTTAAATTGATTTTGGTGGATTTGTATGACTAAATTGGTTGTTGTCAGGTTATTATCAGTTGAAAGCTTTGGTGCTTTTTGTTGTAAGGTTTTCATTTTTGTCCAGGTTCGTTTGCTGAACTAAAATAGATGTCGACACACGTTCATTGGAAAACAAAACGTTTAAATTCGCAAAAAAAAGTGCATCAACGAACTCTCACCACGCATAGGAAAATCGGAACCATTATACGTGCATATTCAACTGCCTCTTGATGATATATTGAATAGACAGGAGCGTGGTGAACAAAAAAAAACTATTATATATACCACACTCATTTGAAGCGACTGCACAACGGTATCAGAAATTCCAGTTCCATTTAATATAAAAGTGAAAACAAAGTTCATTGAAGCACATATAAAACGACATCGTCTGACAACGAAACAAAAAAAACGAATTCTTTTCAATTTATAAAAGCAATTCAATGCATTCGTTTTACACAGACAACCGATGCATACACACATGAAAATCAATAAATTTTACACTTGATTTTCTCTTCATCGAAATTGTGGATGAATAATATTAATGAAGGAATGGTTGTGTGCAAGAGACTGGCAAAAGGACACATGTTACATATATGAGGTAACTATTTCGGAAATAAAGGAGGAAAAAGAAGAAGAAGAAAAAGAGGTGAAGGATCGAGATCATTCAAAGAAACTTCCTTGCAATAAACATATTTCCATCATATTCGTATTGAGAATGAAAAAAATCCATTTCATTCAAATTGAAAAAAAAAAAATTGATAAAATTTGATTGAATTTCATTCAAAAGGAAAACAAAAAGAAATAACTTTCCGACGCTGAATTTGAATGCATTTCATTCCAAAATTATTTCAAGAAAATGTCCACACACAAAAAAAATTGTCACAAATCTAACTCAAATAAATGTCGTGAACAGATGAATATGTTTCTTTGTTTGTCAGAACTTTCTTTTTTATTTCATTTTTGAAGGATCTTTGTTTTAGTGCATTAACATGTGCAAAGAAACGGCAAAAAGACGTTGCATTGTTCTTATCATCGTTTGATTGATTTGAATAAAATATGTTGGCATTATTCCAGTTTTCTTTTTAGCCTTTTTTTCGGTAATGCTATTTTCTATTGTTTTCGTTCATTTGCTCGTCTCCACACATATACTTCAGGTATATAATTATCATTATTAACGATATCGTTTGCAAAAAGAAGAAGAAGAAGAAGAAAAAAAAATGTCAAACACAATATCGAAAATAAAACGACCATTGGAAATGCGTTTATGTACGGTATACATAAAATGTGTGTGTATGTATGATTCTCTTCGACAGTAAAAGCCGTCAACGATAATGAAAAGAGGAAACAGAAATGTCCATATGTGTGAGCGTTATTCGATTGGCACGCCAACAATACAACATGCTTATAGCTTTGCATATATAGGTGGATTCACTTGGCTGTTGTGTGCACCAGATTTAATTTACGTTATGTGCGGTAACATTATCTTTTGGTGCTTATGTGTCTGCAATGCTGGCGTCTATATAATATCTCGATTTTAAAACATAGGTACGTTGTTGCTCCTGCATATTGTGAACATTGCCGCGCTCAACATAACAGCTTAATTCTGCAAACGGGAAAAAAAAACACACGGAATATAGCTTCCTATATACAATGATACACAGTGAAACTTTTGCACAACGAGAATGTGCATATTGGTTGTGGCGTCCTTTCCGTTGTGGCCGACGACGCTACAATCCAGACAGCCAGCCGCACTTCTGTCGTCATTGTCGAGTCATTTTAAATCGTTTTAAATAGAAAATACAATCTATGTTTGGGTATATGCCGGGTCGGAGCGATATTGTTGTTGGTATTGCTGTTTTCAATTTTTTTTTTTTCATTTTTGCAATCCAAATGGAAACCAGCAGCAGCAGCAGCACCAACGGCGGCAGTAGCATATATAAGCATGCTATTGAGGTAGCTATGTTTATATTGAAATGTTGAAATGCATGAGGATGGAATATATAGTATACCAAAAATGAATGCTACGGGAAAAAAGGAGACGCTAAAAAAAGTATCGGTGTTGCTGGCTCTTGTTGGCTGAACTGTTGTTGCTGGGTTTTTTTTCTTTCGGGACTATGACTTCAGTCAAACCGAGTTACAGTCTTGCATATAATACATGAAAGCGCAACGTTTTAAAACATAACATTCAGGGTCCTGTGTATGTTTTCGGATCGGTGTCTCTCTTTTTGGAATCGGTGAAGCGCTGGCGACAATGAAAAAGATATGCATCGTACGCTTGTGTGTGTGTGTGGGTGAGTATGTATTTTCATTTTTGGGAAAATTTTACTTTCGCTAATCACAACGATATATAACTGTGATTCTATATATTATACACATAACACACTGTACAACAACGATCGCACTCAAACAGCAAAGGAAGACAACGACGACGATGGTGAAAAAAAAAAGTAAAAATTACGCCAGCCAAAATATTGATTGTAATGCGGATATGCAGTACAGTATATCTATAGGTTTGTCTAGTGCATCCTGTAAACCATTTGTATATACTTTTTGAATATACTGACATGAAAGAAAAGTGAAGCGTGCACACACACACACACACACACACACACAATATACATACCGACATCAAAAATATAGATAGACGACGGGATAAATCATATAAAGTAAATTATGTATAAGGATGTGTGGGTATATGCTCTATAGCAAGCATCGATATATGCATCGATACATCATATAATTCTATTTAAAATGAAGTCAGGATCAATAGACGTTATATTTAAAATGGTCAACATTTCATTATCATTTTTCCTATAAATTAAATGGCCATTGAATACATAATTCCAATGGATGGCATTCATTTTTATTTTCCGTCCAATGAAACCGTTCGGATCAATTCAAAAGCCAAAAACTATTGCCAAATGAAGCAATGAATGGAGAGACGAGCACGATGACAACGACAACAAAGACGATAATAATGCTGTTAACAAACCTCTCATCGCAAATAACACAAGATAATATTTATTTCTAAATATAGACGATTGTATCATGAGGATGAACACAGTAGTGAATTTTAGAGATAAAAGTAAACAAGTGTATTCGAGCATTCTTGCGATAGACAACTAAAAATGACATGATACCATGTGATCAAATCATACATTTGTTTGATTAAATTTTGAAAACATAACTTAGTGCTAGATGCCACGATGAATGCCAATATATAACGAAATGATACCTGCGTGAACTAGAGAGTGAGAGTCGTAACGATGACACAAAATGTAATAATGTTCATCGTGTGCGTTGTGTGTATTTGTGTGATGCCATCGAACAAGAATTGATTAGAACAACTTGTTTTATATCTTTTCGTTTTTGTGTGGAATGGTTTGTAATGTAACGGACAAAATGGCCCCAAAACAAACTTCAAAGAATTAGAGAAATGGTTTTTGATGAAACCAAATGTAACAATTCGAATTTGTTATCTCTCTCTCTCTCTCTCTCTCTCTCTCTCTATCGATATGCAGCAAGTTCAATTTCATTGTGGCAAAATTTAAGTTGACATTCTATTGGAATATTCATTGTGATATCATGTAACAGAAAACATTTGATGACAAAACTTTCTTGGACCTTTTCTTTTAACGCAATTCATTGTTTTTGTTTATTGTTGTTGTTGTTGTGTGTATATTTTTTTTGTTGCAAAATAGTCTAGATGTGCGCAATATCAAATATTAATGGAATAAAGAACTTGCACATTCACATGTTTAGCATGAATGGCCAATGCACTTCTCATTTGAATTTTATGCGTATCAAATTTTCATCAAATGTCGGGATTTCACAATATTCTCTTTTTCTGTCTCTTTCTCTCTTTCTCCATATCTTTTTCTCTCTGTGTGTGTCTATCTCTCTTTCTGTCTCAATATCTCATTCAAAAGAGAAGAAGGAATGAAGGAAAAAAAATGCTCAAACAATCCACTTTACAGTGTTTCGGTTGTGCATGCTATTTGGCACGCAATTGTATGCGTACTTTACGGCTTATATATAGCATTTTCAGTATGTACAATGTGTTTGGCACCGGCACATAGGCCAATACACCACAATCACATACAGTATATACAATATCATGCAAAATAAAATCGATTTCACTTTTTCGTCGTCGAGAACGAAAGCATATTTCTGGCCAGAATCGACGACGATAACGACAAACACCGGAAAACAGTGTAAATGTTTTTGTATATCATATTGGATTTTAAATGATGGAAATGTAATTTTGCTTGTTCGAAAATTACAAAATGCACACATACATACACACGTGTGCACCCTGAAAATGTGACGACAGAAAGAATGGCATTTGGCAAATCTTACGATTATAAATTCTTATGCGCGCACGTTATACTCTCGGTCTTATTCTCTATGATCGTCCCATTGTTTGTGAATTGCGGTGATTTGTCTATCTTTCTCCATCTCCATCTTCATCTCTCACACTTCAAACTTCAATTTACTTCACTCAACATCGTTCATTTCACTCAATTTCTTTATTTTCTTCATCTTATTTTGGATTTTCATTTCATTTCATTTCCAAGTTGACTGGTTCAATTGTAACGATGCGCACAGTTTTCCCGTCTTAGTTCATTCGTGAATTATGCGATTTCAT